AACTTTTTTTTTCATTCATCGTTCTGGGAATTGTTCATTATAATATATGCAAATGTCAATATATTGCCAATAAGCTAATTAATTAGAATGACGATGATGATAAAAAAGCCAATTATAAGCATAGATGATAATTATTTTGATTTTTTTTCTGAATTCTAATTTGATGATCAAAGCAAAAATTGAGAAGAAGAAAAAAAATTGACATCTTTCTTGTTTCTTGTTTATTGTTTCCATAGCAACTTGAAAACAACTTTGTTGTTGTTGTTGTTGTTGTTGTTCATCGATTCTTTTATTCCAATGTGTCAAGAATTTTTGGAATGTTCATGAATGTCGGCGTGTGAATATTTTTTTTCCGGTAAAAAAAATATGTGTGTTTGATGGACAATCGTCATTTTTTTTTTGTTTCTCTTGGATGGGGGCCCCCTGCTTTGATGATTCATATAATAATATGATGACAGTAACAACTAGAAGAAGAGAAGAAGAAAAAAAAATCGAAACAAGTGTTGAGAAACTTATTTTTGCACCAAAAAATAAGGCCTTCATCATCATCATCATCATCTAATAAAAACGAAACGAATCAAATGTAATGAAGCGGCTGTCCCGGCTAGTAGATATATTGTGTATTTTGTATATTTAGGTTACATCACATATCCTGCTGCTGTTGATGCTGTTTTTGTTGAAAAATTATGCTGACTAAACACATAAAAAAAACATTTTGTCTTATAAACTTCGGTACAAATATATTTTGGTCCTTGACAAGTCATCATCATTTTTAACAATTTTTTTCCAGGTCAATAAATACATTCTATGATAGAAATAAGTTTGATAACGAAAACGAAAACGACAAAAATTTATCTTAAATATTTCCAATTAAAATATTGTCATCATTTAATATATAGAAATTATAAATGAAAACAATTAGATTATCTCATCGAATTTTTTTTTTCATTATCATTTTCAATCTCAACGATATTAGAAATTCAAAAACACCAGAAAGTAACATTGTATTCTGTGTGTGTGTGTGTGTGTGTGGTAACTGCAATTTTTTTTTTTTGTCAGAAAGCCAAAATAAAATTCTTAGCCTTATAAGAATGAGTAAATTTTTTTGTTTTGTTTGATTTTCATAAATATTTATGAAAATAATGATGACGTTCTGTCATAATGTTGATAATGATGATGATGATGATGATATAGACCATGATTCTTAAGGAATTTTTATTAGCAATCAAAATTATTTTGATCAAAAATATTTCTCCTCCTTTCTCTCTCTCTCTCTCTATCTTTCTCTTTCTGTTATGTAATCGATAATTAGGTTTGTTTAGTTTTTCATCATAATCATAATTGTGTGTCATATCAATGTTTTATATGTAATAAATTATGATTCTTCACAATTATATATACAATACATTATTAAAGGAAAAAAAAAAAATTTTTTTTATTGAATTAACATAATCCAGTTACATCTGGTTTTTTTTGGATGTAAGACATATATATTTATATAAAACACATATAATGTGGCCAATTCTCGAGGTAAATGAACGAATGATGATGGTCATGGTCATCATATGGTGATTCATTCATTCATGAGTGAGTGAGTGAATGAATAAATGAATTAAATGAATGAATGAATGATTTTGTCTGACGACCCGAGAATCTTTTTTTTTTGTTTCAGACCATTCAAAATTATCCAATAATGACCATTATACGATTACAATGAAAATTTATTATATAATACAATTTTCTATCATGTCTGTGTTTATTCATTTCAAATAAAATATTATTAGACAACAGTCATTTTGTTTTGAAAATGAAATTCAATTCCAGTAAAAAAAATCGATTTATGATACCACAAAAGTAAATAAAAATAATCGAATAGAATCGAATTTTTATTTTCAAACCATTTTAATCATATTCCAGAGTAATGATTATTATTGGTGGTGATTACATACATACAGAGAAAGAAAAAGAATTTTTTTTTTCTTCATCTGAAACAATCCACGATGATATTCCCATGATATCGATCAATGTTTAAAATGATACGATCATGATGATGATGATGATGAGTTAACAGTATAGTTGAGAATGCAAAATGTGGATATATTCAACAATCAACCAGTATTGAATATTATTAAAATGACTGACATATGTTGTGTATGCAGAACAATATGATCATCATCATCGTCATCATGTATCAATATATGATGATGATGATTCATATTTATATATGATTGGTAACAAACAAACAGAACAAGAAAGCCAAATACATTCAGAATGAATGTCAATATTTATTCTATTGGTAATTTTTGGACAAATTTCATTTTGGTTTTTCTTCATTTTTCTATTATTTTCTTTCTTATTTTTTTTTACAAAGAATTATATGAAATATTCATATGTATGGTAGAATAAATTTTTTTTTTTTTCATTGCCATCACAACGATAAAGAGAATATTCTTCTCATGTGATGTATGTTTTCTTTTTCTACAAATGATGAATACAGACAGGCATAATAATGACAAGAATTAAACTTTTTTTTCATGAGAAACAAAACAAAACCATAACAACAACAGCAATAATAATTGTAGTATAATAACCATTCATTTGTTAATTAGATTTTTTTTTGTTTTGTTTTGTTTTTGTTTACACATTTTCTATTGTTATTGACCATTTTCATGGCTTCTACGAACATGAAAAATGGGTACACCATGGAAAGAGATAGAAAAACAGTGAATGAAACAAAATTTGAATCGGTAATCTTATTTCAATTGTTTGTTTGTTTGTTTGTCTGTTTGTTATTCGCACATATTCATAGTCGAATGAAATATAATTAATCTCAGGCTTTTGGGTTTTATTATTTTCAAATTGTAATTCGGATTCATAAAGTGCTTAGACAATGAAAACAATATTTTCTGAATCATTGAGAATCATCAAAATTTTGAATATGTGTGTATAAGGATGAAAAAAAAAGATGATCATCCTACAATTCTTGACACACACGCACAAATAAAAACACGACCTCAACTTTAACAAAAATGTTTTCTTTTTCGTTAACCTCAGGGGAATTTCCCAAAAGAAAATCTGTGATGTGAAGAAGATTTACATAAAATAAAAATTTAGGCTTCTATATACGTGTGAAAGAGAGAATAAGAGAATGAGGGAGAAAATGAAAGAATAAAAGCCATTATTAGTGATTTACAATAAAAGAAGAATCTTACCATATATATACAAGACAAGACGAACACACATTTTATTATTATTCTTATTCTTATAATCTTTTTTTCATTTCATGGATGATGAAAAGTTTCTGGGAAAATTTTATTTGATTATTTTTAGAATTTCACTAATATTAGAATATGGAACAAACAAAAACAAATATATAGCACACATATATATATAGTGTGTATTCGAATCTGTTGTTGAATTCATCATCATCATCATTATCACCATGTTACTTTGATATTACATTTAACAACACAAAGTGAACATCCTAACCGATAATGGTAAAGGTATAATGAGATAATGAGATAATGTTAAAAATACGAATCAATTTTGATGTTTTACACACACACTTGAACAGCATTTCAAAAATCAAGGCAAAGAAATCATTATTATTTGTGACATTTTATGTCTTTATGCAAAATAAAACGAATTGCAATTCAATCATGATTTAACCAAAAAACAAAACAAAACAAAACAAAATTGAATTAAGTAGTGTAATAAAGAATATATATAAATTTAGAATTGCAACATATTTTTGCTTCAAGTTTTAAAGAAATAAAAATCTAAATGACATGAATGAATATATATAAATGATGATACTTGGATGTTCACAATAATTGGCCTGGTTTTTTTGTTGTTGTTGATCTTGCAAAAGAATCATAATGTCGTTGTACTATGAATGAATTAAAAACGTCCATCTCATTATCCAAAGTCATTGGATGAACAAATATTTATATTATATTATTACATTTTTTATTGTTCTAAATGGTTCGAATAAAAAACCATCGTGGAAATAATTTTCATGTTTTTCCACTTTTTGTTTTGTATGTGATTTGTTCGGTTTTTGTTTTCAGTTCTTTTATGGTCTTGAATTCTTTTTTTTTCTCTTTTGAAATTTTGTTTCTGGTGTTTTTGTCTTATTTGTTGTTATTTGTTTGTTTTTCTATTTGTTCAACCAAAAAACCTTGATGAAGTGACTGGTTGGCTGGCTGGCTGACTGGTTGGCTGGCTGTTTTCATTCATTTTTCATTTAAATATTATATTTGTAATTAAGCAATAGTCAAACAAATTCAACCAGGCGAAAGAATGATCATAGAAAAAAGCATCACACAAAAGCAGTGATTTTGCGTGTTTTCACATTTTGGATTTCTTTCTTCGTTTTCGTGTTTTTGTGTGTGTGTGTGTGTGTAGGTTTCAGTTTATTTGGTACGCTCTTATGACCTTGTCATTCAAAAAAAAAAAAATAATTGTTTCGAAATAAATACCAAAATGACAAATATTTGTCAAATAACGATGAAGATGTTGAAATGCATCGATGCAGACCAATGGAACAAATTTAATGTGTAACTAAATTTTTGTTTTTAGTTGTTACTTTGATTGTTTTTATTTTGAATGTTAATAACAACAACAACAATAACTGCTATTATATAAAATACTGACGATTAATTCTTCTACACACGCACACAAACAAAAACGATCTTATCTTCGATATTATCTCATATTAACATTGACCACAATGTATATCAGTAAATGAAAGAAACATTTCAGTAGTGAACCTTTGTCATAATGATCGATCCATTCATCTGACACACACACACATACACATAAGTAAATATTAATGAAAAAAGATTTTCTTAATGTTAGAAAGAATAACTAAAAATTAAGCTAGTTTCCGGATTCATTAGATGTTATAATCCAAAAAATGTTATGTTATAATTAATATGTGTGTGTGTGTGAGAGAGCGTACACACACACACACACACACACACTAATATCAAACTTACAGTGAATTGATTACATGGATCGGCTGTCCCAATATTGTTCCATCATCATCATCATTACCATTATGAATCAAACTATTATTACTTTCTAATAATAATTGTTTCAAATCATTAATTTTTTGATGGCCACAATCAATACGGAAACGAATGGAATCTTTTATTTTTGACTGTTTTTGTTGTTGTTGTTGTTGTTGTTTGATTTCAAATTGATATTTTGATGATAATGTTGATGATGATAACCATATTGCAGGCAATTTTTTCGCAACTTTAATTGGTTCTTGTTGACAACGACAATAGGCGGGACACCATTTTAAAATTAATGTTTCATTTTGATGATCATGATTATTATTATTATTAACGATCGATATCGATGATCGGATATTTATGATGATGATGATTATGATCAATGTTAATAATGATAAAAATATGGATTTTTTTTGCTTCATTTTGAACAAATTAATAGTAATAATAATCATTTACCATCGGTTTCGATAATGACAATGATGAGATGATCAGGATTTTTTTTCTTTTATTCATTATATATTGCGTACATTCTTTATTTATTTTTTTATTTTTTTTTTTTTTGATGAATCGCCTTCAAACAATCGAGGTCAATAATTGAAAATATTTATGTCGCAAGGTAATCGTTATTTATTCGTTTAAAATGATGATGACGGTGATCGAACCTCATCATCGTCATTATAATGTAATGAATATATCCTTGATTTTGTTGAAGTGTGATCATTTTTTTTGTTCATTCTGATCAAACATGGCACATTGTTCGATTTTTTTTAGGCGTTAGAAAAATTATCATCATACAATGATAATGTAGACCAAAAAAAAAAAACTCCCACTAAGACTTTTAATTGAATTCTGGACACGAATTTTTTTTTGTTGTTCGTTTCTTCTGTTTTTATTTGTTTGAGAAAATTTTTTTTTATTTTTTTTTATTTTTGATTATTTTGTTTACTTTTCACATTGTGAATCATTGAAATGTATGTTCAATGTTTTCGTTGATTTTGTTTTCAATACTATGGCCAACGATTGAAAAACGATGAACTTTTTCAAAATTTTTCTGGTTTTTTCACACACACACACACAAACACACAGACAGACACAGACACTATGAAATAAACCATACACCCACACATATATGCAGTTAACAAAAAAAAAAAATAATAATTGGCATTCAATTTATAACAAACGACAACATGATGTTGATGATTATGATAAGAATGACCAACATGTATCTCTACAATATACAGAATAAATGAGCTAAAGTTGATATGACGTGTATGTGTCTATGACGATCCAACAAGATATATCTGGAGCCATTTTTTGAAAATGTTTTGGCTTTTTATATTGGTACCAGTCGACCGGAATTCTTCATATATTCATCTATTTGAGCTGCCATTTGTTTGTGTATATGCGTTGGCGGTAGTTGGTGGAAAAAAAAATTCAACCATTTTCAATGTTCAATACATTATGAATGCTATGTGTCGTCTATATAATTTTGTTGTTCGTTCGTTCGTTCGTTCGTTCGTTCATCTTGTTGCCAATTGTCATCTATAATTCCGCATCAACTTGATTTTATCCTGGCTGCTGCTGCTGCTGCTTTTGATGTTGTTATTGTGTTCAATCATCAAAAGTTATAATCATGCTAACAAGTTAAAAAAAATTTAAATTTTTTTTTTTAATCCCCACTTCATTAACAGTTGTAATTTTATTCGTCAACAAGAAAGTTTTTTTTTCCTGTTGACATGTATTAATTTAAATCAAACTATATGTATGTATGTATGAAGAAAAAGTAGTGGCGAGAAATGAAGCGAATTCATACACACATGTGCATGAAAGAAGAATTTTATTTATTTTTTTTTTTGAATCGATCCTGTTTCCAAGCGATTCAATTTTCATTGAGAAAAAAAATTACAAATTGTTTACTACACACATGACAAGATACAATTTATATATAAAAAAAGAAAGAGAATGAAAAAAAAGAGAAATAGGTAGAATTATAGTAGTGTGGAGAAGCAAAATTAATGAATGAACGAAATTGAGGAAAAAAAAGATGTACTATAATGATGTAACGGTACATCGGTAAATTTTTTTTGTTATATGTATATGTATAATGTGCTTGTAGAATTCCATGAATGAATTCGATGATGGATGAGCTAGATGGATGGATGGATGAATTGCTCATTCTCAATTCTTTTTTCTTCATTTTTTTTTTACTTAGGAATGGATACCGGGGTCGTTGTACGTTGATGGATTTGATGCAATATATGGTTGAAAATATAATAGTGTTCCAGTATAGTAAAAAAAAAATGATAATTGTGAAAGAAGATTTTTCCCTAGTGAGAAAAATTCGTTTGTTTCTGTCGTCGTCGTTGCCGTCATCGTCGTCGTCGTCATTGAAATCCAATTATATCAGGTCGTTATCACAGAAAAAAGCTTGATTTTTTTTAAGAATGAAATTGTAATGATGGGCATTCTTGCGTCGTTACTATACATACTACTCACATTCATAAATTCACTTCCTCTTTTTTTTGTGTATGTGAATTGAATTACAAGCAAAGAAAAAAACAAAACATTTTTCTTGAATCATTCTCAGAATTTCTTTCTATTACCTGGTATATATTTGTTTATTTTATTTTTGGAAATTATATCATTTCATGAATGAATGATTGAATAAAGTCTTATTGTTTATTTACTTATAAACTGTGTATGTGCCTACTTGTGCATCATTTTGACTAGATTCTGTTTGCTAATAATGACGAAATTCCATATTTGAATCAAATGAAATAAATAGAATAAAAAATTCCGGTGAATAAATACAATATTAGCATTAGATTTAAACAAATAATTCTCTTGATTATTTTTTTTTAAAAATCGTTAATTCTGTTGAAAAGATGATTTCTTTCGTAATCACATAGCGCAAACAAAAAATCAAGCTATTTTGATCGGAATTCCATGAAAATCATCCATATTGATTGTCATTGTTGGCCATTTTTTTTATCATGTGAAGGGAATTATTATTATTTTTTTTTCACTAGTTGTCATTATTGTTTTTTGTTTGTTTGTTAAAAGTGAAAATGAAAAATTATGATTCATTTTTTTCAACAGAATTATGGATCAACTATGGATTTTTTTTTTCGTCGTTCCAAATTGATAAATTATCATTTTTTTTTAACAAATAAAAATTCTATGGAAATCAACTAATAATGTAGATGAAAAATATTAACATATATTCTAATCACGTAATTTTTCATTGTCCAAGATTATGACAAAAACATTTTTTCTCACACATAGACAACAGATTAACTGGATAAACACGATAATAATGATGATGAAAATGCTCATTAAAAAACAAGTGAGAGAGAGAGAGAAAAGAATTTACGCTTCATTAGCTTAATTTTTTCATTTACACAAATACATTGTATTAGAGGCAGAAAATTGTTTCAAAAAAAAAAAAAAAAAATGTTTTTAGCTCGAATTGTCCTAAAAATTTACCATTTTATTCATCAGCATTAGCAGTTTTTTTTTATCAAGATGCGATTTAAAATACAAACTTAGCTTTCATATACATACACCCATTCATAACATAAAATATTGGCTGCGGTCAGTAAACTTTTTTTTGGTCCATCATAATCATCATTCATCATCCTTATCATCATCATCACCAACATCGGATTCGATGAATCGAGATATGAGAAAACAACAATTTATTTTATCTTATTGTAGGAAACAAGAAAATAAAATGTCCATGTGTGTGTATTTGATGTTGATATATAATGTGTTTGGATTCTTGGATAAAATTCCTAGTCAATGAATGAATTGGCATTATAATTTGTCACAATTTGAATCATCGATCAATAGCAAAAAAAAAAATAATTACAATAAAACGCTTCAATGATCAATAGAAATGTGTGAATTATTCGTGTGGGTGTTTATTATTGAATTTAAAATCTATCATATTATGATGATAATGATGATGATGATGATGATGGAATTGAGTGAAGGAAGAATTTCATAATTCAAAGAAAAAAATATGATAATAAATTTTTACATTGGCCTAAAGAATTTTAATATTACGAATATAATGAATAGCAGCTTTTCAAAAAAATTATTTGATGATGGAATTTTTTTTCCCGATGCCCAATTTTGTGCTCGGTTTGAAATTTTTTCCGATCATCGTCATCATCATTAAATAACTGAATAATATTTCCATATGGCAATCAATGTTGTTGACGATATTTTTTCGTTTATTTGACAAATTCCTTAATTCTTGAATATTCAATTTCTTAAAAGTTTTGTTTTTCCTATGTTTTCTGATAAACTTTTGAATTCCTAGAAAATTCCATTATAAGATCAGTATGATATTTCAAATGTTTCTTTTCGTTTAACTTTTCTGTAATGAAGGGCAATGAAATAATAAAGTTTTGATTTTCAAGTTCAAATAATAAAGTTTCAAAATAAGTAGATATTCTATATGTATTCCGTGAAAGACTTATTTTCATTTTGTATTGTGATTTTTGTCAATGTCGTCGTTGTTGTTGTTGTTGTTGTTGGTGTTGGAATCATGACCTGAATTTTGAATTTAATTTTTTGTCCATATAAAACAATTGAATTTATTTCGTTGAATCCAATTTGACTTTTTTTGAGGGGGGAGGGCAATTCAATCAATAGACAATCGTTTTTTATTATGGCAAAAATATTAGTATTAGTTGGTCAAACCACAGCAGGATTTTATTTTCAGGAAATTCGTGAATTATCTGATTCTCATAATGATGAAATCGCTGACCAATCGAAAACCACCAAGTGAGCGAAAGACCATAATCACCGAATACTACAATGAATATAATCGTCGATGACCTTAATTTTTAATTAAGTCAATAAAAATAGAAAAAAATAGGCCATTATCGAAATAAAAATAGAGATTGTTTGTTAATGTTGTAAATTACAATAATCGTAATTATATAATACTGGATTCTCGATGGAAAAAAAATCCGGTAAACAAAATGGACAATAACAAAACAAAACAAAAAAATCTTCAAGAATAATTCATGCATATATCCATTCATTTTGGTCTGTTTGTTTTATTATTAATTCATTCGTTTGTATTCATTCAATATATTCATGTCAATTATGGTGAATCATTATTGGCTTTGAATGTGTGTGTGTGTGTGTTGCTCAATATTTTGTTGTTATTACTGTAAGTGAAAATTGAGATTGAATGAATCTGATTTATATTTTCCATAAGAAATAGAGAATGAGAATCGTAATAATAATGGTTATAAATAAGCCTAGAGATCGAAATAAAAAAGAAAAAAAAGTTTTTTGTTCTCCCAACAGAAACAGAAAACAAACATGAATAATCTTGACCAAGAAAAGACAAGAATCAATTGTAAATGAAACAACAATGAAAAAAAAAGACAAACCTAAATGATTGTTGTGTAATGGATTGAATGATCCACTTGAAATGGATATCATTTAACACAATGTGTAGAATAAACTGCTATTCACATGTATTATGTCTCAGTATTATAGAGACAAAACATGAAACAAAATTGATGCACAAAACAAAAACTAATAATAAGCTTCTTTTTTAGGCGATAAATTATTGTTTATTCATCGAAGCGAAAATATATGTGTGACGAAGAAAAAATTTTTTTTTTTATTTTTTTTTTTTGTAAAGACAAATCTATCATCTGGATAATCCTAACTGTGTTGATCATTTTGTTTTGTTTTCCACACACACAGACAACCCTATATTTGGGTAGCGGATTTCAATTCTGACCGAAATCTCATTCAATCATCATTATCATCATAGCCAATGTGATATTAGATAGGCTTATAGATTACGCTATGTCATTTGGTTTTTTTTCTGATAGATAATTCAGCTGAATCATTCATCATAGGTTCGACGACAGTTCAACAAGCGATCAAAGAGGATAATGCTCCTAAATTTTATTGGATTGTTGTTGTTGTTATACGGAGGATAGTGAAAAAAAAAATTCAATGATGATGCTGTAGTTTATTTCTAGTTTTGGTTAGTGTTTTTCAAGTTTTTTTTTTGTCAATTATCAACAAATTTAGAAATGTCCATCTGAATATTTCAATGGATGACCTTTTTTTCTAAATTATTTCATCATGGATCATCATTGTTATTATTTTGTCATCTTTATTTGTTTATTCATTGTTTGGCCATCAATTATTTTAACCAATGATCAATCTATTTATCAACCGACCAAACAGGAAATTGAACGTTTTCAAGTAATTCAGGAACAGATTCGTCACCATCAACAGGAAGAACAACGTGAACGTGAACGAAAGAATAAGTTAGCACAAGAAGAAATGGATCGAATTCGTCAGGAAAATCAAATTCAACCAAGACATCCTGCAGAATCGCTTCTTATACCACATTCAGCATTGATACCAATGTTTATGCATAAGCAACAAATCTATAATGATCATCGTGTTCCAATGCCACCACAAGTTCAAGTACCACCTCCATTTTCTTCATCACAATTTGGATATGGCCATCCACAACCAATGCAACCATCAATGGTAATGCCGCCAAATCATTATCAACAACCCATGCAAATGGCAATCATGCCAGAAATGAATCAATTACATAATCCATATAATATGGAAGATAAAATTCGAAATTCTCGTATACAAATGAATAATAATGAACATATGATGGACGCAAGAAATCACCAACATCACAATATTCGAAAACAATATGATGAAAGACATGATCAAGAAGATTTTGAAAAAATTGATAAACTCACTGAAAGAGGAGTGGATACAGGTATTTGTCTTATTTGTTTGTTTATTGTGTTATTTTATTTCTCAATTTTTGCCATTCAGAGATGAGCGAATCTTCACGATTCGATAAGAATCGTCCACATCATAATTCTGTAGAGGATTCTGGTCGTTATGGCCATCGATACCGTTGTTATTCCTGTCAATGGAACATTGCACATTGTTCAGATTTTAATTGTTACAATAATCCTGATATTTGTACAACAAATAATTTTGCTCCACATATGGTACAACAAGCCGATTGTCCAGGAGGCTGTGAACAATTTGTCATTACAGATCCGAATGGATTGACACAACAATGGAAACGTGGATGTGCACAACGTAAGTCTATTTTGGCATAATTGCATTTAAAATTTTTTCAAAAAAAAAATTATCTATTTTATCAAGCGGGCAGCTTTCCAATTGTTCGTATGCGTTGCCATACCTATTATGAATTTGGTGTCCGAATTGATCGTTGTGTTTGTAATAATGATTGGTGTAATGGATCAACACGAATAGTTCCGAAACAAATCATCTATTTTGTTTATATTATTCATAATTATAATGACAATCATCATTTTATAAATGTAATATTTTCATTTCTTTTCAATTTCCTAACCAAATGACATAATATACATATATATACAATACAATTATTTAAAAAAAATTTCGAAATTTTTTTTTCATTCCTGGAACAAGAGATGGCGCTCCATACGAAACATGTTCATTTACATTTTAAAATTTTTTTATTATTATTGAATTAAAATTTTTTTTTTTTTTTTACAAAACGAGATTATTTTTTATCACCAACAGTTTTTATCAACTTATCATTATCGATTACATCATTATCAGGATTTTTTTCCTGTTGTTGTGATAATTTTAATTTTTTGCGATAACTTTTCCAATTAAATGGTCGTTGAATGGCAGATGTTTTATTGCTACGTTGTCTATAGAATCCTAATTGTTTTTCAATACAATCGATTACGTTAATCTTTTCTGGTAGATGAAAATAACGTATACGATTCCCTTTGATAAATAGATAATCCATTTTTTTGGCATGTTTCTCAAGCCATTCAGGTTCAGGTAAACGATCACATTGTAGGTTAATTATTGTATCATTATCATTATCATCATCATCATCATCATTACATCGATCTTTGATCCAATCGTTTAATGACCAAATTTTCGCACTACTGAATTCACAATTCATATAACAATCAACTGATTGTAGCATACCCTGTATGGAACAAAAAAATAATTAATTGAATGAATTTTCAGGTCAACAAATCATTAAATGGTTAATCGAACCAAAACAAATTGATCATTACGAAGTTCAATCAAAACTTTATGATCGATTACTGATTGTAGTAAACAAATTAATGTTCGTGTTGATTTTGCTATCTCTTTGGATGTAAACATTTTTGCCATTTTATTCAAGAATCATAGATTAAAAACAGAATTTCGGCTATATAAAAAAAAAGAAATTTGTTTTAGTATATAAACATAAAAACTTATGTAAACAATCACGGTATCTAAGGATGGCTAGATTTTTTGCGAATTGAGAATTCAACATTAAAATGTTGAGAGAATGGAACAAAGCTTTTTATTGTCATACACACACACACACACACACATTTCACTGTATTTCGAATCAACAACAACATCGAAATTAAAATCATGGAATCAAACAAAAACATACATCATCAGTACATATTTATGTACAAATTACGTCAGTATTCATTACAATGCTGTTCCTATCAATCATACGATTTATTCACAATTAATTAATAAATACTCCAAGGTAAATCATTGTTATTTTTTTCTATAAAGAATCATCAAACGGTTGTGTGGTCTGTATGTATTGTCTGATTCGAAATCTTTGACTTCAAAGATTAACCAATTACGTTCATTATTAGAAAGATTGATTTTTTTCCTTTATTTTCCAATTATACCAACATTATGTTTTGTTTGTACAATCAGTACATGTTCGAAGGGAATCAATTATCATTATTATTAACTTTAATTATTGCTTTCATCATCATTTTCTCTTTCATTTTTCTTTCTCACTAACTCATTCACTATTATTGAACTGAATCCTGTTTTTTCTTTCTCTCTCTCTTTTTGTTAGTTGAATATTGATTCAACAATCCCTAACGCATAGTTGAAACGTCGACAACTTGATCTTCAAATTGATCGACATCTTAAAAACTTGACTCTATCAATGAGTTTGTTTATATAATTGTCTAAAATTTTTTCGCACACACCATTTTTATCATCATTAGAGTGTAACTTTCAGGCTATTAGTTTCAAATTTCTTTTTAGGTTCATATTAAAAAAAAAATCTTTTCATTTTTTGTTCTAATTTTCTTACGAATCCGATTTCAAACTATTTACAATTGTTTTATTGATCCAAATGTTTTTTTTATTGTTTCATTTTCAGTGACTATCATCATCATTCTACTATTCTATCTTCATTTTTTTTCACCATCGATTGATCGATGTTATCCATCACCATACACATTTAATCAACGACAAAAGCTCAAATGCTAACAAGGATGATATTGCATCTAATGCAGCTATATATATATTATCGATTTTAAACAACATTCAATATCTTATGATATTAACCGATTAGATTTCATTTTTTTTATCATCGTCATAGACACACAGAAAATGCTGATTATTCTTTCCACATTTAAAAATCAATTTGCTGATTATATTAAATAAATATAAATATCATAAGTTTAACGATTTCATTTCATCTGGTCACACTTAAATTTATGTTTGCAATATCAACAAAAGTCATATTTTTTTCTCACTTTCAATCCTCATCATCATCATCATCATCATCAAAATCCATCTATATAGTTAGTCATAATAATGGCAATTTGATTGATAACCTGTTACCCGATAGTGCATCGTACAACGATAATTAATTCATTTGCCATTCGATCATCCATGCACACATACAATCTTTCTGCTCTTTCGATGTACACAGTGTTTTTAAAATTCAATATTCTCATCGTGACTAAATAGAATTTTTTTCGATTGTTTTTGTTTTATGAATGCAAAATCTCATCAGAATAATTTCGTCAAATCATTTTTTTTCGATTTGATTGGCTGAAAAAACCGGAAATTGATCGTATCATTTTGGATCCGGAAATATTCACGTTTGTTGGTGTTTTTCTCGCAGTTTGGTTGAAATGTTTGTTTTTTTCTAATTATTGTTTTGTGTATTTTAAACCTTGGCAACGGCAACAAAGTCTGACATAAACAAAGATGAATACGTTTTTCTCTACCATATAATAATAATGTTCAAGGCCTTAGAAAATTTCCATAGAAGTTTAGGACCACATATATTCTATATATAAGGTCGATCCATAAGAAAAGTCTTGTTTATAAATTTCGTCTTCTGATTCTTCTATATTTTGTAAGCAACTACTACAACATATCTCAAACAAACCAACCCATCGAATCTGTTTTCGGCAACGAAAATTGTTATATGAGAAGAGAGTCGGTGTCGAGACATTTCTATCATTCGATCCTTGAAAGATGATTGTAATTCAGTTGGATCGTCATTGTCATCATCATCATTATTTAACATAAATTTTTTAATAAAAAAAATTAGCTAATAAAATTTATACAAAAATGTGGCTGCCAGCAACCTGATTTCATGTCAACAGAATATTGAATACATGTTTATCCCCGCCAAAATAAAACTTCAACTCGTATTTGCTCTACATACTTTTTTCACCTTAAAATCAAGAGGTTTTTAAACTGTGTTTTTTGAATGATTTTTTGTTATTTCATAACCAAACAACGGTAGAATAAAAATGTCTACCAATTTAATTATCAATACGACTGCGGCTAGTATCGACCAAATGGTATGTATGACATTTTGAATTATTGAATTTAAATTGATGGTTTTTTTTTCGAAAAATGCATAATATCCAAACTAAAGAATGAAGACGGCACACTAGAATGGATCATGTCCAAAATCGATCAATTTCCAATCAAATTATCATTTATATTTGCGTGTGGTATGTTTCAATCAATCAATCAATCATTTGTTATTTGCTAACGTTATTTTTATTTTTTTTTCTGTCCATTAGCCATGGTTCTTGGCAGTGTAGTGCCTTATATACCACAATATTTCACAATCAAACAAACACAAAATACTGAAGGTTTTTCTCTATATGTTTGTTTGACATTGTTGATTGCAAATATACTTCGTATAATGTTCTGGTATGTGTATTATATTGTTTTTTGATTATTTAATCCACAAATGATGAATTTCAATCATGCAAAAAAAAACTAGATGATCATTATAGTCAACGCCTTTTTATTAATATATTGTTCGCCCATAGAAAATTGTTCAATTGTAGGGTATATTTTTCTTTGAAATAAATAATGCTTTCAAGTTTTTAATTTTGAGTACGAATTTATATAGAATCCAATTGTATGATTAAATTGAAGATTTCTTTTCATTTTATTCAATTATTATTATTCTATTTTTCTTATATATTCCTTCAAGGTTTGGCAAACATTTTGAAACAGCATTACTAATACAATCAATAGTCATGATATTGGCCATGTTCTTTCTTTTGGAACTTTGTGTTCGTGTACGAAATTCCAATCTAATCATACAACAAAAACGTCGTTATTTCTCTGGTAAGTTTGTATATCAACTTTTTGTACAAATTTTTTTTTTCATTGTAATATCTATGGATGATACTTTATACTAAAATAGTCATGAGTTTTAGATGCTACCAGACATCTTGAAACTAGAATTGTTACTTTAGGACAGTGTATATGCGGTGTGTTTATGTGTGTGTGTGTTTATGTATAGCAAATGATTTATTCATCATTTTACAATGAAATCCGACTTAATGTGTTATAATATGAAAATGTACACATGCAATTAGATGATGCATGAATTTATTTTTCAGTTCATATTGTTGCTTGTGCATGTAAAAAATTTACTGAAACAATGATATTGTTTTTGTTTGAATTTAAGTGTGTCTCTATTTTTTTTTTATTATAATATAATTTAATTTTTTCACAATTTTTGATCATTTTTTTCCATTATTTTCGTCCTTTTCTTCCTTTTCCTTTTTTTTTTTTGATGAAATCAAATGAAATTTATATGCCACCAAACTATGTTTGTTTATTATTTTGCCCACTACTGTTTTTTTCTCTCTCCAATTCCTGTGATTTTTTGTTTCGATCCATATATAAATTTGGTAATGCGAAATGTGGATTATCAACAATCATTTGAATGTGAAACAAATAAAAAAAAACCATTTCTTCCATTCCATTTTTTTTCATTGTGTACAAATAACGTGAATCTGGAATACTTGATTGAAATGAAAAGATTCAAAAACAATAGAAAACACAATGTTGACAAAATCAACCGATGATACACCACCAAGTTTAAAAAGATCTAGATCTCTTGATGATTGTCATAATAATAATAATAATAATAACTATCTGAAAAAGAATTCTACATCAGGAATAATTTGTTTGATGAAGAGTTCCATATCACAAACATTACCAAAAAATTATCATCCACAACAATTAAAAGAAAATGACCATACTACGATTGAAATGGATAATAACATAAATAATCAACATTTGATGAAAAATCAGTTAATAGAATCGGCTTCTCCAAATTTACGGCGATCATCATTATCATCAACAACAACAGCAACAACGAATGTTAAAAATACTCATCAACAAAAAAACAGCCAAATATCATCACATCAACTGATGAACCTCTCACCAAAGCAAAGTAATTTTTTTTATCTCATTCCTTTGTCAATTTTGTTTGATTAAATGTGTATGTGCATGTTATCTACGAATTCAATAATTATTTCTATTCTATCAGAATTCAAATAGTTTATTATATAGTGTTGTAGCTATTTGTTTTAAATATCAAATAATAATGATCATCAATTTTTTTTGTTAGCTATGATGAATCTTGTCATACTAATAATATTCATTTTGTCAAATGTGTTTTTTTTTGTTCTTTCTTTTCTCTCTTTCTTCATTTTGTAATTATTTTCATTTTTTCCAATTCCAATCCATTCATTCATTTGCCCAATTATTATGAAGCAATTGTATCTAGTTGCGATGTTGGTGGTGGTGGTGGTGGTAGTAGTACCACACATGCAACAACGACAATTCATCTTGAACTTGATGATGGCTCAAGATTATCATCAAATCAAATTATTGATTCTAAGAAAAAAAAATCTAGTCAACAATTACAATCAATTGAACAACAAAAACAACAGCAACGTGAAAATGAAATGATAATTGTTAATGAAAAAGGTGACACTAAATTAGTGTCATCGAATGGCCCATTAAAGCAACTATTGATCAATGATGATATGATGATGATAGATGATAAGAATAAAAAGAATGGAAATGAAGATAATGATTTCAAACGAAAACGTTTCATTGGTATTATTTATTATTGAATATCGGATAATGAATTTTTTTTGCTGTTTTGTTTTGGTCATTTCTGTTTGTTTGTTTGTTTGTTTATTTGTCTCCTTTGTTTCTTGTCTTTCATTTCATTTCATGTATATATTGTTTCAAGTTCTTTTTTCATGCATTTACGTTGATTTTCTTCAGTTGTAAATAATTTTCATCCATATATTAGATACGTAGATTCACACACACACACAACACACAAACATAAACTTATATAGAATGTAGAAAACAAAATAGAAAAAAAATCCTATAGTAACAAATGTTTCAAGTGCTTGTTTGATTTCATTTTTTCTGCCCATTGTGTGTTTTATAAATCAAAAAAAAAAATGTGCTCTTCACTTCTTGAATTTACAATTTTCCATTCTAATTTTTGTCATCATCATTTCATTTAACACAGATTTTGATCTACGTTATTTCTGGGAATGGACTGATTTTATGAGCTATCTTGAATGTATGGCCGTTTTCACATTAGGCGCCGGATTATTATTCTATTTCTTCATCGGCGTGCCTTTGATCGTTGAAGGATATGGTCTGGTCGCATTGGTCACTGAATCATTATTGGCTAGTCCACAATTTTTTCGCAATCTTAAAGTTAAATCAGTCGAAGGAATGAGGTAAGTATAATATAATCGATCATTTAAACATTTATGATTAATGAAATTTTTTTTTCTCTTATCAAAATAATAGCAAATTGATGGTGTTTACCTGGTTTCTTGGTGATCTATATAAAACCATTTATTTTTTCGTTCGTCAAGCACCATTTCAATTTTTACTTTGTGGCTGTACACAAATTACATTTGATTCGTTAATATTTTTGCAGATACTTTGCTATAAGAAAGCATCATATCGAAAAATACCAAAATCGTATGTCAATTATCCTTATCACAATATTATGAATGTTATGGATAAAATCCGATAAAGACCAACTAACTTAATTACTAATTGATCCAATCAAAAAGAAAAATCAAATGCTAACCAATTAAGCCAAAAAAAATGCCCATGCCAAAATTCTTTGACCCAATTTTTTTCTTTTCATTTTAATTCTTACAGTAGATGTGATTGAATAATTTTTACACCCATTCTCAATCACAAAAGTCAATCAAACACAATTATTGGCCATACAATTGGTCATTTTTTTTGTATACAGAAAAAAAAATTCCGCAAATTCGTTGCATGTTTTTTCTTTTGTCATGTTGATCTAAAATTTTTGTTTGTGTATATGAGAGAGAGAGAAAGCCATTTCGTCCTGTCATGATTATTTATTCATAAAGAAATTCTTCAAACTAACTCTCATCGAATCGAAAATTCTTCACATTCTTTGTTTTAACATTTTGAAAAAAAAATTTATTGTCTTGGTGTCTTGTAATGATTTTCTCTAAATACTTTTGTGAGTATTTTAATAATTTTCTCATAATCAAAAACAAAATCCATTTAATCTAATTCTAAAATTTTCATTTTATTTTTTTCATCAAAAATATACAGTAAACTCATGCATAAACAACAACGAAGACATAATCATCCATTACAATCAAATCAACAATTATCAATAAGTCATTCAAAAACAATCAATTCATCTAAATCAAGATATTTTATTCCATCAATCGGTATACCGATTGGAAATGATGATAACGACAAAGAAGAGATAAAGCTTCATAAACTTTAATAATGACAAAATGTTTATTTTTTTTAATTTAGTGAAAAAAAGAATTAAATGAAAGATGGAGATCATCAATTCGTCCATTTGAAATCGGAAATCACCATGATCCATGAAACGTGACAAAAAACTGATTATTTTTTTTTCTTTAGTGTACATCAAATAAATAATTGTCATCATCATTCAAAATCAAACACATGTAGTCACAATTATACATACATCATTTTATATACACTATATACCATTTTTGTTGTCTGTGATCCTGTTTTTTTTTAATTTTCTCATCCTCATTAATTCTCCCCACTGTAGATATATTTTAAATGAACTGATTGATTTTTTTTTTCATTATTAAAACCAAAAATTTTTGTTACACTCACTTTGTCTGCATTCGATCGATCAATCTTACACAATATTTTTTTTTTAAAAGTTTTCTTCCCATTCCATAGTTTTGGAGATTTTAATTTAAATTTTAATTTTAATAGATTGAATTTCTTTTTTTTTTTCATCTAACTATCTAGACGATTGAAACATTTGGAAAACCGTGCCCGGAAACGTTTTAAGGAAAATATTCGATCAAAACAAATGTTAAATCTACTAACGACCATGTCGAATGCCGATTCGAATTGTCCAAATCCAATTGTATCGACTTCCGTACATCATCCACAACCATTATCGAAATTAAATACAAGTGAATCACTGGAACCAATATCACCGAAAGATTCAAATTCATTGAACGATAATGTAATGGATCCATTAGATTTGATTGAATTGAATGGATATGAAAATAAAGGCGCAACATTCGATAGCCGTGATGTTAAATATGCAGATGATGATGATGATGATGATTTTGAAAACATTAACATTGAAGATGGAAATGAAGAATTGACAGCTATCACTCAAAATAATCATGAATAACAACGAACTAAATGATATGAATTATCATTATAATTGCAGACAAAGCATGTGACATTGACTGTGATATTTAAAAGTTATGAACATAATAGGATGAAAATTTTTTCCAAAATTTCTGACAAAACTCATTGGGCAATTAGCATTGTAGAATTTTTTTTCTTTCTTTACTTTTCCTGTGTATTTTAAGTGGTGTTTTTTTGTGGGTTTGAAATGAACACATCTCTAGTCATTTACTTATCTTATCGTATGGGAGATTTTATTATCATTTGAATTGAACAAAAATTATTTTAAATTATTTTCATTTTATTCAATCAACCACTATTAACCGGTGTTTGTTACCTTTGATTTGCTCTGATTCTCTTTATTGTATTTTTTTTTTTTTGAAATGAGATGAAAATTTTATCAAAATTCAAATGTTCTAACCAAATCGATAAATTTAATTAAATTGGTGATTTCTTGTTGTGAACGATTTGATTTTGGCATTCTCTTCAATTCACGTCGAATCGTTTTCAATTCTTGTTTATATTTAGCATTCAATTCTTTGATATTAATGTGAAATTCTGTAACCTGTTCCCAGGATTCAACGGTTTCATTCAAGAATCTTTCCAATGACATGATCCAACATTTAAATCGATATTCATCATTATCATTATTATTAGTTCTTAATAATTTAGTTGTTGATGTAATTCGATAAAACATTTTCGATAATAGTAACATACGACGTCTTTCATTATCAGCTTTTACATACGATGGGCGTTTATGTGGTCGTGTTAAATGATTATATGTATCATAATACATAAAACAAATTGAACATTCAATCAAGATTTTTGGTAAGATTAAAATTAGACAGATCGGTATCATTATGGCTACCACATAGCTAAATGTAAGGACGGCAAACATTTATTTGATGATAAAAAAAATTTTTTTTTTGCTATCCATGAAACGAATGAATGCCAACCTAATAATGAAATTCTCGAATTAAATATCAGAAATTTAAATTGTTTGAAGTTTGATTACATTCTTTTTGAATAGAATTTCTTAAACTCAATCAAAATAGATTATTTTTTGCAAAATATAGCCATGGACACGTGTTCTACTTCTTCTACTTATGTCTTTAATCCTGTTGAATGGCTTTTGTCAATAGTATACGTCATTAAATTTGGATATATTGATTTGGCAGTATGACAAGTCAATTGTAATTGACAATTAATCAGCTTTTTGACCTTATCAAGGCTAAATTTTCATATCGTTGCCACTGTTTTTTCCAATCAACCAGATAAGACCAACCAAAAAAAAATTGGCAGATAATTGTACACATACATTTCCTAGTGATTATATATAAATGATATTTCGATTGTCATTTGAAAACTACACCCATTTTTATATAACAAATTTTTTTCATCTTTCAATCAATCCTTTCAATTAATCAACGATGGCCAGCCAAACTTTACAAAAGATTTTCAAGTAATTTAAATGATAAAATTTTATTTTATTTCTATGATTGACTTAATGAAAATTTTTTTATTACTAAAGACACATTGACGACAATGCCGATTCATATATTCAACGATTGTCCGAAGCTGTTGCAATCAAAAGTGTTTCTTGTTCTTATGAATTACGAAATGAAACTATTGAAATGGTCAAATGGATGGAAAAAGTAATGTTGATTAAGCACGCTAATTTTTATATATGAAATTAAACGGTATTTTTTTTTGATTAGCTATTAAAACAAGAAGGTGTTAAAACTGAACTGGCTGATATTGGTGAACAAACATTTCCTGATGGTCGTAAAGCTCCATTGCCACCGGTTTTGTTAGGAGAACTTGGCAATGATTCAAAGAAGAAAACATTATGTATCTATGGACATTTGGATGTTCAACCTGCTGCTAAATCAGATGGTTGGGATAGTGAACCATTTGTCTTGACTGAAAAAAATGGAAAACTTTATGGCCGCGGTTCATCCGATGATAAAGGCCCGGTGCTTGGCTGGCTTCATGCTATTCAAGCTTTTAAAGCCAACAATACCGAGTTGCCAGTAAATTTGAAGGTATGAATTACATTTCCGTTATGTTATTAATTTTTATTAACTCTCGTTTTATTTTATTTGACATTCACAAAAGTTTGTTTTCGAAGGTATGGAAGAATCCGGTTCGGAAGGTCTGGATGAGCTTTTGCTTAGCCGTAAGGATAGCTTTTTTAAGGATGTGGATTACGTTTGTATAAGTGACAATTACTGGCTTGGAACAAAAAAGCCCTGTCTTACCTATGGACTTCGTGGATTGGCTTATTTTTACATTGAAATCGAATGTGCAGCTAAAGATTTACATTCTGGCGTATATGGAGGTTCTGTCCACGAAGCTATGACTGATTTAGTACATTTATTTTCACGTCTTGTCGACAGCAAAGGAAATATAATGATTACCGGTATCATGGATGATGTGAAACCACTGACCAGTGAAGAGGAAAAATTGTATCACGCCATTGATTTTTGTGCTAACGATTTTTGTGCAGATGTTGGATGCGATCGTTTGATCCATGACAACAAGATTAAGACGTTGACTCATCGATGGCGATATCCATCACTTTCGATTCATGGAATTGAAGGTGCATTTTCGGACTCTGGATCGAAAACTGTTATCCCTAAGAAGGTGAATGGGAAATTTTCCATTCGATTGGTACCCAATCAAGACCCGAAAAAAATTGAAAAAATTGTTGTTGATTATTTGAGTGCTGAATTTCAAAAATTGAATAGTCCAAACAAATTCCGCGCTTTCATGGTCAATGGAGGCCGTCCTTGGGTATCCAGTCCAGATAGTCCCAATTTTACCGCAGGAAGATTGGCAACAAAACATGGTAAGAAATTTTGTTATTTTTACTGGTCACTTCATTCAAATTGATTTCATTAGTGTACGGAGTTGAACCGGATATGACCCGTGAAGGAGGATCGATTCCAGTTACATTAACTTTCCAAGAGATCACCAATAAAAGCGTTATGTTATTGCCGATGGGAGCCGCTGATGATGGTGCTCATTCGCAAAACGAAAAAATCGATCGTCGTAATTACATTGAAGGCACCAAATTGTTGGCTGCTTATATTCATGAGATCGCAAATGTTTGATATATTTTGATATTTGATAATTTTTGTCGCTTAATTTTGGCGTACAATTGATTTTAATAAGTAATTTCATTAAAAACTTGCTTCCAAAGACGTGTTTTGTTTACAAGGCGTTGAAAGTATTCAGCACGATTCGGTTCTATCGACATAAAAATCTGATACACAAAGACCAGAAACAAAAGAAACAAAAACAATTTCAAGTAATGTGACATCATGGCCGAGAAATTCATAAAATGATATCTGAAACCTCACTTAAATATTATCCATTAAACGCTTTCTGCTAATATCGATGACATAACAGAATTTTTAAAATCTATCAATATTTTGCCATTTCATCACGAACTTATTTTTTTTATTAAAATAAGATATTCGAGGTCAACATCCTCATCATTGTAGTTTTCTAATTTTTTATGAGGAATCCATATTCCATAAATGGACTGACCAAATCTGGCAATATTCTTTCAAATTGTTGCTGATTTTGTTCGAGTATATCTGGCCAGTATTTGAATAACAAAACCCTTATCTTTTCCGAATCATTACCTTGTGTGTTGTTGATAAATTTTTCTTTTTGTTGTTTACTCAATTTCTGTTCATTTTGAATATCACCTTCAGAACGATTCATTTCTTCACTTTTGTTATCATCAAGAAAAATCTTATTTTCTTTGCAATACCTTGCGAATAACATCATTGATTCTTTTTGTAGAGGATTCAGTTTAAATTCAGTCGTATCGAATAGCAGATTAAGAATTAAATTTTCAAAACATTTTTCCTGAATAATTGAATCCGATCGTTTTAATATTTTATATAAACGACCGATTAATAGTTTATGCAGGCGAAAACTTCGTTTACAAACAATCCTAGGATCACAATCGAACCGTATAATGTGATTAAACGGTTCAAGTAAAAGTTGACGAAATAAATCGATTTCTGCACTTGAAACATTGTCCAAAAGAATTAGAATTGCGTTTGTTAAATTGTAGACATTTGTACAAGTTCCATAATTACAACTTTGTTTTTCGTTTTCATATTTCTGACAAACGGACAAAAATTCCGGACACAATTTCGATCGTTGAGTCGATCCAACAATGAAGGCAACTTCAGGAAAACATTTGAGTGCTATATTTCATGAAAAATAAAAATTCTAAGAATATTTCTTCTTATCGTAGTTTTTACTCACCTTGATTTTGTGTAGATTCATTTAGCAATAATCCCGAATAAAGATTCGAATAAAATGTATAGAAATATGTTCCAAGTGCTAGTAAGGAGCCAGTAAAGAATTTCAAAAATACCTCGGGCTTTTGAATAAAATTCAACAAATAATCTTGTTCCAATTCCCATCGGAAATTCAATTGAAATGTTACATTATTATCAAGAGTTATTGTTGTTGTGTATCCAGCATATCCCGAAATGTCATAATCATTTAACATAAGGAATTTTTTCTGTGAATTTCCTTTTTCTCCAAAGCATTTTATAGCCATTTTATTAGTATTTAGCTCGTTTGGAATTGCAATAGAAATGGAAAAATTAGATTTGATTTCTATAGGAATTTTCAGTACATTGTTTATTTCAAGCCAAAACAATTGATTATCATGATCCAGTTGTTGTTGATCATCTTTGATTTCCACCGAATCGATTGTTAAGATAAGTTTTCTAGCAATTTTGAAACAATATCGATTCGCTAAATTGATTGCCAATTTTTTTCGATTATAATGCATTTCTGGAAAAGCTGCATCAATATTTTGACTGAATGTAGTGAAACGTTCGGCAAAATTGTGAAAACATTGATTTGGAGCAAATTCTTTCAACCATGGTAAATAATGAGCATTGAATAATGTGGTCAATATGAAGAGGCAATATTCTTCTTCGTTCAATTCGATCGGTAATTGTTGTGATTGTTTACATTGCTGTTTCGAAACGAAAAGCTTTAGAAATTCCATCGAATATCGTTTCAAATAGGAAAATCCTTTAAGTATCCACCGAATTTTTGATCGATCAATTTTGGTACTAGTAACTAAACAATAAATCAAACATAATCAATAAGAAGCAATTGAATGATGGCTTTTTATTAGCTTAAAATATTCGATTTATAAATTCAATTAAATTACATTTTTAATTTCCAAAAATGAAAAAATATTAATGAACAATAGTAACGATTCATCGGTACGAATACATTGAGAATATTTCGTAAATATTTCGAATCATCTGGATGTTTCAACGAGTCATTATTATTATCATTTTCGAAAGTTGAATGGACCTGATCTTGCCATTTAATTGGCCATAAATCTCGATCACTTACAATCATCGATACATCGATCATCCATAATGAAAAATTAGCAATAGCCAATAATGAAAATACATGAGTCATGTTGATCAATTTTTTGCCTTGTAATCGAAGCAAATACGATTGTATGGTCACCTGGATGATGAGAGATAGAGAACTAATTAATGACAGTATTGGCACAATCATTTGAATTGTAGTTTTGGCATCCATTATATTATTCGATGATCCATCTGTTATTAGTCTGATGAAAAATGATTTAATGTTCATCAACGATACATTGTATACCAAAAATAATGTTACAAAAATGATAAAATGATGTTTCAATATGTTGATCTGATATTTAGGATCATTTACGTCAATTTGATGTCTTCGAACAACCAAACCGGTCAACGAAATCACAATGATCATAATCTTGGAATGAATTAGATTTGTAAAAAAAAGAATATTATCAATATTTCAACAATTACATACTTGAATGAATATGGATGCAGAATATTGTATCAATCGATTATCATAGAAAATAATTGAAGCAATAGAACTTAATAAGAAAATCGAACCAACCATAAAACCACGAAACATGTATAGTTTGCTTTCAGGATTCAAATAAGCAGAACGAATCACTTCTTCTTCTGAAAGTTTTGCACGAATAAAATTGATCTTGGATTGATTGTTGGAAAACCACATTGTTAACAATATAAAGACAGTAAGAAATTTAAACTGATTGTTTAAGATGAATAGACTGATCTGAAATGGATCGGCAATCAAGTTTTCAGTATGGTTTCCATTTATTTTCATCAAACCATCATGTTCGTTTCCCAATAATCGGCTGCTATTATCATTGAACAAAACAATTCGAAATGTTCTTAAATCAAGTTTATAATCGCAGCAATGCTTATGTTGTCCGACATGAACTTGTTTAGAGGATGTGGACAGAATCCACAATGAAATTTGTGTTGATAAAAGATGAGCAATGGCAATGTTTCGAAGTCCAATATAATCATTGTAGATAATCTTTAATGGAATATCAAAATTGTGTTAAAAATTTAAAAAAAATATTTCCACCATTATTTACTTGAGATAGCAGAAAATGCATAAAAGCGATATGATAGCAAAATTTAGCCACTGGTATTATCATTGAATCAGATTCAACACATTCAATTAATTCTATCAAACATTGAGCCAACTCACTGAAACCCAATATTATTGCACCGAACAAGATTGGCGTTTGTTCTATCCGAATGAAAAAATAATGTTAGATGGATTTTAAGAGCTAATCATTGCTAAAGAATGTAATTACCAGTCAATTCATTGAACGTTAGATTATCTGTGAATCGAGGTACGGCATAATATCTTAACAGGACGAAGAAAAATAATGAAGCGACCAAAATGTAGAATAAATAGATATCGATTATAAGATCTAAAGAATTCGTAATTGTTTCTGATATTGTCGTTTCCATATCTATAGAATGTGATGATTGATTGATAAATTTTAAATTCAGAAAGCAATAATCGATTCAACGAACCTCTTGTTTTGTTTAAACAAATTGTAATAGAAACATGAGTTATAAGATAAATCTGTGAAAATAATATGCATCGAGATTTTTTTGATCCATCAAACATGGCTAATTGATCATTTTTACTATTCGATTGTCTGATTTCTGAACATTCGGAATTATCAGATTTTTGACGTACAAGCTGTAGATTATTTCTATTGATGTATTTCGAAGGTGAATGTTGATTTTGTTGATAAATTTTTGGTTTTGAATGCTGTTGCTGATGATAACTTATTGTATTGCAATCATGAGTGTTTCCTGAAAAATTATAAGAAGATCGTGGTCGACATGAACGATGAAATTCGGCATTTGAATATTTACCATAAGGTTGTTGATAATGTTTTGATTTTGTATGTTCAATAGTCGAACATTTCTGTGACATTGTTAATTTGTGAAGTTTAGATGAATCAAATTCACTCGATGATTCGGTTCGATGATGAGATTTGTGATTCCAATCATATGATGAGGATTGAAAAAATGATGGAGGTGGCGGAGGTGGTGGTGGTGGTGGGGTCATTCTATCGAATTATTCTATGTTAAAATATATATAAAAATTAAAAAATTGAAAAACCAACACAGATACCAAACGCCGATGATTACAATGTTCAAACATTGAATGTCCAAATTCAACCGGGTAAGTATCAGATTTAAACGATTGGATAATTATGGATTCGAAATAAAACGGTATCCTATATCGAATAAAGGAAGAGTAAAAAGAGAGAGAGAGAAAGAAGACTTAATCAAGTTACTGTTAGCTTTACCATCCTTCATTCATTGAGTTAAAAAAAATGGATTTCTTCTAGGTAAAATGAACGACCAAAAACATAGATGACCATTCGAGGATGACAAACTGGATTGCATCATTACCACCATCCAAGCACTTAGATAGATCGGTATTAAATTGTCCAATAATATACATTCACAGTTATTTGCTTTTGACAGTGGTCGCTAAATGTTGGCCACTGACCAATCAGAAAAATAAATTAAGAGGGAAAAAATCAACCGAATCTAATCGAGATGATGATTCTTTTTCTTTCTGGTTGAATCATGATGACAGTTTTTTTTTTATTTCATCAGTGATAATGATGATGCGTTATATGAAATATGACAAGAAAATTTTTTTTGACAGATTTAAATAAAAATTCTTATAATAATAATTAATTAAAATCATTTCATTCATGCTGGTCATCGTTTTGACCTTATTTTTTTCAAAAAAAAGTTTCATTCGTTAATAAACATTATTAAGTAAGAAAAAAAATTCAAAAGGTCAGGTCAAGAGAAAACGAGATGATCTAAAAATAATTTAGCCGGAGCTCGAAAACAAAAAATTTCATTTCTCGGTTGATCACAAATCTATTACCACTATCGGTTATGTGGTTAGTTGGTCAATGAATTTAAATTTGGTTTTTGATTATCGAAAATTGTTTATATATCTGGCCAGTCAATCAACCAGTACTGCATCGGCCGAATCAAAAAAAAAGAGAAATGATTTTTTTTTCTTTCTCCTTCTACCATCATCGCTAATAGGAAAAAAATGTCAGTTATTTTTTTCAACGACATTTTACATTAGAAATCTTAATCCGAATTTGAAATGACCAAAAAAAAACGATAAGATTTCTTATTCGTTCAGTAGTAGGTCGTTTGTCGTATCACATACTTGTCATTTTTTGTTGCTCCAAAAATACAATGTTATGACAAGTATGTGATATGAATTTATTTTGGTAAATTTTTTTTTCGACATCAAAAGAACTTGGTCATATATGATGATCAAGAAATGCAATAAACAAAAAATAAATGTCCAGCATATCGATCTCATATTTTAAATTATTATTTTAGAAATTATAATTCGGATGATTTTTGATTTAGATTACAAATTAAGGCCACAGATTTGGCCTAAAATAAAAACATTTCACGCATGCATACATTGAATGTAAACAAACCAACAACAGGATGCAATAATCAACAAATTTTACCTGTATCCAGGACGTTGGTCGATCACCTAGGATTCATTTTTTTTGGGCATTTTTTTCTGTGATCAATGCTGCATACGTTTCGGATAAATCGACCAATCACAGAAAACAAAGTGCACATTGTTTGAAATTTTCATTGCATTCGAAAAGCAAAGAAAAAAGAATGTCTTCAATGTTGTTATTCTTCTGGATTCTATTATCATTCTCAAATGTTTTCATCAACACGCAAGATTATTATTGTATGATTAAAATTTTAACATTTGAAAATTCATTGATTATTAAACATTTTTTGTCATCACGATAGATGAGCAGAATTTAATTATTCCATTACGACAATGTTATTTGGATTATGAATGTCCATTTGCCAATTCCGAATGTGAATGGTACGATCAGGCGAATCGTCAACGTGTTTGTAAATGTATTCGTGGTTTTCGATGGAATGGACAACAATGCATCCGTTATAATAATGGTGGTAATCATCATGATGGCTGTTGGGATGATTGGAGTTTCAACAATTGTACACCTTTGATGACAATTTCGATAATTACATTGCTTATTGTTGGATTGGTTGCTTTATTTGTCATTGTTACCTGTATTATTGTTAGTTGTGCGAAAAAATAGAAAAAAATGATGTTTTTTTCAAAATTATTAATGAACAAAATGATCACATCTTACATGGATACTAACCAAAAAGGTTAGCATTATAACCCAAATTGGTGAGTACTAACCTTAAAAGGCTAGCGTTGCAGGACGAATAACCCAAAAGGTTACATGGATGATGATCACGTGCTTTCGACCACGTTTTGTTTTTATATATTTCATTTCATATGTTTGTCATTTTCAATTCTGTTTATTATTGGAAAATGTCGATTCTTGATAAAGAATATGTGGATAAATTATTCAACGAAATTCAATTTATTTTACAAGATAAGGAATCTGATTCTTTTATGAAAGAGAAAAATAGAGGAAATTTTCATTATAAACAATTGAATAAAAATTTTTGTCATCGTCTTGCACAACGATTGAATGAACAATCCATCGAAAGTGATAAACACCGAACGAAATTGAATTCATGGCTAGACAGTGATGTGGATGTCATACCGAATGAATATGAAGGTGGATTTAAAATCCACATCCTTTTCAAGTTTTCTTTTCAGAGTCCATTATTATAATTGATGTAGGATAATTGGAATCCAGATTAATATATGTGAAAACATGGTCAATGAGGTAATTTACATTTTGCCTTAGATTGAAAATGCTAACAATTTTCCTTGTCTTTTGAAGCATAAAATTTTCATTGATGATCAATGATCATCATTAGACATATAATTGGTGCCGTCTTTATAAAACGATCATGGTAATGATGCCGAACATTACAAATTTATTGGTGGATATCTGGTCACTAACATGGTACGATGTCTAATGAAACTTTCAGGTAACTTTCTAATTTCGCTATCGATCAATGATTCTAACACTTACATTTCTCAAAGGCCTGAATTGGATTGGATTGTTGGAGCAATTATTCGGTAAGTCGGCATATTCATTCTTCATATCTAATAAAGACTGGTCTATCTTTTTTTATTAGGTTTGTTCCTGAAATTTTACAATCATCAAATTGAAATTCGATTGATGATTATGTTCGAGATCAATTCGGCGGTTCCAGTGTTCATCAGCATTCAATTCAAGAATAGTTTGACCATGTTCAACACATGATAACAGGTTAGGCTAGGGTTAGATTAGGCTTAGGAACATGATCTGAGCTATTTCCTATTGAATTTGATGCTGATTGAATCTTTGGAATCAATGAAGCGATCGAAAACATAATTATAAGTCGAAGATTCATTGGATGGAACACATACTTGAAAGTGATCATGGTAAGAAAATGAATAGATTAATTAAACAAACAACTATATAATATTTATCTTCACTTAGGATCGTCGGCGAACAATTGGGAAATTGAATCTCGAATCACGGATAGAATTTGGACATTGTCTTGTAACATGGACCGCGAATATTGGATCTATTTCAAATGATCATGGTAAGCAAATGAATAGATTAATTAAACAAACAACTAATATTTATCTTCACTTAGGATCGTCGGCGAACAATTGGGAAATTGAATCTCGATGAACGACACAATCGATGTTTATTATTGGAAAATGTCGATTCTTGATAAAGAATATGTGGATAAATTATTCAATGAAATTCAATTTATTTTACAAGATAAGGAATCTGATTCTTTTATGAAAGAGAAAAATAGAGGAAATTTTCATTATAAACAATTGAATAAAAATTTTTGTCATCGTCTTGCACAACGATTGAATGAACAATCCATCGAAAGTGATAAACACCGAACGAAATTGAATTCATGGCTAGACAGTGATGTGGATGTCATACCGAATGAATATGAAGGTGGATTTAAAATCTGGGAAGGATTATCTGATCTAATCGATTATTTTGAGCAAGATAATTATGATTTCACCGAATTGAATACGGATGAATTCAGAATTTGTGATGTATAAATACATTAACTTTGTTAATTAATCATTAAAATAAATGTTTATCTTTCTACAGTTAGGTTGTGGTTCTGGTCTGCTTTCTATTTATTTAGCGAAAAAATTGAGTCATTCAAATCCGAAATTAAAATTCCGAATTTATCTACAAGACTATAATGAACAGGTTATAAAATTTTTACCGTTCCAAATATCATTGTTAATGATGAAAACAATACTGCAGAACAAATAAAAGTTAATTACGAATTTCTTTGGGGCGATTGGCAGCAAATAAACGAATTTTTCATTTCAAACAAAATTAAACTCGATTTAATCGTCACCGCTGAAACAATCTATAAGGAGGAAAATTTTTCAAAATTGTCCAATCTTTTTCATGCAAACATTCATCATCCAAATGGTCGTGTATTGATTGCAAGCAAAAGTCATTATTTTGGAATCGGTGGTGGAACGTATTCATTTTTAGATTATCTTGATTCAATTACCGAGACTACTAATCAATCATTATGTTTGAAGGGTGATGTGGTCCAAGAAATTGATGCCTCGTTACTTCGTCATATTATTGAAATACGATTAACCAATAAAAAATAATCCCAGCAAGTCAAGCAAATATTTTTATATTTTTTAATCAATTCAATTCCAATGATAAATCATTCAATCAATCCGTTTTATATGGCTTATATAATCAATAATGTAATTAAAAGGTGGCTGTTACCTGTCTTGTGATTAGAAAGTGATTATTACTTTATAATAAAAAAAAAACAAATAATAAGCGAACATGATTTATCTCAAATTATGATGATATAATTGTTTTATCAATCAAATGGTCAATGTGTGGTCATCGTTTGGACGAACAATAATCAAGAAAAGAAAAAAAAACAGAGTGAGAGAGAAAAATGAAAAATTATAATAAAAAAAAAAAAAACAACAAAACAAAGTGAAAAAAATGAAAATAATTTTTTTATATGTAAATAAATCAATGTTCTTCTGTTTGTTTGTTTGTTATTCATGTATGTCTTTTCTCTCACATGTATTCAATAATAAAAGAACTGCACTTTGAAATGAAAAATAATCAATGGTTAAGTAATGAAATATTATAATAAATGTTTATAGAATGATTATGGGATTCAAAAAAAAAGTTTCAATCATCATCAATTATAATCGAAAAACAAATAAATTTCGATTATTATGTCAAAATGTGTCATGTGTCTGTGTATGATAAATTCGTAAAGCACACATTGTGATGGATAAAGATTAGAAAAAAAAGCTTAAAGAAGTGAAAACAAATTCAAAAAAAGAATTACATAAAAATTCTTTGTTTTCTGAAGTTATTTTTTTTCTGTGTTGTTTTTTTTTCTCATTAGGCTTCGATTATCTAAAATCTATATATGATAAAAAGTTTCATAAGAGTATATAGTGAGGTTAATATGATATAATAATGAGGATGATGTCATAGTGATTATAATGTCGATGTTGAGGTTAATCATAGTTATGAAATATTTGATGCGTGTATGTGTGTGTGTGTGTGTGTGTTATTAAAAACAAAAAACAAAGAAAAAAAAGATGAAATGTGAACACGAGATCATTCATACATTCAAATTCAATTGAAATTGAGATGTAATGATGATATAATAAAAATGCAATAATAAAAAAATGATTATGAGAACAGTAAAGAATAAAATCATGGATTCAGTCATGATAACTACAAATTCAATCAAACAAAAGATGAAAGAAAATTTAAAAAAAAGAACAGAATTAAATGCATTGTTTGTGCATCTTGAACAAATTTTTGAGGTTTTTCATTTGAGGTGTTGGTTTTGTTTTCCATAATTTTCTTCGATAATGAAGAAAAGTGAAAAAGAGGCATGTTGTTTGTTATTGTTGTGGACAATTAATGTCATATACATACAACATATATAAATAGAACACAAAATATTAAGTTTCTGGATTTCAAGAAGACAATGATGAAAAAGAGGAACAAAAAATTGTCAAAAAAATAAGAAAAATTGGAGGTCATTTTTGTTTTGTTTCGTTTTCCACTGAGTTAATTTTAGAGGTTAAAATATCGAATAATTCTGATATATCGAAAATATAAGTTCCAAATGGCACTAAATCGCAAATTTTGAAGTCGTTTGTGTCACTGATAAAATATTTGAAGAATTTTGCAAGATAGAAGATTAAAGAAAGAAGACCAACACTTCATAATGGACACACATCATTTCCATTTTACATCTGTTCCTGTTTTAACTGTGAAAACAATATAGAATTTAGAACGTTTTTGGTCATCGTATGATTAAATTTTAACAAGAAGATACCATCAAATTGGATGGCTGCTGTTGTTGTTGTTGCTGCTGCGATGAATCCTCGTTGGATTTATTAATGCCATTGTCCTGATTGTTCTGTTGACGATTATTTGATGATGATTGTAGCTGTGTTGCCCATGATGTATGACCTCCAATGGTACTATTATTGGTTGAGGTCTTGATTTGAGTCATTGTTACAGGTAACAATTGAATGGCCGATGCCGGTAATGAGGTCAATGATTGTGTTGTCATTGGCAATTTAAGTGCGGAATTGGCAACAGTCGTTTGATTAGCTACCGTTGCCGGCATTTTAGCATTGCGACCACGGCCAGGACTCGGATTCGTATGAATACGAAGATGTCGAGCTAAAAATTTAAACGAACAATTAAAAAGTCGAATCAATATTTTAAAAATAAAAAAAGTTGTAATCGTCATACTTAGTTTATCTTTGCGATAGAAACTACGTCCACAAATTTCACATGGAAATGGTCTTTCACCAGTGTGGATCATATGATGCCGTTTCAAATGATTTTTTTGCGAAAATGATCGGCCACATACTTCACAAGTGAACGGTTTATCACCTATAAACAATGGAATAAGATCAAAATCAATAATGACAATATTGGAGTATCAAACCTGTGTGAGTTCTCATATGATTTAGCAGCTTGCAGCGATATGAGAAGCCACAGCCACAAATCGCACAAGAACAAGTTTTCTCACCGTGTGCAACCCTCACGTGAACACGAACTCTTTCGGCGTTGGCGAATAATTTTCCACATTCATTGCATGGTACAGATTTGTCCTTTTTCATGTGAATACTATAAGGATGGATATAGGAAAAACAGAATAAACAACCGATTTAAGTATTGTTCAGTCTAAACAGAATTCTAATCTGAATTCAGGGCAGACTTAAAATTTTGTCTTTATTTTGAATTTTCAATTCAAACTAAAAGCCTAAGAAGGACATTTTCTAAATTCTAATGAAATTTTAATAATAATAACCAAAGAGAATAGCATAATGAGGATAGGTCAAAACAAAACGAACCTTTGATCTTCTTTCGAAGATGTAGTTGTTGTTTTGTTAAATGAATTGTTGTTGGTGATTGTATTTGAACTAACTATCAATTGATTCTGATTTTGTAATGATTGCTTTTGGGACGGCACAAAATGAGCACTGAACGGAAGATATATGTAAAACATACACCAACATACATATTTAAATGCATATATCAAATGCACAGCACATATATATAAAGAGATGGAAAAAAGAGCAAGAAAGATGGAATATAAAGAGAAAAGCAAAAAAATATAGATAGAAAAAGGAAGAGAAATATGATAAAAATAGGGAAAGTTCAATGTCAAAGTCGGACAAAAGAAATGGTTGTGAATAAAAAATAAATTGATTAAAAATTCTAATGGATCATACCTCAAATGAGTCTGTAATTCATTTGCAGATCGGAATGCAATTTTACAGGCTGGACATGGCCATGAGGTAATGTATTGAGTATATTGTGGATGAGCAACAGCCACGGCGGCAGCCACTGCAGCTGCACTATTCGATGTAATCACGTTGGCGCCACTCCCACTACTAGTGCTACTACTGCTGTTATTTGCTGAAACCAGATTTCTAGTTTGTCCAGGATTAATTTCTAACGGTAATAATACAGCTTGTTGTTGCTGCCCGGCCGCTGATGAATGTTGTTGCATCTGATTAAGTCTGGCGGCTGTTTGATGTTGACTATGAAAATTTTGATTCTGAATACCTTGGCCAGCGGCCGCGGCTGCCGCAGCAGCCGATTGTAACGGATTCCCTGGAAAAGCAACCGAAGTGCCAAATATATGTTGAGCTGGTTGCACGTTAGCAGCGGCCAGACCATTCAAACCACCAATATTTGCATGATTTGCTGCGTGATTATTGGAAGAACGATTCTTTACTCTTGAGCGATTATTCGTACCAGTTTGTTGTTGTTGCTGTTGTTGTTGTTGCTGCTGCTGTTGTTGTTGTTGTTGAACTAGCTGTTGTTGAATCGCTGCGCTTGATGCCTGATGTGAGGTTTGCAACTGTTGAGCCTGAGAGAATGGAATCGAAGATGTCGATAATAATGTTGGTGTCAGATTAGCAGCCATCTCATCGATTGATGTTTGCCGATTTGATGAAGAGGATTTCGATTTGGGTGAACTACGATGTGTCGTTATATTATTATTTGGATCAGGCGAATTTAGATTTTGCCGAAGCTGCTGAGGCTGCTGCTGTTGGTGATTTTGATGATGGAGGTGTTCCGGTTGTGGATGGATAAAATTACTTATTGTTGGTTGACGTGCATCTAATCCTATTTGATTTGAATTATTTTTAATGAGACAAATATTAAAAAACAAAATTATTATTGCACAAGGGTTAAAAAATGGAAAGAATTTTTTTTCAAGTGAAAATAAAAGAAAAAGAGATATGACCTTCGAGAAACGTATTCAATGGTAGATTACCGAAATTATGATATCGGTAAGGTAACATCGAGACGTTTGAGCGTGACGGTTTGTTTTTTTTCTGTTTCCTTCTGTCGATTGCTAATAATAATAATAATAAAGTGAAAAAAATGAATTGCGTTGATTATGAAGACAAAATAGATGATTATAGTAGAGTAGATTCCTGATTAACGATTTTTTTTTGAAAAAATTTTGAGGTAGATAAGTGGAAGTTAAAGATGTTTTTGAATAATAATTTTTAAATGAGAAGAAAAAAATGAGTTTTCCTCATCTGTGTGTGAGTGTGTGTATATATGTGAAAGTTAAATTTTCACTGTCTTTTAATTCAGGATAAGGGATTAAATGAAAAAAAAGAAGAGAAAGAGAAAAGAAAGTCATTATTAGTAGAATATATATATATAGAACATCATAAGACAAGTCATAATAATACAATATAATAAAAAGAAAAAAAGAAATTCTGTCTATAAAATAATGGGTTAATCACATTCTAAGCCAATATTATTATTACCATAAAAATAATAAAATAAAAAATTTACTTTGATGTTATTTGTATGGCATCATTTTGTATTGATCTTATATGGTCAATACCGAATTTTTCATCATTTTGTTCACAATAATTGTAGGAGAAGAGGAGGGAGGAAAATAACAGAAAAAGAAGAACAAGAACATAATATGGCGGCAATGAAAGACGATCGTGTATCCATTCACAAGCAGCAGTTAAATATTATTTTCATTTTTTTCAATCAATACTATAACACCATGGATTCATTCATACGATTCGATTGTGGAAAGAAAATGATGAAAACAATTATAAACAATTAAAACAAATGATGATGAAATAACCAAAGATATAAAAACGTTTAAAAAAATCAAAACAAAGCTTTTTTCCGTTTACATTAGTCACATTAGTTAAGGTGATGAATTGAAAAAAAAAATTCTGGGTAATGTTTCAATGAGACAAATGAGAATAAAGTGTGTGGTGTCTTCTTGTTGTTGTGGTTGTTGTTATAGCCATCAAATGACAATTCACATCACAATAATAATAATCAATTCAAATGTTGATTTGATTGAAATTTAAAATTATGTTTGATGATGAATGTAATCATATCGAAAAATTAAAAAACAAATAAAAACCATTCAGGATCATCTCTCTAAAAATTATCATCATACTTATTCTTTATTTCATACATTTTTCAACTTCTTCACAAATCACATCTACTACCTCTCCCTTTCCTTGTCGCTATCCCTCTCTCTCTCTCTCAAACTTAAACAAAACACTCGACAGAACCAGCAATAATAATGGCAGTAATAATATTAGCACCATCATTTCTTGAAAAAAAAAATAGTTTTTACGCATGCGTTTAGAAATTCGGGCTAACTTGAGTCTTGTGAATGCATATGATGAGGAACCAAAATAATGGTGGTGGTCGTTATTTATGCTGAACTTGTCACATTAGCCAAGCAAAAGAGAAAGAAACGGGAGGGGGGAATGAAAACTAAAACTGGATTTATATAAAAAAAAAATCCTGGCATGCGCATGATGAAAAAAAAACAAATTATGTTTCGAGGAGGGGGTGAGGGAAAAAAGGAAGAGAATAAGTGAGAGTTAGGGTAAAAGTGAAATATATTTTTTATTATTATTTCTTCTCAAAACGATCGCGTGTGAGGGAGGATAAAATGAACGAATTGAATTTATGATGATGATGATGATGATGGCGGGTAGTGGGGATGATCAAGTTGGATATTTTTTTTTTTTTTTTTTTGGTACCATAACTCTTGTGTATACACAGAGAAGATGATGATGTTATGCAAGTATATCTGTTTGCAAATATGCGTGTATGAGATTCGATCAAAATTTAATGTATAGAAGTTTGTGTATGTTTGCGACTAGTCGTTTAAATCATCATCATCATCATCATCATGATTGCCAACATAAACGATTATATAGAATTTTGTGTGCGCACCAATGTCATTTAAAGTGTTTTGAAAACATACTTTTTTATATGATGATGAATTAAAATCAATGAGATGGAGACCACTAAACAAGCCCGCCAAAAAAGAACTAGCACAATGCATCGAACGAATTTTGAAGATATATCGACATTATTTCACACGCATAGATATCGAAAGTGTAAAGCTATAGAATATGACACAACTTGGAGATTTTTTTTTCTTGGTTTCTTTCTCAAGGATATCCCAGCTAGCGTAATCAAATGGTGTGTTTGCCATACGTAATAACACATGAATGATGAAGGGTTTTCTTTACGACTATCATCATGTGTATGTATTTGTGTGTATGAATGGAACAAATAAAAAAAAACAAATTTTACGAGATAGTATTGGAAAAATTCGAGTTATGGTAAAGATCCACCAAAAGCAGCAAATGGGAATAACAGAAAAATTCAATCAGAGAAAAAAATAAAATGTAAATACCTGTAGCTTTTCCTTCGAAAATACTATGATAGATTCTTATTAAATCCAATAAGCCTTGTGGTTGTTGTTCATCATTAAAATATTCATTGCAAATTATTTCTTTTGTATTCATTATATCCTGTTGTTAATCAACGAATAACAATTTAATTGAGGTCACATATAACATCATAGATGATGATTGAAGATTCAGAAAGCCCAGAATTCAATAACGAAAACAAAAAAAATGAGAAAAGGCAATCATTGCTTGTGTTTGACAATGATGATGGCAACAAATAGAATTCTGAAGAGTGTGGATTCAATAAAAATTTGAGTTGATCAATAAAAACAACATTGTTATTAAATTTAAAATTCAAAACTTGATTATAAATGAAATGTCAAACCCTTTGAGATCCAAAAAACACGTTTGATTTGAATCATACACGCATTCGATAGATGGCCCAAGTATCGAATTCCATTGAATTTTTGCATGCGAGAGAAAAATTAAGTAACGTTCTTTATGAACAGATAAAATGTGCGATTCAATTGTGAGCTCGATATATTGCAATCAATGGCAATATTTGCCTGTTATTTTGCTCATCAAAGTTTATAACTCATTATATTATTATTATCATTTTTGTTTGGAAAATTAAAATATTAAATTCTCTTTTCGTGCTTAGAATTAATTAATTCAATGGAAACCAAAAATTCTTCGATCTCATCTGTGATAAAAAATGACAACGATAACAAAGAAGAATCAAATAAATCGATTGCCGACAATGCCGTTATCGATGGGGCCATAAATAAATCATCATCATCATTGACCGATCAGCAACAATCATCCAACAATCGTCTTAAATATGGTCGTGTTGTCATCTTGTTAGAGAATCCAATATTACCGAAAGAAACAATATTGAATACTCCTTCGAAAGCTGATAATCTTGATCCTGATATTGAAAATGATCTTCGCATTACAGGATGTAAACTCATACAAATATCGGGAATTTTATTACGCTTACCGCAGGTTTGATGATAAGAAAATCATTATGGAAAAGTAATTTATAAGTTTTTCAATTCTTTTTTAGGTCGCAATGGCTACTGGCCAGGTTTTATTTCAACGATTTTATTATTCAAAATCATTCGTACGACAACCAATGGAGATAACAGCCATGGCATGTGTAGTACTTGCATCAAAAGTTGAAGAAGCACCACGACGTATACGAGATGTAATAAATGTTTTTCATAATATGAAACAGATTAGATTGAAGCAGTAAGTGTTTATTGAAAAATCAAGAAAGAAAGCAAAATTCTGCAGCTTATGGCTAGAAAAGTTTTGTCTTAATCAGGATACTAAACTTTCTTGAAAATAATGCTGCTAAATTAAATACTAGCTTTCAATAACTACTTCATCATGCAATCAATTTATGCAATAGAAGATTTAATGTTAAGCTAATAATTTTTTCGATTTTTTATTTATTTATTTAGACAAACAGTGCCAATCATATTGGATGAAAATTATATTTATCTCAAAAATCAAGTCATAAAAGCTGAACGAAGAATTCTAAAAGAATTGGGATTCTGTGTTCATGTAAAACATCCTCATAAATTTATCGTTGCTGTTGCTCAGATATTGAAAAATGAAAGCAATGTTGATTTGATACAAACTGCATGGTAAGTTATTCAATTTTTTATTCTAAATGATGATGATTAGCTTTGTGGTTGAAAATGGTTGGAGAAAAAAAAACAATGAAGGGTGTCAGTCAATTTAAAAAAAACAAATGAATATGGATTTTGTTGTTTGGGTTAGTATATGTAATAATCATGAGTAAAAAAAAAAATTAATCAATCAAGAATAAGAATTAAAAATTTTCGCAAAAATTATAATTTATTATGACAAAATTGATTAATGCATCTTATTTTTATTATATTGTCATTATTGTCAAAATTAAATTAAAAACAAACAAGATATGAGATGATTTTCGTCTCTGTTACGATCGATCGAACAAATAAAATTAAACCGAAAAAAAATGATTTTCGTCGACTACGTTGATTCCCTTATTCGGTCGTAAGTAGTATTATTATTTTTTTTAAATATTCATTGATGATTAATTTTTAAACAAAAAAATTAACTTTTATCCAATACATATTCTATGCAAAATTTGGCTGGCACATGTTTTCATTTCGATCATCGTGTGTTGTAAAGTTATTTTTTTTGTTTGTTTGTTTTATTATTTGTTTAAATTTGAAATGTATGATTTATATTTGATAGAGTGATGAATGGTTCGTCTGATTTACATTTGTTGCTGAGTTGCTGACATCCTTCACATCCGTGTCATCATTTTCAATCATTGGATCATTTGTGGCATCCATAGTTGAAATGCTCTTAATTTTTTATTTTAATTTTTTTTTTCACAGGAGCTATATGAATGATAGTTTACAAACAAATGTTTTTGTTCGTTATCCTCCAGAATCAATAGCTTGTGCATGTATTCATTTGAGTTCAAGAATTTTAAAAGTAAGTCTTTGGTTTATTTTTTTTTTTTGAATTTTATTTCTAACAAATTGTTTTGTTTTAGGTATCATTACCCAGTCAACCATTGTGGTATGAAATGTTCAATGTAGATTCCGAAAGTATCGACGATATTTGCAAATCCATTCTGATGTTATATACTCGAAAACCATTGGACCAAGAAGATTTGGAGACAAAAGTAGAACAAGCTCGGCTAAAACTAGAAGCAGAAAAAGTTAAAGCACGAGCTCTAGCTCAACGTAATAATCTATTGTCCACAGAAGCTATCAATTCACCTGTATTGATAGATTCACGTTCAAATTCTCCATCGGTTGTGGCAACTGATATCATTGCTAGTAAAATCAAAAATAATGCGTCAATTGATGTGAATGATAAAAATCCTGATGTCAGATCTCAGATTTTGAATAAGCCTATGATAATTGACGGTGACGAAAAAATATTGAAAAGCATCCGTAATGATGATAATATAATGGAAATTTCCACACAAGATTCAATTAGTGGTGGCAATCATGTTAATCAACAGCAAGATAATGTTGGAAGTGAACACAGTTCCATTAGCTCATCATCATCATTTAAATTGCAAAAATCTCCCATCAAATCAAGCAAAGAAGAAACATCGAAATCATCGAAAAGATTAGATTATGATTATAATCATTCATCGTCATTCGATAATGATCATTACAAATCTACAGCTTATCGTTCCAAAAAGAATGGCCATTCCATATGTAGTTCAGAACAAGATGATTATTATTCCAACAGTCGTGATGATCATGTAAAACTAAGAAATGAGCAGAAAGAATACCGTAACGATAGATCACCACTTGTACCTCGTTCATTTATTTCCTCCAAAATCGTCAGTAGTAATAGTAATAGACGCGATCATAGAAATCGTTATTATCAAGAAGATTCTCGTTCACGATCTAGATCTCCCATTTCAACTTCATCCTCATATTGTGATAATCAATATTCATCATCTCGTAATTACTATTATGATCGTCGAAATGATGCAAGTCGATCATCAACAACAGGAAAAAATCGTTCAAATGATGGCGATCGACGATATAAAGATGATCCGAGAAGTACATCATCGAATCATCACCATCATCAAAGACACCATAATTATCATGAAAGTCCCGATCAATCATCATATTCATCACGTTATTACCATAAATCATCATATAGCGGAAAATATTGAGTTTTTTTTAACAATTGTAAATATATAAATTAAAAATTGACAAGTTTATTTTTGTCTTTTCTTTCAAGTATGAATAAAAATGTAAATTTTATAAAAAAAACTCAATGAATAATAATAATAAATTTATAATTAATATGGGTAAGATAAGAAGGAATGCTCCTTTGAATTCATTTTGTAAGATATAATTTTCTTATAGCTTCTAGAAATAAAGATAAGTATAGACAAGAATCCATGTGACCAAAAATGCGGCCAATGATGTCATGAAGCCTTCTTTAACAGCAGTCAAAGCATCTTCAGAATCATCATTGACATTGACTATGTGGTAGGAGAAAGAAGATATTCCATTTCATCATTATATAATGATAATAAATTTATTATAATATATTCAACGTACTTGAATATAAATAAACCACAGCCGAACTGGTAGCCATATAACTAAGTAATCCGAATGCACCGGTCAATCCAAGAATACCCCAAACGATACCAATTATTATTGAAACTAATTGTCGGCCCCAATAGATTACGTCCAAGAATTCATCCTATAGATATTCGATTGTAAAAAAATTTACGTGTCAATTAAAATAAAAATTCATACTTTATCTTCCCAATGTGATGATATCGTAAACATTCGTTTCCATGTTGATTGTTTAGAATTTTGAATTGAAGAATTTAAATTTTTACCCATTATGATCGATTATTATTAATTACATTATTTTATATAATAATACACATAAATATAAATATATTTAGAGATGGTTTTAAAATATTTTTAATCATCTACTATCGATCGATCGACTAAGTTGGACACGCGATTTATATCATCATCATATTTATATCATTGGTGCATGAATCGGCTAAATCAGCCCCAATCATCTCTATTCAGTTAAAATAGCTATGTAAATAGCAACAGTAAAAAAAAATCCGTTGAAAATTTAATTAGAAAATTCGATGCGAGCCAAAATACCATGCCCATTTTTATAACACATCTATTTACAAGATATATATCTTAATTTATAAATTCAAATTAGATATGAATCCTTTCCAAAATGTATTAAATTGATTGTGAGTTAAAAAATTCTACGTTTTCCATTTATCTTTTTTTTCATATAACAACGTCTATGAATCATTCAGTAGTTTTCTATTTTTTCATCATCGATTTAGTTTTGCCGCTTTTTTTTTATTTATTACGTTGAATCACACGAATAGTGAAATCAAAAATGACAATCGAACAATATTTCACTTTTCGTATTCCCGATCGTTTAGAGGAGCTTGAAGATCGGGAAAATTTTCCCAATTTTTATTCAGTCAATTTAACCGTACGAAATCCTGCCGAATTGTCTTCCAGAATTGTCGAAGCTGAACGCCGTTTCAAGAGTCAAGGGCCTGATTTCATTCTTGAAACTTTTGATTATTTTTATTTTGTTATAAAATTCTTCAAAGATGTTGACATTGAAGTCCGCAATCAGGCTTGGATATTACTTAATCGTTCAATGTTTTCTTTGCATAGCCAATTGAATCAATTTGTTAACGAAAATTTTCACATTGATCAACGACGAACACAACAGAACAAACTTCAGATGATCGTATTTGCTTTTGTTATGCTCAGTGAATTATTCGAAGATGATAGCAATGTCGAACTCGAAGATAATCGTAATAGGAAAAAGAAAAACAAATCCACCAAATGTTCGAAAATATATCAAGATTCCAAACATCAAGCCATATCAACAATGTTACAATTATTTTCCTTGCGATTGGATCGAGTGTTTGAAACGTCTCATTTTCTTAGCAATTTTGTCAATATTACCACACGTTGGATTTACAAAATTATCGAAAACAGTATGGCATTTCGCCTTCGCTCATCCGTATATTTTAATAATATATGCGAAATGATCACGATTGCATTGGATCGATATCAACATGGTATCAATTATTGTATGAAAATTATCGAAATGCTCCAGAGCAAAGAAAGCTCTTCGGGTATTCTTTCTGATCTAGTCGCATATAATATAAAACGTCTGCCACATTTATTCATCGTCCATGATATAGTAGAACAGATAAAATCTATGGATATCAATATTTTATCAAAAGATAATTCTGCTCCACGAGCATTGTCAACATTTCTTATTGAATTAGGCAAAAAATGTACCGACATAATGTTCAAACATATTTCCGATCTGTTTGACTTTCTTGAACAGGATTCATATTGGCTTCGAAACGCTACGCTTGAAATTATTGCAACTATTATCATCAATAAATTCGCTTTACCTACTGTATTCAAAGATGTTCATATTAAAAACAAACTATTGGACAAACTTGAAGAACATATCCATGACATCACTAGCTACACTCGAAGTCGTGTTTTACAGTTATGGTGTCAATTAGCCGAACATGGTGCCATTCCTATTGAACGTTTATTATCTGTTATCGATTTAATCATTGGCCGTTTAGATGATAAATCTTGTTTCGTCCGCAAGAACGCTATTCATTTTCTTACAATAATGCTAAAAGAAAATACATTCAACATGATGAATAAAAAAGATATGATTAAGCTAATGGAAAAAACTCAATCATTAAGTAATCAATTTAAAGAACAATTAATTGAATTAATCGAACGACACCAACAAGAAACGCAAACTTTAATTAGTGATACTTCGGGCGACAGTAGTACTTACAATGAAGATGATAATACCATCGAAACAAATATCACAGAAAATCATGAACATGTCCCGCAAACTCAAAAAGATAATCGAAAACGAAAAAGTGAAGAGTATGCTAAATTATTTTCAAAAAAACCGAAAAATGATACCAGCTTGATTGAAACATTGGCTGCCGATTGGGTGAAATTGGAAAAACCATTTCATGATTTCTGGAAACTACATGGTTTGGAAATGAAAGAAAAGCTAAAGAACATATCATTTCCTAATGATCTACCTCAAGATAACTTGGAAAAAGGTTTCGAATATTTTCGAAGTCTGTTTACAAACTCTCAATTTGAAGAGGCACTTATTGCACTTTTTTCATTGAAATCATTATATCCAAACGAGCCATTATTTCAATTAAAAGCATCAGATTGTCATGATCAAGATGATAGCGATGATGATGACAATGTCGTTGGCTTTTCTAACGATAATGATGAAGATGGTTGCGATGAAAGAAAAAATAATGCCACTTTTAGTGAAGCTGATGGTCTATTTTTGAGTGCCATGACGAATTTTAAATCCAATTTGAAAACAAAACTTTCCTATGAGCTCACCTTAGCAAAACAGGTGTTTTTGGCTCCTTTGATTGATTTTGGAAATCTAAATATTGACCAAGAAACTGGAAGCCAAAAACAAATGATTGAAAAAATTTTGAGCGATGAAACTGGTGATGTAATTGCTAAAAACATTACGGTTTCACCGGAAACTATTGAACGTGAATGTAAAAAAATCAAACAATATGAAACGCTAGTTGAAAGGCTAAAGTTGGCCATCAATATAACGAATGCTATTTCCGAATCGATACCAACCATTTGTGTTCTACTCAATTCTCGTAATGTCACAGACATTCAAGAAGCGATCAGTTTTTTCACCTACGCTTATCGTATGGAAATCGATAATGCTATGTTTGGAATACAGAAGATGCTGAAGCTGATTTTCAATCGTGAAAAATCGATACGAGATGCATTGATGGAAGCGTTCACCGAAATCTACTTGAATCATTCTCCTAACGAGGAAAAAACGCGAAAAGAAGATCTACCGGATATAAAGAGTATTCATTATATGGAAGTGAAACATTTATCAAATATGATTCTGAAATTGAATCAAGGAGAGCTAATTTGTGCCGAGGCTGTAATCAAAGAGCTTTACGTGGCCCAAAAATTCAATCAAATACATTTACAAATCCTTTGGGAACGTTATGCTAAAAAGTATTCAAAAATTACTGATGAAGATAGCAGAGCAGCATTGATCATCATCGGAATGTTGGCCTCGGCTCAACCATCATTGATACGTAATGAATCAAATCTAAATAATATCATTTCCATTAGCCTGGAACCTCCACATTGTTATGATCATCGTTTTGTTGCCGATACTTGTGAAGTATTAATGAAAACTTTTAAAATGCCACAAACCGAATTGATGGAACGATTTTTCAAATTACCACCTGATCATCTACTTTTTATTCGTCTTCGTTCAATCATGGCTGAAAGTATTACCAATATTGATAGCAAATATTGGCTACGTATGTCTTCTACCGTCATCAAAGTAACTTATTTTTTGGCCGACAAACCAGATTCCATCATTTCACAAATTATTCAAGATTGCTATAGAAATATTTTTAACAAAGCTAAATTACCCGAATTCCAACAACATCAGAACAGTCAAGAATCAACGAATGATGCAAGCGATTCATCGGCAGCTCATATTACATCACAAAATCACATAATCGTTCATATCGATGATGTAATGATCTCACGTTTCATATCAATGCTGGGCGATGTTGCTATTAATATATTGATACATCTTGATTTGCATCTCATGAAAGAATTGAAGATTCGTCAATACATCAAAGAAAAGGAGAAAACTTCGAAAGCTTCCAATCATTTGTCACGTCGGGTCAATGATAACAGCTCTGTTTTAAATGGAAGTCGAAATAGTGAGGCTACCAATTTTACTTTTGATGATGAAGATGACGAAATGGATGATATGATTGGACCCAACAATGACGATCCATATCAGGAAAATATCTTCAAAATTTGTAATGAATCCGTATTATTTGGTAAGTATAACCTTTTAAAAAAGATTTTCGAATTAATGATTCATTTCATCAATATTGAACAGATAACGGTATATTAAAAAAATTTATTCCACTTATTGAAAGAATTTCAACCGATTATGAAGGTAATTGTTTTTCATATTGTCTTCGCCAATCCGCCAGCCTATCCATGGCCAAATTCATGGCACTTTCATTGAATTATACGCGTAAAAATCGAGCCACATTGGCCGATATACTCGAAAAATCCAAAGACGGTGATATACGTTCAAATGCAATCATATCATTCGGAGATCTATTGGTCCGTTTTCCGAATGAAATGGAACATTTTACTGGAAAAATATTTGGCTGCCTTACTGATGATAATTTTCAGGTGAAAAATAATGCATTGATTGTATTGACACGTTTGATTTTAGCCGATATGATCAAACCGAAAGGTCATATAAGCAAGATTGCTCAATTGGTAACCGATGATGACGCCTCGATTTCATCTTCAGCTCGTTTATTTTTCGTTGAATTGGGCAAAAAGAATAATGTATACATTTACAACTATTTGCCCGATATAATCAGTAATCTTTCAGGCGTAAATGGTATGGAAGAAGAAAAATTTCAGGATATGATCAAATTTTTGTTTGAATTGTTGGAGAAAACTCGTAACACTGAATCATTGGTCGCCAAACTTTGTCATCGATTCAGTAATACAACGTATGTATTTTTCTTATTGAAAGTTTGATTAATAAACTTTTACAATTTTTTTTTATGAATTTCAGTGATGAACGTATCTGGCGAGATTTGTCATATTGCCTTAGTCAACTTCAATACAATGATCGAGCGATGATAAATTTGATGAATAATTTCTCATTCTTTGCCAATACCTTGTACTGTGACATAATATTTGCTAATTTTATGGCCATTTTGAATAATGCTCGAAAAAATGGTACGATCAAATCGGAATCAAAGGTCATGTTGGATGAGATGGAATCGAGAATGAAAGAAATTCGAACAAAGTCCAAATCTAACGATGAACAAAATGGCAACGTCAACGATGAAAATGGTGAACAGCAAATTTGTGGTCAAGATGAAAACGCAGCAAATGTAAGAATATAAAGAAATTAATAATTTATTTTATTTGATTTGAAATTTATTATTTTCCTTTTCTATATATATAGAACAAACAAACTGTTTCAGTGCCAGAATCAGATGTCCATAAAGGAAAACGCACTCGAACAGTAATTAAAAAACAGCCCAGTCGTTTAAACAATAATACGACAACGAATAAGAAAAAGGCGAAATCTTCAATTCCTATTAAAATTGAAGCAAAACGAACTGATTTGCGACAATCCAAACGGGTGCGTCGAAGAATTATTTGCGAAGATGACAGTAATGACGACGATGAAAATGGTGATCAATATGTGTTCAATTGATAGTAAATTTTTTTGTAATTAATAATAATAAAATAATAATTGCTATATGCGTAAATAAAAATTTTAAATTTATCATTATCAATTATTTCTGGAAAGTTTATTCATTTTGATTTAAAACATTTTGAAAAAGTTTACCACATGATTTTTTGATTCATTTAAGAATGGCTTCATTTTTGAAAATAAAAAACGATTTATTTTCAAAATGTCTTCGAGATATCAGTAAGAAATTTCAAAATTTTTCTACACTATATAATAATTTTAATTTCATATAATTTAGATTATTTTCAATCACGTAGCGCTAAAAGTCCAGCAATGACACAACGAGGTTACAAAAAGAAACAACGAATATTTAGTTTGAACAAGATACCAGGTGATCGGGTCGATGAACGAATGATGATTGGCACTCAAAAGCATCTGAAATATTTTCCCGGATACAATTGTGGCATTAATCCTCGAGATAAATCTTTGTATGCAATAACTGCCGGTACAGTGTACTATTCTATCGAACGGGTTCAACTTAATTCGAATAATCCATTAGTACAACAATATTTCGTCAATACAATTCAACCATATTATAACAAATATATTCACGTCATTCCTGACAAATTAGAAAATGAATTTCGTCTTGTAGATATTGTTTAGTGGAATTGATTCATTTTCAAAATAATCAAATTAAAATAAAAATTGCTTAAAAGCTAAGCAACTGGGTATTGTGAATTTCAATTAATTTTTAGTGTTATTTGATAAAGTTTAGTGAATTTTTTTCTGTTTTTGAAATTAACTTTTAAAAAGTATTATTATGGACAAACGCAAATATACGATTATGGCAGCCGTGACTGCAGCCGTGTTTGGTGCAATCGGCTATTATTATTACCAGAAAAGAGATTCTATTGATGAGGCGATAAAAAAAACGGCCGACACGATCAAACAGCAAGCCGATGTGGTGAAACAACAGACCGACAATGCACAGAAGAACATTCAAGAGGCAATGAAAGAATTGGAAAAAAATATTCCGGACAAAAGTCAAAAGGCCACAAAACTTTCATCAAAGAAATGAATGTTTTAATTATAATTAGTTTTAATTTTTTTCGGTCCGGAATTAAATTTTTTTTTTGTTTGTTTAAAATGTTTTTCCGTGTATTTTGATTTCACTATTCTTTTCATTTTGATGATTCGGCTGCAAATTTTTCCGGTGTCATTGTTTTCATACGGAATGAATGTATGGAATTCATTTCATCTGCAATTGTTTCGTTGACAAGTCGATGTTGATCTAGCAATGAAAGGCCATCAAATTTTGCCGATACAATTTTGGCTACAAACTTTGCACCGCAACCATCAGAAACGTCTTCGATTTCCTACATTTTTTTTTAAAAAAGGAAAAAATTCAATGTTCACATATTTTTTGGAAATTTATGAAACAAAAACACCTACCACATGGGTGGCGGCTAGTTTATCAATTAATTTTGCTTTTAATTGTTCAATGGTGATTGCCATAATTTGTGCGAAAAAGAATTGTGAAAATGTGATGATGAAAATGAAATTTGCAATCATGTGCAGATTTTATTGTGTTAAGAAATGAATTTATTTAACAATAAATTCGATACAATCGATTTTTTATACATTTGAATCGTTTCGGCGGTATAGCAATTTGAAAGGAATTTTCTCAACATTTATCATTACGAAAAAAAAATAAGAGAGGAAAAAAATTCATTGATGTGAATGGAGGTAAAATTGTTGCCAAAACAAATGACAACGATTGAATAATTAATAATAAGAGATCTTTAGGTTCATAACATGGAATGTTTGGGTATTGATGTTAATCGTGAAAAGAATTGCATAAATTCAGGATAAGAGACCATTCGTAGATGAAAAATAAGTGGATTCGTTTCACTTATTTCTTCTTCACTTGATGTTGATTTTATATCTGGCTCAATATTCGATTGTTTATGTCCGAATAAATATGGGGGAACCTGAAATGGTTCCGCTCTAAATTCGTGATTTAAATGTGAATCCAGTTTAGGATTGGGTTCCGAATGATTCGTATCAGCTGAATTATTGTCGTCGACTATGACAGCTTTCATTGTTCGTGGAATAGACTTTTAAAAATTTCAAAAATTTAAAAATATGGCCATTTATGAAAGATAATTATTATTCTTACTTGTTCACTATTGAATCGTTCAATGATTCTCTGTCTTGTATCTGGAATCAACAGCTGTTGCCATATTTTTGGTAAAGATTTTTTGATAGATTCAAGACTTGGTGGCATATCCGATGCACTAATCATCGAAAACAATCACTATCAATAAAATGATGACAATCAATAAGTCAGAAAATACTTACTCTTTCAATTGCATTGATGATCGTTTAGCGCTGATACCACGACAATATGGATGAAATACAACTCTTCTACAGTTGACACGTTCGGCGGCCGGTTCTGCCATCATATAATTGATCATAAATGTTGCCAACAAAAACAACAGCCAATGTCGAAAGAGAATTTTCGAAGAATGTTGAAGTACATACATAATTTATGATGAGATCAATTTAAAATCAATTGGTCAAATGAATTTAAAAAAAGAATGTTAGATTGATAAAGATGAAATTATCGTCGACGAATGAACGAAACAAAAATTATTTGATTTGGATCATCGGTTTTTATACACTACGATGATCGGGCGAATGAACCGACTGAAGTCAATAGAAAGGGAAAAACGAGAAACATGAAAAAACTTGTAAATGATGGTGAACAATCACAAGTGATGATAATTTAAGATTACTTGATTTTGAAAAAATTCTTCCGTGTAATTTTTCTTTCATAGTATATAAAATAATGATGGCTACGATGATGATGGTGAAAGATTATGATCGAACTGTCCGTTAGATCGTGATTTTGGTTAATCGATTGATCATTCGTACTACACAATGATTTTTTTAAAAAAAGATAATGCCCGTGAATGGACTTGACGTCCAATTATATTCTAACACGAGAATCAATTGAAAAATGGCCTTTTTATACACTATTTATCCGCTATATAACATAACACTATGCGTTTGTCGAAATACGCAAACACCGTATTTTTTTTGTTTTGTCCATCGAGAATGGACAAATATTATGATCATGATTAAGTTATATCCGTAATCGTTGAATAGGTGGAGCATTTTTTAATTTATTCGGAAGTTTACAGAAGAATGGCTAATTCATGGCTTGTTTTCAGTAATCGAATGTGTAATTTGACAAGTTGCTTGAAAAGCAAGACAACACAAGGTAATAGACCCTTTCAGAAGGTTAAAGAACTTTCATCATCTTATTAATCTTTTACCCTCCAATGAACATCATGACCAACAACAACAACAACATTATTCCTAATGAAATTGTTATTCTTGTTTATTGCACACACACACACACACACACACACACACACACACACAGACATACACTTTAATCGATCATGACAACATTCAAATTCATTTCATTTCGATTGACAAATGAATCGAAATGAATTTGAATGGCTTCCATCATCATAAAAGAATGGTGTTTGTGCAAATGTTTTGCTTTTTTTCTCATAATTGGACAATGAAATTTGTCATCAATTAGATTGAAAGATTTCAATGATGTTTGTTTGTTTATATATTGAATTACATTTATTTAGATTTAGATTTAAATTTCAAATTCATTCTGTTGAAATCATTGAGATTGATTGATATTTTTATCGTTAAATTCGTATAAAAAGATGTTCTAAATAAATTTCGATTATCATGTGATAATGGATTATTTATAGATCAAAAAAGGCAAATCGCTTCAAATAAAAAACGGATATCGACGAATTTGGTTACCGCCTACAACAGCACAATGGTGTAAAAAAAAAAAATATAGAATATTCGAATTTATAACAAACGAACGTCAAAAGTTGAAAATTGTGATTTTTTTTTATGAAAAGCCATCATGTTCGATGATTCCTATTTATCAAAATGGCATTTTATTGTATCGATTTTTCTTCAAACTTAAATCTAAACGAAAATTGATGCTAGAAAAATTTTAAAATTGCTTTTTATATTTATTCACTCATTCATGATTTTGAAATGAAAATGATCACTAATTTTGATTGACGTCTATATTTCTTACACCTACTTGAAAATGATCAATGATAATCATTATCATTGATGAATATGAATTTCAATTACAATCGCTATTTCTTACTTTTTTTTATACGATATTTTAGCAAACAACTATTTCATCGATTCGAATTCAATATTCTAGTCTGATTTTTTTCATTTGAATATTCATGGATTGACTGTTTTCTTCAAGTATTTCAAAAGCATATTCCCACCTTCCAAACAAAAAAAAAAGATTTCCCATTATTCATATGTACATAAAGTCATAGACAAAGTTTGTTTTGGCATATTTGGTATATTATTCCGCCATTCAAATTTGAATAAATGAATGAATGAATGAATGAAAAAGAAAACAAATTCAAAAAAAAAGTTGAATGTTGAATACGCAATATGTTGAAATGCTTGAAAAGGCAAGGAATTTTTGTTTCTTTTTATTCAACACATATCGGACTTGTTGTTACTTGATGTTGCATGAATTTATATGTTATGTTTTTGTTTGAAGATTTGTTGTTTATGATGATGATGATGATAATGGGTGTGTGGTGGTGATGATGATGAGCGGAGGGAATTTAGCAAACAAAATGTTTCATAGTAGTGGTTGTTGTTGTTTTGGGGTGATTGCAAATATACAGATATTCTAATATAAACATTCTATGGATGTTTACTCATCATTATAAATCTATATTTGGCACTAAATTCAACATTCATTCCCTGACATCTGATTCTTTGCCGTCATTCTATCAATGATCATTTTTTTTACAATGATCGTACACTCCAAAAGGATTCTTTCGAAATCAAACATCCGTAAGAAAGAAAATATATTATACAATTGTTGAAACAACAAAATTTAAATAATTTGTATCAATGAACAAGAAAAAAAAATGAACTTAAACCAATATAGTGAGAGAGAGATTCGTCGATTGAATATGAATTTTTTCTCTTAAACTATAGTTTTCATAATTTTTCCATATAGGTACCGGGAATTTCTCGAAAAATTAATACAAAAAAAAATTTTCTCTTGATGTAAAGTCAGTGTTTTCCAATCAAATTCAACCAAAATATATAAGGTGAACATTTTAATCATAATTTTGATGATTACCAGTATTGCCATTATAATGATGTGATGATTGAGTTGAACGTACGAAATTGTCAAATGATTGCAGCCATTCATGGGATTTATTGTTGATGATTATGTAAAATTGGTATTTTTAGACAAATTCCTATTTACTACAGTAATCGAATATCAGTTCTATTACACACAGCGGACAAATTAAAGAAGAAAATTCTTGCCAAATTTTTTTTTGCAAAACAAAACAAAAAAATAAAGAATGATATATGAAAAGAATTACTACAAACATTAATGATGGAAAGAAACCCAGAAAAAAAAACATTTACGGGATGATGATTGCCACCATCAGCAGCTAACACCGAACAAAAAAAAAAAATAAAAAAAATTCATTCAATTTACCAGAGAATGTTTGAATGTCTTAACCAACAATTTGAATTTTATAATAAAAATAGAGCAACCAAGATTCTGTAGAATAGATGATAATAATGATGGTGAACAAGAATATCAATTTTAATTGCCTCTTCTTCTTGGTTTTTTTTGGTGGAATATTCAGCCATGAAAAAAATACGAATCGACATTACAGTCTAGTGGTGGCAATTCATGTTGAAAAACAAATTGCAATCTAAGATTATTTAGCCGCTAAACTTGCTCACCAACTAGATCAGTCGTGATCAAGATTTGTTCGGTTTAAAATCATTTCAATCATTTTTTTGAAAAAAAAACTTTTCATAAATACTTCAACACAATGGCCCATTATGGTATTCAAGCTGCTGTTACAGCCAAAACTGCCTCCAAACGATCTCCAAATGTTGAACAAGCTTTACTCACCTGGGTATTTGAGAATATTGATGAAAAAGTACCGGAAGGTGTTTCATATGAAGAAACATTGAAAGATGGTGTCGTTTTGTGTAAATTGATGAACAAAATCAAACCAGGAGCCATCGATAAGGTACTAGTATAATTAATTAAATTAATAATATTATTTTTTTTTTATTATTTGTTTCGATTGTAGTTTGCTTCCGGTGGTAGTGCCTATATTCTCATGGAGAATATCAATAAATTTTGAAAGCTGCACAAGATTATGGTGTTCCACATGATCAATTGTTTCGAACGGTTGATCTATTTGAAAAAAAGAATATACCCGAAGTGACGGCCGGTATTATTAATTTGGCTCGTGTTGCTTGCAATAAACCAGATTACAAAGGCACACAATTGGAAAAATGGGTGTTTGCCAACAACTAAAAAAAAAAAAAAAAATAATTCGAATTCATTATCCATAAAATCACAAACACCACCAAAATGATCCCAGCCACTACCACCACCACCAACATAATGGAAACATTCATCCGGTACTCGATCCCTTTGTCCTTTCCTCATATATTATTGTCATCTCGACAAATCAAACGAAAAAAAAAATAATTTATATTTTCAATCTTAATATACTTTTATTATTATTATTATTTTTATGCATTCAATTTCATGCAAACTGATAATCAAGAATTCGAGAATAAAGAAAATCTTTGTTGGTAATCATTGTATATATTGGTTTTTGTTTTAAGAATCCATATTGTATCTATCTATATATATAAGAATAAGAAATGATTGCTCGCCAATACCATCTGGAGATTTGTTTTTAAATTAGCCAATTCTTTTGCTCAGTTTGCGGCCATTATAATTCGCGGTCTCTTATGTCCAAATATTATTGGACAATGCGTATGTGAGTGTGTGTTGAGTTGCTTGTCTTCATGGACAAATCTTCATGTTAGCATGCTTCAATAAGTTACAATTAGGACAACCTCTCCATGCATATTAATATTGTTCTGATTTTTTTCATTATGATTTGATTTTGGCGCAATCACAATTGCATTTGAGCTTATTCAATTTTCATCCATTAGTTATCCAAAATAAATCAAAAACTACAGTTACTTTTTGGCTGTTTGAAGTAAAACGATCTTGTGATCATTTTCTTTTTTATCATTGAATCATCAACCAAATTTTTTTTTCTGTATTAACATTCCAGCCATTGATATCTTGATTATTTTTGCGTCTTTGATTTTTTTTTCATTTTTCGATGATATCTGAGACTATCAAGTTTACATTATTTCTTGATTTAGTTATTTTTGATGATTATTGAAAATCTAAATCTAGTGATCCAACCATTCGGTTGTTTGATGTTTTGATTGTAACACCCCAATTTATTTGAAAAAACTTTTTATAAAGCCAAAATCGACAATTAAACTTAATTGATGCCAATTCAACGGATCGGCAACAATGATTCATGCCATTTGGTACTAATGCTCAATAGAACAGTAACGAGATTGTCAACAAGATGAGAAAAAAGAATAGAAATCGCTACTCATTTATTCATTTTCATAATATAATTTCAATGGCAATCAATCTGGTCAACATTCATCATCAGTACATTATCAATTCTGTGATTCCTATACTCGTTTTCATGTCATTTGTATTGTCATGTCAAATTACTCAGATTAATGGTGAGTATTTTCATTTTATATAATTTATACATTATCATCATCATCATTAAAAAATTATGATTTATAGCATTTGAAGATTTGAACAATGACGAACTGTCCACATTCTGTGTAATCGGGCAACTATCCAAGTGCAATGATGACGAAGATTGTGCCGAACTGGATGAGAATCAACAAAAAGATCATCTTCGTGTCAATCTACCTATTGGCCAAAGAATAGGAATTTGTGTTTGTCGAGAATCTGATCATTGTAAACGAAACACAGGCAATATGCAAGCTCAAAGTGATCATTTATCCATTGTGAATGATACTGATAATGATTCAAATTTAAGTATGTATTATTCAAGTTTTTTGATTCAAATAATTAAAAAATAATTTCATACAGAATTGATAATGGGCATTTCAAGTGCTATGGCTATTATTGGCTTTCTAAGCTTCATTATCTATTATTATGGAATTCGTTATGGACTGATCACACATTATGCACGACGATTAGGTCTGGCCAATCGAAATACACAGATCGAAGACAATCAACTATTGAATCGTATATCGATCAATCGTGATGGCGATGATGTTGAACTTACACTTTGATTTACATGGAAAGTTTGCCTTGTTTGCCATTCATTTTTGATAAAAAAAAATTTGTTTTGTCAAAATCTATTTATTTTCCAATATATTATGTAAATAGAAATGAATTTTACTTTTTTGAATATTTAATGTCTTTTTTATTAAAAACTTGAATGAAATTTCACTCATACTTTGCCAATTATTATACAATAGAATAATAGTTCCAATGATGATTATTTTATAGAATACGTTAGACATGGACGGGTTCTCAATGATCCATTCATCTATATATTTATGGCCATGAGGATGAGCAGTTGTGGGTGCATGTGCATTCATTGATGTTTGTAAATACGTCGTTTTTGATTATAATCTTCATCATTTAATTCTGATAGATTCATGCCTAAATGCTAATGGCATGATGACATCAAAACAAAAACAACAAGATCATTATCATCAGCCAAACTTGTCACATGATCTAGAAAAACAACAACAATTAATACGTTATAAATGGCCATCACTTTTATGTCCCGATGTTACCAATCCAACATTAAGTTGGATTATTGGATCGCGTTTCGTCGTACCAGCCGTTGGATTGTTTAGCAAATTTTGGATGAATGTTGTAAATAAAAGTACTGTTTATAATGCTAACATTTTCTATGAAACGCTCAATCGAAACTATCTTGCATTATTTTCGTCACACAAATCAATTACTCGACGACCATTGATAACTTATTGTAATCATACTTCCTGTATGGATGATCCATTAATATGGGGATCATTGATGCCATTTAATTGGCTTTTAAATTCCAATCGATTACGATGGACTTCAGCAGCTGCCGAAATCTGTTTCAATTCTCCCATATACACAACTTTCTTTGCATTAGGAAAAACATTTCCAATGATTCGTGGCGAAGGTATTCTGATGAATCCAATATGAATTAAATCATAAAATTTTATGTATTCATAATCTAGGGATTTATCAACCAGCCATGAATTATGCTTCAAGATTGATGCGTAATGGCAATTGGATACATTTCTTTCCTGAAGGAAAAGTCGTTCCACGTCCTGAAAATGCTGATCCAAGACTAGTGAATTTCAATCTAGATGAATACAACGGGGATTCAGCTCAACTAGTCAATACTACATCATCGGATAATCAATACTCATTGAAATGGGGAATGGCCCGTTTGATCATCGAACATGTACTTTCAGAAGGAAAAGATAATGACAATGAATATTGCCAAATAAAACCAAATCAATGCAGTAGCATGCAGGATCTACCACCAGAACATTTAGAATCGAATCGACCAAATAAAACTTTACCTGAAGTTGATGTACTGCCCATGTATCATTTCGGAATGGATGACGTGTTGCCAACAAAAAAACCATACATACCGAGAATATCTTGTCGAGTAACTTTTCTAGTCAGACCCGAGGGACCAATTCGTATAGATAGAAATTTTCTGACAAAATTGTTTTCTCAGGATGATGAAAATCAATTAACAAAATCCTCATCATCATCATCATCATCATCGATTGATCTGAGCTTGACCGAAAAAAGGATTCGATTGATGAAATTTCTCGAAAAAGAGCTAAATATTTTAGCAGCTAAAACGAGAGCCTTACATTTTCATCATGAAAATCATGAACAAGGAGAATAATGATAAATTTTAAATAAGTCTTTGTATTCTTAATTTTGATAGTTTTGTTTATTCGATTAAATCATTTATATACAATTCTGTTTCATTTACAAATGAATAACACTTGATTAGAAAAATAATTCATTGTTGCTGTTTTTCCGATTATAAATCAATGAAAAAATAAATACAATTTTCTACATCATTATAATAAAAAAAAATTGATCAAGAGTCAAGGTAAGAAATTCAACATGAGAATATTAAAATTTGGACGGATTTTAGGCTGAAGAAATGAATCATCTTCAAATTGAAGTGTTTTCAGCTTCAATCTCCATTTTACACATATCTGTGGGATTAACAAAAGCTGCATTGATGCTTTTTATTGATGAAGTTGTTGTTGTAGCTGGACTAGTGGCTATATTTATTCGATTATTATCTGATGTTGGTACTGGATTAACTTTATGATCGACTGGTACTAGTAACGGTTGCATGGTTTGTTGCTGTTGCCGGTTACCATTGTCGACCATATTGTTCTTAACTCCAATCGAGGATGTATTTGCACAACATTTATGCGTTTTGATTTCCTCTTCTTTGAAAAAATAAGCCTCACAAGCCGGGCATGAATAAAGCAAAATAAATGTTTGAAACGATGTGCTAGTGTTGTTGTTGGTTGGTGTCGATAGTTTTTGTTGTGGGTTTCGTTGAGTATTATCTTGTTGATAATGAGTTATTGTTGTGTCTTGTTTTTGGAGATTCGTAGATGATGATGATGATGAGGTAGCTAGAGTAGATAATTGTGAATGTGTTTGATCCGTGGACGGTATTGTTTGCTGTGGATTACAATTAGGCGAGGATGTTAACGAAGGAAGCGATGCACCAGTGAATAATATAATACTGCCATTATTGTTTTTAGAAATTGTTGTGGTTGTAGTTGCAACAGCATGAGAAACAGAGTCCGATACTGTTTGATCCGTAGTGAAGGTAGCTTGACTTTTATAATTATCCATAAAAGATTCTTTATTAATATCGCCAATTGATTTCTTTTCCTGTTTGTCAAGCAATTTAGCATCAGTCAAATGGGATTGTTGATTATTATTATTTGAAGTATTATTTGCATAATTAGCTGTCTTATTAAAGGATGATGATTGCATAACAGCTTGATTAGATACATTATTAGATGGGTCCGATGAATCTTGCTGATGGATTAGAGCACTAATTTCTGATTTGGAAATGTTATCTTTTTCATAAGTAGCTACAACAGTTTGACTGGTTGAATTTGGTGGATTTAATATTGCTTTATCGGTGTTACAAGTATTTGTTTTGTTTGGTGAAGAGTTAGGCGAGGTTTTCTCTATGTTTGCTTTGATGATAGCATTGACCACTTCTTGATGTGTTTTACTATGTTCTCGGAGATGAGCTCGTCGTGTGAATGAGCGAGTACACATCGTACACTATAAGGTGAGATCGAAAATTAATTTGAATAACAGATAAGAAAATGGAAATAAATTACCTGATATGGCTTAACACCAGAATGTGTCAGTATATGAGCTTTTAATTTATCAGGTCGATTGAATTCCCGTTTACATCCATTATTATTCATTGGACATTTATATCGTTTAACTGGATCATGTACCAATTCATGTCGCTTTAGCTTGTCCCTTCTATTGAAAGCTGCATCGCAAATTTTACAGGCAAATGGCTTTTCTCCAGTATGTATTATTAGATGAACTTTTAGATAATTAGCCGTTTTGAATGATTTATCACAATATTTGCAAATGAATAATCCTGCACCATGTGTCAACAGGTGACGACGCAGATATCGTTCACAAGGAAAAATTTTATTACAATGTTGGCAAGGATAATGATGAGAAGTGGTTGCCTTGTGATTCTCCAATGCATTTTCCGTCGTATAACGATTCAAACAGATTGAACATCGATAAATTCTATGAATAATAATAAAACTAAAATTTAAAATTTCAATGTAAAAAAAGAAATCAAATACCTTGATTTGGCTTTGATAGGTTCATTAGAACCACTTTGTTCAGCTTCTGTATTACATGTGGCTTTATCATGTGATTGGAGATGTTTGATGAATGATTCTACATTATTATAAACTTCTTTACAATCATTTGCAGTGCAACGGTAGCGTATATTCTCATCATTAGCTACAGTATGATCTACACAATGCATTTTAAATTCTGTTTCCTTTGTACTGACGAATCCACAGCTTGGTACAGGACAGGTAAATTTATCTTGTACTTTGAATTCCAACAATGGCTGGGTACCCGATTGATTAGATGATTGATTTGTCGATGGTGTAGCGGTCAACTGATAAATGGCCGTATCACTAGCTATTTCTTGTTTTATTGATACCATGTTAGATTGATTTGTCTGATTGTTATTTTGACTAGAATTTAAAAAATTTGAACTTGAAGTTTCTTGGGTCGATACGATATGGTGAACATTTGGAGGATTGTTCTGATGTGGTTTTTGTTGAAGATCAGTCGAAGTCACTTGAACTGTAGAACTATCATTAAATTGATTCGGATGTTCAGTGGCACAATGTACTTTCAATATTTCAAAACTTTCAGATGTGAAACCACATTTCATTGGACAAATATAGATGACAATCTTGTTTGACGTATCAGCAACCATTCCTTTTGGTTGTGTCAGAGCCGTTTGTGTTACAGCTGTTGCTGGCTGGTTTTTCAATGTCTTATTCTTGCCAGCATTTGGCATATTTTTCAACGATTGATCGACTGAAGTTTTATATGCCGTTTGATATTGTTCTTTAGTTACCTTGTGAGTCATGATATGTTTACGAAGATTGTCTATGAAAAGCAATAAAGAATGTTTAACTCTTAGATTATGATAAAAAATAATGAAATGTCCTACTTTTCTGTCCGAATGCTTTTCCACATATACAACATTGATATGGTTTCTCGCCTGTATGACAGGGCATGTGATTAGCCAGTTCGATACTTTTTGTATAAGAACCTAAGGATAAATGCAAAGGAATTAACAATCAAGGTAAAAAAGATCAAAATAAATCAATTACGGTCACAAAAGTTGCATTTGAATAATTCAGCAGGCTGATTAGTATTTGTCATCTGTGATGATTGCTGCGGATTATGTTGTTGGTTGTCAGCAGCAAATTGATTTGGATTCAATGTCTGAGAATGAATATGGTTTTCATTTATAGCTCGCGAATTGTCAACAACATCGTGATTGATTATTATAGTTTGTGATTGCTGGGAATGTTGTTGTTGAGAATGATGTATCACATTCATTGTTTGTTGTGGCTTATTTACATGATGAATTTCCGTTGATATGGATGAAGTCTGTGTTGACCTTACCGTGGCACCGACTTGATTAGGACGATGTTCGATAATACTACTTGGTGTCGATGGTTGTGATGCTGGTGGAGGTAAATTAAGAAAACGCGAAGGAGATCCAATTGAATTATCATTAGAAGCACCATCTACATCGCCAACTGTATCGAATGATGTTTTGAGCAATGAAGATGATGACGATGAACCTTCTCCATTAACGCCAATGTTTACATCGTTGGAAGAAATATTCTGCATAAACGATGTGAATGATGTAGGTGAAGTGTTGTGTATTGAATTTATGAAATTGATCACGTTGACGGATGATTGCTGCGGTTGCTGTGCATGTTGTGGATGTGTACTGTTAATATGAACACCTGTATTGGTCGATATGGATGATGAAGAATTGGCTGATGAGATTAACATCGAATGTGATGCATCAGATGCTCCGTTTGTGGATGAGGTAACTCCATATATAGCGATAGAATTCGATCTTGAATGTTGATTAACATCGTTCATACTAGATTCTGTACTAGCATCTAACCCGTGATTAAGATGTGCGAACTGTGCGAAATCATCAGTATTTGAGCTAACATCACCACCTTGAAGATGAAGCAATGATGAAGGTGATATCGAATTGCCTATACTGGCTATCATATTCGCATCTAATGATGATGTCAATGAAAGTAGATCATTATCAGGTAGAATACTGTTTACATTAATAGAAGATCCATTTAGTGGATCAATTAATGGTGAAGCACGATTTCCATGGCTTAGATGTCTATTAATAATATTTATATCACCAACCAAATGGTTGGTTGACTGGCCATTTCCACCTCCGGTAGCAACAGCTGTCATCATTGAGGTAGGCGAATTATTGTTGCTTGGAATCAATAATGGAGAAGAATTGTTTGATGATGTTGATAAAAGTGATTTACCCATTGAATGATGTGAATGATGAACATTGCTACCAGTATGATGAACCAACTGTGGCTGTGAGGCTGATGTCGATGTCGAAGCAATGCCCAAATGTAATTCGATTTCAGCCAATTCTCGTAGCTTTTCGCTATTTGTTGATAAACTGCTTTTCGTATGTTGTTGCTGCTGTAATCGGCTATTACAAATTTTTTTATGCTGCACAAATGAATGAAGATATGAGAAATGTTGTTTACATTTGCCACATTCAAAAAGATCATTTTCATCATCAACATGATCGCCCAATGAATATATCACTGTAATTTAAATCATATAACAATGATTAGTGAAAACTACTGAAATTTCGTTTATTTCAACTAACCTTGATGTTGGGTTTGAATTAATGGCACTGTGGCCGTAGATGGTTCAACTAATGATCTGAATTGTACTTCTGAACCGGTGGATGCCGATCTTTGCAAATGATGATGATGATGATGGTTATGATGAAGATTTTGTTGTTGATGATGATGATGATGAACTTGATGTGATGATTGAGCGGATTCTGTTGCTTGTATTATTTGTTGCTGTTGTTGTTGTCGTGTTTCATGTTGAATAATATGCTGTTGTAATTGATGATCACCAACAAGTGTCACCACATGTGATTGTTGTTGCTGAAGATGACCTGTATTATTGATACCAACACTACTACCACCACCACCACCCCCACCATCATCATCATCATTATTACCATGACCGGATATGATGGCAGTGGTTGTAATTGTTGATGATGATGATGATGATGATGTTGGATGATGAGGCTGGTGATGTTGATGTGAAGACATTTTTGAATGAATACGATGATGAGATGTTTATTGATGAATAAAGATGATGATGATGATACAAAACACATGTGTAGATTTATAATCAAATAATTTTCATTTGATCAATATTTTACTATATGTAAAGAATATAATTAAAAAAAAAATTAAAAAATCAGGTAATTGAGAAAATAATTTTCGCGGCTGGCAACAATAGCAATTTATTCATTCAAATTAACACATATAATGGATGACAGGTTATTATCACCGTGATGCAATTTATTTGAGATTTTAGAAAAAGAAAAAATTGCAAGTAACGAAAGTAAACTATCTGGTTTCTGGTTTACTTTCACAAAAAAAGCAACGAAAAATCTTGTTTGAAATTTAAAGAGCGTGAATGAATAATTTATCTTGCAAAGGTTTTTAATATTTTGTAAATAGCATTATCATCATTATAATGATCAACATGCAAATGCAATAATAATAAAATTAAATATATCAAATGACTAGAACAAAGCTGAATGAATAATTAATTGTTATTTCTAATGAAAAAAAAAATTCAATTCATATAAATCATTCGATTGAAAAAGAAAAATTAATACCTCTTTGTTATGAAATGAATTACAGAATTATCAAAAACACAAAAGTTACATTCTATTTCGTTAAATAGATAATAATCAAATTTTATAATCGGTTCTGATGATCATCATTGAGTTTGAAATGAGAAAATGTGATGATGAAATACCGCCAAAAAAAAAAAAAATTCAAATGTTTTTCATAAGAAATTAAATTTTCAATTTAACATGTCAATTATTAGTATTTGCTGGTTATATTACATATTTTGTTGATGATAATATATAACAATGATGGAATTTATCAATTTCAAGATTCGAATTGATTGTGAAACCAAATACAGATCGTTGTCGTTGTTATTGTTGCTATAATCGTTGTTGTTGTTGATTAATCGATTGTTTTTAAAAACATTTTGCACAAATCATGTGATAACCATTTTTTCAAATCGAATCAAATGATCATAAAACATGCATTTATACATACACAACACATAAACCTACACACATAAATACACACACACATGGAGCACAAATGAAATGTTTTTGTTTTTATTTTTTGAGAAATAAAAATTGCACAAACAACAACAACAACAGCAATATTTTTTTTGACAATTGCGAGAAATTGTACATGTATAAACGATGAGGATCATGATCAAATGATCAACACCATTATAAACATCAGTAAAATAACAACAACAACAACAACAACAACTACCACCACAAAAAAAAATAACAGCTTATAGTTAAAAATGTTGGATTGTATGTCGGATTTGACAGATTCAATATGATGATGATCTCAATAAAATCTCAATTTATGACCATTATCATCATCATCATCATCATCGCAAGCAATGGTTGCACTATACATCTACATAAAGAATAATACACATACACACACAGAGAAAGAGAGAGAGACATATTGTTGTTGTTTAAGATTGCCATTGTGTTTGAATAGCATCATCATCATCATCATCATCATCATTGATGATGGAATAAGAGAAAAAAAAATCGCAACAATAAAAATCAATTGGAGCAATCAAGGTAGAAGTAGTGAGTGATGCAAAATATTTTCAACAAAAAGAAAAAAGTTCTTATCTTGTGCGCGTCTCAAAGAAAAAAAATATATATATATATATTCTTCAATACACTGAAAAAAAGTTCTTTGTTTATAATTTCAGCTGTATGGATTTCATTATTATAATAATGGTCGCGACTCATATACAACGAGTGAGGGTGTGAATGAGGATGAGTTGAAAAAGATTGCTGCTCATCGATTTTTGTATTACTGATGAAATGAAAAAACTTGGAATGAGAAAGAGGAAAGCGGGAAAAAAATTCAATGACATGCGTAGTTTGAAGAAACTGATGTGTTGATGTGTGAAAGTGGCGGGCACTTTTTTTTTTTTTAGTTCGATTGAAGAAAATGAATAAAAATAAAAAAAAAATTCTGGTCTATAATTTTTCAGTCCATTCACATATTCCAGGACATTGGCGGTAATTCTTTTTGCAGTTTAATAATTTCCATTTACAAGAACCATTTTTTTTTGTTCTATCGGAAATTAATATTTTTTTTCTGTGCATTTTTTCCTATCTATGATCAATTTATTTTGTCTATTTGTCAACTTGTTTATTCATAATAATTTGTGTTAAAAAAAGATCAAAGGTAATTATCTTTAAACTAGTTTTTTATCCTCATCATTGTGTGATATGTATGTTTGAGAGGAACAAAGAAAAGAAAACCAGACCAGGATAATAATGCCCAATATAAATGTATAAAAACAAGACTGGATTACCGATAATGGATAAATGAATGATGGATTATATAAATTATATTTGCGTCAATATATATACCTTTTAAGTATGGTATACGCAAGCGCTTAGTCAATAGCAATTAGCGATAGCAAAGGAAATTTTTTTTTTTTTGTTATATTGATTTAGTCTGGTTGTTTGGTCCTCATCATCATCATCATCATCACTATAATAATAAAGATTAAGTGAAAAGTCACCCAGAGAAAAATTTTCCATAGAAAAATTGAAATTTTTGTGAATTAATTTTTTGTTTCTTTTTTTTCTCATTCAAAGAATATAATACTTATAATACTTATATTGACAAACTATACTGCCAAGTATTGTATTGGCTAAATTATTCATTTCGACTCGTGCCAAGGACATGATGGCTAATCAAAGTATTACTATTCTTCAACAACTATATATTCAATTTGATTATTGATAATACACGAATGATTAGAACATGATAATAATGATGGATAAATTGAAAATTTTTCATATTGAACGATGGTCATCATTATGGCCATCATCATTAAAATCATTAAATATGATCTTGATAAAAAGAATATCGATATTGTTATTGTTACTATTATTTATTGTCCAATATGTTAACTGTGATGATAAAAATCCTAATGAGATTTTATCGCAATCATTAAATATCCAAAATTTTTCAACACCATCATCAACAGCAACAGATTCATCTTCTAGTCAAACAACAACAATTGTGCCAATAATAGCATCGACGAATATTTCTTCTAATTTGAATTCCAATTTTTCAACATCATTACCGACGAACTTATTTCATAATTTTACTGATGATTCTACTGTTGCCAATCAGTCAACGACAAATTCAACTGATAATAATGGAACAAATATTGCCACCACTAGTCAAACATCAACACAAGTATCAATCGATCCTAATCTACCGCATAAAGGAGCTGCCGAAGAGGAACGACATTCATCGATGGCCATATTTTTTGTCCTTTCAGTCATTGCATCGTGCATATTTTTAATTCATTTCATATTGGAAACCAAATTTCAATACATTCCAGAAAGTTTAGCTGTTGTGTTCCTAGGAGCTGCCATCGGATTAGTGATGAAAATGTCTAGCCAAAATCTTGGTGATTGGAAGGTTGGTCCGTTTATCATAATTATCATTTAACATTACTTTGAATTTATTATTCACAGAAAGAAGAAACCCTAAGTCCGACAATGTTCTTTTTAATTCTATTACCCCCAATCATTTACGAATCCGGTTATACATTGCATAAAGGCAATTTCTTTCAAAATATCGGTTCCATTTTAGTCTTTGCGATAATTGGCACTTCAATTTCGGCCTTTGTCATTGGTGGGGGTGTCTACATTCTTGGTGCAATCGATTTAGCTTATAAATTAAGTTTTACTGAAAGCTTTGCATTTGGTTCGTTGATTTCAGCTGTTGATCCTGTAGCTACATTGGCCATATTTCATGCCCTAAATTTGGATCCTATATTGAATATGTTGGTCTTTGGTGAAAGTATTCTTAATGACGCTGTTGCAATCGTATTGGCCACAACAGCATTAGAATTAAATCATATAGATGAAAGCGTTTCTGGTACGACGGCCATCTTCAATGGATTTGTACGTTTTTTTATCGTATTTTTTGGATCGGCCGTCATTGGAGCTGCTTTTGCATTGCTTGCTGCATTGGTCTTTAAATATGTAGATCTTCGGAAATATCCTTCATTGGAATTTGGAATGATGTTGATTCTCATTTATGCTCCTTATGGCCTGGCTGAAGGTCTTCATCTTTCTGGTATTATGGCTATCCTATTTAATGGTGTTGTAATGTCACATTACGCTCATTTCAATCTATCACCTGTTACCCAAATCACTATGCAACAAACATTGCGAACACTTGCATTTATTGCTGGTAATTTTATTATTTTATTTATCTATGTTCAATTTTCATTATTTGTCAATATTTTTTTAGAAACATGCGTTTTCGCTTACCTTGGATTAGCCATATTCAGTTTCAAAATGAAAATTGAAATGTCATTGATAATCTGGTCGATTCTGTTGTGTTTGATTGGCCGAGCTGTTAATATCTACCCACTTTCTTATTTGGTTAACTATTTTCGAGAGCATAAAATCTCAAAGAAAATGATGTTCGTCATGTGGTTCAGTGGGCTTCGTGGAGCTATCGCTTACGCTTTGGCACTTCACTTGGATTTCGAAGAAGAAAAACGCCGAGTTATTGTGACGACTACATTGATCATTGTACTATTCACCATTATCGTTTTGGGTAGTTCGACAATGCCCGTCCTTAAATATATGAATCGAAGTAAACGCATTAATAAAGGCCGTCGGCGTCGTGGTTCAAAATCAAAACGTTTGATTACTCTAAGCAAAACACAAGAAATGGGACAAGCAATCGAGACTGAACATTTATCTGAATTGACCGAAGAAGAACTAGAGGTTAGTTATCGTAATGAATCGAATTTGAAAGGTTTCGTTCGATTCGATGCACGATATCTGATGCCTTTGTTCACAAGATTTTTTACCGATCAAGTATGTATTGTAAAACAAACTAAAATATTATGAGATTAACTCGATATATTCAAAATTATAGGAGGTAAAAGATTGTAAATCACAAATGACCGATCTGACCAATCGTTGGTATCAAACCGTCAGACGACCTTCAGAATCTGAAGAAGAAAGAGACAATCTTTGCAATTCGGGTGATGATTTATATGATGATGATTATGATGACGAAACGTTTGATGAGAACAAAAACAGTCGATATTTTATTGATGTTGGCGACGAAGATGATGGAATATTTGCCGATGTAGAGGAAGGTAGTGTTGGCCATGGACATAAACACCAACGTCAACATCATCATCGACATCAAAAGAATGATGTCATACCTGAGAAACAGTTGTTGTGTGGTTCTACGAAAAAACATTTATACAAAAAAGAATCATCGTCCGTTCGTTCATCAAGATCAACTGGATCACATCGAAAAAGTAATCAGAAATTATTTCAAAAATCTAAATTGATGCTTATAAACAATCAAAAACGAAACAATCATGGCTATCATGATGATGAACAGAGCGATAATGGTACATTTGTGAATGGATCGATATTAACCTAATTATTTATTTTTATTATTAACGAATGGTGAAAAAGTGAAATCATAATAACTAACCATTATTTTAATTACATTCCAATGTATTAATCATAACGAATCCTACATGGAATATACGGAACGATTTTTATTTAGAATCATTGTTTATTTTACTTTTTATTTATTTGAAATTATTATTTATTTATTGATTATTGATTCTATCAAATTTCAAATAAAAATCGAAACAAAATTAAAAAATTTTGATTGTTCTTTGAGATACTTGCATTGTATAAAACAGTTTTTTACAAGAATTTTCGCATGTTGGAATTTTTTGGTCAGATCATCATTTTGGATATATTGTTTGTTTGAATAATTGGAAAAAATCCAAATTCAAAATGTGTGATCGTTTTAATTTGGATGATGATGACCAAGATAAATCTGTTTCTGTCTCCAATGTCGTGTTTCATCGTTTCAAAAAAAACTTGTTGAGTCGTAAGATTTGATTTTCCTGAATTTGATTGTTAATTTGATCATTCGATTGTTTTTGTGAATAGAAATTATCAGATGAATTGCCGAAAATGTCAACAAAATCGAGGATCGGTTTTATTACAAAAGAAGGACGTTTTCTGTAACGATTGTTTGATTGGCCATTGTACGAAAACATTTCGTACGACAATTGGAAAGTCTCGTCTACTCAAATCGGAAGATAAAATCCTTGTAGGATTTTCAGGTGGCCTTAGTTCAGTTGCCCTGGTTGATTTAATTCGCCGTAGATTGGATGAAGAACAATTTCAAAAGCTCCGATTCATACCTTCTCTTCTATTCATTGATGGTATTTATAACAAAATAAGTTGATTGTTGTTTAATGATATATTTTGTATTACAGAATCTATTCTTGACAATGAAAGGCAAATTTTTCTTACCAAAGAGCTTTTTGAATTCATCTGTCAAGCGAAAATGGATTGCTATTTCATATCGTTGCAATCTTGCATTGGGGATTTTTCTAATCATATTGTGATGAAAGATGATACAATGACAATTCAAAACATCAAAGATTTTTTCGTACAAAATAACCATTCTGAATGTGCACAAAGATTTCTTCAAAATATCAACAAATTTCGAGATCCAACTTTAAAATATGATTTTCTTCAAAGGTTTCGGTATTTGATTCTGATGAAAATGGCATATCACTTGAATATGGATAAAGTTTTCGTTGCTAGTACTTTAAATGAATTATCCGTAGGCCTTATGAACAACATTTCATTAGGCCGTGGAATAATAGGACCAAATGAAATTAATTTCTGTGATAATCGTTATGGCTCAATATTGCTACTTAGGCCAATGTGTGAGCTGGTTAGCAAAGAAGTTGTATTCTATCTAAAATTTCGTAAACTTGATCATATTCCATGTAAGCCGGATTTTTTGACAAGTACTAGATTTCCTCTTAAATCAAGTTTACACAGATTAAATGAACATTTTTTAACATCTTTATCTGAAGAATTTCCTTCCACAATACATACCGTCTTTAAGACTGGTAATAAAATAAAATCAACAACATCAACAGTAGTTTCGCTGATACGTTGTAAATTCTGTCTTGCTCAACTTGAAAATCAATCCGATGACGAATACTCATCATATGATGCATTGAAACTAACATCAATTTTATCGATTGGTTCAGAACAACAGTCATCATCATGTATTGATGGTGAAAAATTTAGCCATTATTGTTATTCTTGTTCACGGCTATGCAATGAAATCAACGACAAAACTGATCAATTTGAACAATTTTGTATTCTTTCATCATTGTTGATTGCTAAGGATGAAAATCAATCATTATAAATTTAGTCAATTTCAAAATCATAACACATCTCATTGTTAAAAAAAATTTTTTTTTCCTAATCAATTTTCTTTTTCTACTTGAATAGGGTAATATAAAAACAAAATCTTGTTTAGTCTGTTCAATTTTTTTTATTGAAGCTATATTTTGGATGTTCATGATGTTTTGATTTCATTTTATTCAATTTTTGAACATTAAAAGTTTGTAAAAAAAACATTCTATTTGCCATTACGAAACTATTATTATTTTGTATGTTTTCGTATTGTGTTTTTATGTGATTGTTGAATCAATAGAAAAATCGTTTCGTTTTTGATTTCATCTCATCTCATCTTTATGATATTTTGTTTTAATTATCATTATAAAAACGAAGATATTCTTTTTTTGTTTCATCATCATCATCATCATCATCATTGGAATTTGATTTAATTTTTTAAATATGAGCAACAACAGCAACAACAACAACAACAACGTTCATCACAATAGACCGAATGATAAATCCAGTCTGTCAACCTTAACATCATCATCATCTTCATCATCTTTTGGATCAATTGGATCATCAGATGATAAAATGACAATAACAACTTCGAATGGTTTTGGTGGTAGTTGTAATGGTGCTAATCAGCTTATATCGTTATTGTCGATTACACGATTCATTAATGCTGCCATACAGAACGATGTAAACATGATAAATACTTATTATCAAACATTGAACATGTAAGATTATTATTTTTTTTAAATTAATTTGCATTTTTTAAAATTGAAAATTTTGTTTATTGATGTAGTCCTGTTGATGTGGTCGATAAAAATGGCTACACTGCATTAATATATGCATCTCGTAATGGCAATGTGAATGTTGTACGGCGTTTGATTGAATTGAATGCAAATGTTGATTATCAGGAACCCAGTACTTTAAGCACTGCTCTTCATTATGCTGCACAATGTGGTCATACTCGTACTGCTGAAGTGTTAATCAAATTTGGTCAAGCAAATAAAGAAATTCAAAATCAAGCCGGTAAAACACCGTACGATTTGGCCAAAGATTTTGGTCATGGTAATAATAAGATAATGAAATCTTTGTTTCAACCGGAATTGGCTGATGGCAACCACCTTACATCACCTCAATTTTCGTTATCATCACCATCGTCATCGTCATTGATTAAAACTAGAAAAATGGGTTCCTCCTCCAGTATTGATTCCGGTCTTTCTCATGATCATATGATGAACAGAAATGAATTTGATTTGAACAATAACAACAGTAATAATGATTTCATTTCATCATATAAATCCGAATCAATGGCTAGTTTTGGTAAGAAAAAATTTGTAAGTAAGAAAAATATTTCTTATCTTCCTCATACAACGTTATTGGAACGTTTTGCACAATACGGTTGTTACCGTTTAATGGGTGATGGTTATGGTTTCGCAATTTTGGCCAAAAATGGTCCACCAAAACTAATGGCATATGAAACATTCATTAATCTATCCATACCGATGAATAATGTTGATCAGCTTTTAATCGCATTGAATAAGATTGTACTGGATTTAGAATCAAACATTAAACTTACAATGAAAGAATATGAAGATTTCGATCCAATTCATCCTGATAATCAACGAATAAATAATCTTTTTGCATATAATTTATGGCGAAAAGAAAATATAGATAAAATCATGAAAATTGTACAATTTATTCAACAATGGAAACATATGGAAAGTTATTGATGAGATTTCATACATTTTCTTGATACTTGATACCATTTGAAGCTATTTGATTTTATTTGAAATATTCTTTATTTTTACAAAGTTATTTTATTTCTGAAATTTTTTTTAAACTAATTCTGTTATAATTTGTTGTCAAACTCTTCTTTTCTGGCATACAAACATTTCTAGTGATGATTTTGATGATCATTTTGGCCCATGCTCATCATCACATCAGTTAAATTATATTATTATTATTTATTTATATTCAGATGTAGAGAAAAAAAATATTATTTTTGTCCTTTTTATCATTCATCCATCAAATTTTGGCTAAAGAAAAATTTTTTTTTTTACAATGATGTTAAATTGGTTGATGTGACAGATTATTTCTTGAATCTGGAGGCAATCATGTTTCAAATTTCAATCTAATAATAATAATAATAAAATGAACAAAAAATCAAATTTGTTCTTTGTTTTGAAATAATGCAAAAAAAACAATTCTAATTTATCAACACTTGTCGAATCCAGTGAAAATCAAATCAGGAATATATTATTTAAATAGTTCATTTGTATTTTAAAAAAAATCATTATTGTTTGTTTTGTGTCAAAAAAAAAAAATGTCAAATTCGTCGTCGACAGTGACCGTACATAGATTTGCTAAAATTCATGATTTATTGAGTAAAACTTTAGCATCAAAAAAATCATCAAAAACAAACAACATAAATATCTGTTTGTCAAAACAATCACCATCATCGTCATTGTTATATGGTCTTCGTGATAAAATTAAACGTAATGAATTCAGTAAAGTGGAACAAATATTGGCTTCCAAACTTCGTAAGATGAAATTACTCTTATTTATGTTGTATTTAACAATATTCTTTTTTTTTAAAAAAACCTATTTTATAGAATTCATTAATAAAACAAATCAACTCCAATATGATTCATCCATAGATGATGATTTTAGTTTGAATACAATTACAACGGAAAAGGATCCAAAGCAGCCATTGTTTGAACATGGTGATAAAATGTCATTATCGTCCAATGATTCGGATATTTATGATGATGATACTGAACGGAAACAAAATGATATGGTAAAAAATTTAGAAGAAAGATATTATTTAGAAAATAAATGCCACGAAATATATTTAGTTCGGCGACAAATTACAAATTTATTGAAAGAATTTTACAAAAACTGTCTGGCCAAACCAAAACAAATGGGAAAATATTGTGACAATCTAGTGCACGCTCATAAATGTCTTTTGATTGCAGGTAATAATAAAATGTCAATGATATTTTAATAAGAATGTTTTCTCTCTTTCAAGGTGAAGAACAAAAACTTATTAAACGACAAATCGAAATGTTGAAATCGAACAACAATAAGTTCAAGAATAAAATTAATAAAAACAACAATTATGACAATAATTTGCAGCATAATTTATTCAATCAGAAGCCATGTATCGCCATTAAAAGTGTTTCAATAAAACTTCGTGAACCTCGTTTTAGACAAATATTTCTTCGAGGTAAGTTATTTAGGAAATGTTCAACAATGTTTTGATATTGTTTTTTCTCATCATCATCATCATCATCATCATCATCAAGATCAAACTGGATGTTTTCTTATATGCTTAATTGAACATGAATACCGTTTACGAGAAAAGCCGATAATATTCATAAATGAAGTGGACGATCAATTCAAAGATTCAATTACGATTGACATCAATGAGATACTAGATACTGATAAAAATGACTTTAATGTCATGATAAAATTCTTTTTCATGTTCCATCCAATCGATGTACGCCATCAATGTCGCCATCCGAAACATGAAATTAATTGGAAGAAATTTATTCCCATCAGAGGATTAATGGCTAAAATTATGTGCACAAATAGAATTTTCCATTGGAAAAAAAGGCAATTAGATCTGAAACAAATTGATGTAATTTCAGTTGCTCATTGCCTTGATCAACAACCGATGACCAGTAGTTTTACATTGCTTGGACAGTTAAAACTTGATCATTCGAATGTCCACCGACAAACATTTCGATTAGAACAATTTAACCATTGTTCCATTTTTGACAGTGAAATTATTCTAGATTCTGAATTATCTACTGACAATAACAATGAATTCATGTGAAACAACTATCATCAATATAATTAATTTGATGGATAAAATGATTTACAAAAAAAGCAAACACGCGCGCATTTTCACACAAATTCCAATTCGAATATTGGTTGATGTGATGCCTCACGTAGACAACGTGATGAAATGAAATGACCACTTTTTATAAAGTAAACGTAAAAGGAATTCATGCATGCTTGCTCATCATGCTGAATCTGTCTTTCGAATCATTTCTTGAATTTTGTCAATTTACCAGAGAAGAATTTAACTGAGGATGAGGTGAGTGAATCCAAATTTATTTCAATAAAAAGAATATTCTTATCACGACCAAACAATTTAAATGATGAGAAAAAGGCTATTTAAACAACAAAATGTTGAATGATTATGTCTGATTCAAAGATTAGATTTTAATCATATTGATAATTTGAATGCCTAGGGGCCATCTGATTGTGTTTGAATTTTTTTTTTTTTTTTGCTAACAATATTCGCACGTTAATGATTCATTTTTTTCATTTTATTATTAATGTAACAATTTTTCTATTTTGTTATTAATCCCTTATATATAGGAGAAAATTTTTTCATTGAAATTCGACTCCTTGATGGAAACATTTTTTTTCTCCATACAAAATATATATATGCATTACATAAAATACAATCTACATTGTAATTCTGGATTTCGAATGCACAATTCCAATTCATTCGAGAGGTAAGTGTCACAAAAAAAATAAATTAAGTTAACCCTCTAACTATTCCTATATAGTCTTATAGAATTGAAATCAAATTAGCAAACGGACAACATTCACCATATTACCCATTCAACATTAATCTTGCATGAAGATGATGGCATTGTTTCATATGTGTAATATAAGGAATTGAATTGTTTAAATAAAAACTGCCAGGCCGTGAACTTTTGAATGGTCCCCCTCTTGTTCATTCTCTATCAAATCCAGACATTCTGTACAATAATAATGATAATGAATGGACAAAAAAAAATTTCCATTTATAAATTCTTTTGAAGTTCTCATTTTTACTGTATTTTGACTTGACAATCTTTTGTTTTTATATATGATATGAATTATTATTATAGCACGATACATAACGCAAAAAAATGTAAGTGGTGGTGGTGGTGGTATTAAAACTTATTAACGAAATAATGATATATTTATTTATTTGATATTTTTTGGTTTTTTCTTCAAAATGAAAATTGATTTTTATATGTTCATCATCACTGAACAAAATATAGATATGGAACTAAGTGGAAAAAAGAACACTTAATAATTGACCAGATTATTTGATAATATCGAACGGCAAAGATGATTTATAATAATAGAAAACAAAATCAATCAATCAAAACTTTAAATTCAAAATTTGCATTAAAATTAATTATCAAACAAATGATTTCATTTTTCTTTGTCAGCTGTTATTATTTATTATTATTATTGTTGTGGTTGCTGTTGTCTATCTGTTCTTGTTTGTTTACAATGAATCAATCAATTCAAAAAATTAAAGATAAAAATAAATATATTGATGATAATAAATAAGAATTTTCTTCCTGATTCATATAAACATTAAAATTCCATTTCATTTGCTTTTTTTATAATAATAATAATTTGCTGCTAATACATTTATGAAAATTCTGATATAGTGTGCAATTGATGTGTAAGTTGTGTGTTGTGTGTGTGTGTATGTGTGGAAATGAAAGAAACGACAACAACAATCAAGAGAGAGAGAGAGAGAACGATTATTATTATTATTATTGATTGATTTGGATAATAATTTTTTTTTCGATGATCATGATGATGACGATGTTATTATTGATGATGATTGCTGATGATAATTATGATGGTTATAATATGAACTTTATGCCAATATACCTTTTATCATCCACTACAAATGTATTTATGTGTTTGTTTGTTTATTTACGTTTCATTTATGTTTTTTTTTCTTAACGTTTTCGACCAGGTCCATTTGCAAAACTGGCTGCCGACATACCCATTAGATGTTTAGCCGCTTGGCTACCGGAAAATCCCCGCGACAATCCAAGATCTATGCCTCGTTTGTTTGTTCCAGAACTATGTAGGCAGTAACAGTAGTTTTGTGTTGCGTTATTCACACATGTTGAAATAATCAATAGATAAAGAGGAAATTATTACACAAGATATATATTTATTATTATTATTTATAATAAAATAAAATGTATTTGTTTCCTTTTGACGGAACTTGTAATAACTTTTATTTATTATTTCTATAGCTCTTATTTAGGGGACAAAAATGACAAACATACCTTTTATCAGTGATTTGCTGCATATTATTCGAATGTGATGAATCGATTCCAACCAAAATATTTTGAATCAAATTATCAAGCGTACTGATCAATTCTTCTGGATTCTCCACCTCTACGTTTACAGGATATTTCCTATGATTTTTTTTCCCGATGAAATAAAAAAAAAGATAGATAAAAAAAATCAAATTGAGGTCTTCTCTCAAATCTATGTAATTCGTGGTTCGAATTACGTCAGATTCAATTTGTTTGACAACATATGATTGAAATTTTTATTTATTACCATCACCAAAATATCAATAGCTAACATAGTATTGATTATTATCATCTTGTATAGTTTGTAAGGTTATGAAACTTTTTACAACTCTGTTTATCCTTATATTCTATGGATTCTTTTTTTTCGTATGTATCCTAATTTTCAATATATTATAGATTATATTACAAACATTATATATAGTAATATTATTTCTTAATGAAAATTCTGTCTCATGGAACAGCAGCAGCTAACAATCGCTTATGTGTTATTGTTATGTGCTTTGTGACAAGAGAGAAACTTTTAATGTTTGATTTTCATTCTTTGTTCTTTTTATGTTTCTGAAACAAAATTCAATTCAATTTAAATTCAAACACAAAACAATGGAATAAATTTCTCATCTTACATTGCCATAATATTACAATTTGATTCTCGAATTACAAGTTTTCGTGAATGATTGTATATAGCAAATAGTGAATTTTCGTTTTCCATTTCTGTGACAAAAAAATTTGATAGCCTTTTTTTGGCAGTAATCTATCGATCCAATTAAATGAAAAATAAGCGAATATCAGACCAAAATATTCAAATAGGATTTTAAGTTTTTTTTTTTTTTGATGATCTTTATTCACAATCGATTCGATTCGAAAACATTACCATTTACTATCATGAAGCGCAAAACAAATGAATCCTTGATCCATTTATCATTATTACTATTAAAAGTTAACTATGAAAATATAATGGTAAAATATTAAAAATCAGGAATGAAAATGATTTTTTTGTTTGTTTGAAAAGTTCAAGTGTTTCAAAAAAAAAAATGACAAAAATCATTCGATAACAACAAGATTGTTATTTGCTTACCTTGTCATCATTAAGTTAACTGGGTATGCTTCAGCCGACAATGATGAATGATAATAAGTGGCCACGGCAACAAATACGAATATCCAAACAAACAAACCGAATTGTCCATCTTTTTTCCAATTCATTTTTGTTGACAACAATGATGACGATGACGATGACGTTTGCGATGATGATGATGATGATGATGATTTTATCGTTAATAATTTGTTGAGCATCGTGAACATTGAAATTCTTTAGAATTTTTTTTTTGCCAAGTGATTGTCAACAAACAAAACAAACAAAAAGAAAAACAATACAATTGAATAATGATAATGACAAGAAGGACAAAAAAAAATTTGATCAAAATATTCAAAGTTTTTCTCTCAAATAATAATCAATATGTGATTCATTCAATATGTAATCGAAATCAAAAAAAAGGCTGTTGACTTAATAAAGCAAATAGCCCGGATGTACTGGAAAAAAAAGTAAACGTGTCCAAAAATATTAGCAGCAGCAGCACACAACAACAAAAAAAATATGATGATTTCCTTTCATTTTCTTCGACATTTCCCTTTTATTTCCAAAAAAAAAGTGAAAAAATAATGACAAAAAAAAATTCATGCATGAATTTTCAATTTTCAACTTTTTTTTTCGCGTTCATTCATTACGAATGCAAATCGATCAAATGAAGCATAATCCTTGAATTTTTTGTTGTTGTTGTTGTTGTTGTTCTGGTTAGATTCTAAGAATTTTTTCAATGTATGAATTTAATTTTTTTTTCTCGCTCCAAACATTTATATTCTTTGATGATGATTCTTTGGCATTTTTAGGATTCTTCTAATAATGTCTTCATAAGTAATTTCATCATCAGTTGATTTATGTGTTGGACACAAACATACACACACACACACACACACACACATAAATGAAATGAATATAAAATGAACAGCAGAATAATTTTTTCTTTTTGCATGTCTAACATAACCAATATATTCATGAATTATATGAATGTGTGATATAAACCAATTCATTATGTTTAAGTAATTTTTTTTTCATCATTGAATCAAAATGATTTACTAACTGTGTGTAACAAAACATATTTTGTGTTTTGTGTGTTCATCATTTAATTTTCTTGCTTCAATTGAAAAAAAATATATTATCATTCAATGGTATTCAAGAAACCTTCAAACGATGATGATATATGATTAATCTAATCTAAATAGGTCATGAAAATGAATTTTGCTTTTTTTTGGTAAAATTAATAAAGGATTTATTCATGATGATGATGAAGAATACAATCGATGAATTCATGGTCATCATCTATTACAATAGTTTTCAAGTGGATCTTTCTGACCTAAATATCATCATCTTTCATCATCATCATCATCATTGAATACAACTACGAATAGTCTTATGAAAACGATATGGAATGTTGTTGATGTTTTCATTTTATGTTGTTATTCGGATTCAATTAAATTTGGTTTGAATTATGTGAACAACATTCTCGTTTTTTTTTGTCTGTCTTTCTGTTCAAACATACACACACACACACACACAAACACACACACACACACTTACATTCACACTTCAAACACAATTTAACAAATACAAAAAATGATAACCATGATTAACAAAAGGAAATATCTTTGATTAAAACTGTGTGTGTGTGAGAAAAAGTGAGAAAGATGGAAAAATATTGTTACTGATGGTATAAAAAAAAACCAAATAACTAGATAGGACATTTTTTTCTGCTTTAATTTTTATTCCACTTTACTTACCCTTGACAACAATGACAGTTGAATATGACCAAGTGAAAATAATCGGGTTGTTCCGTTTGTTATTTTTTTTTCTTTCAAATACGATATCGTTTTTGTGTAGATGGATGGTTAGTCGTTGGTGATGATGATGATGACAATGATGATTATTCTTATGATGCTTGGCTTGATTTTTGAGTTTGTCGAATGTTCTTCACTGGTTGATATTTTATTTCGGTGGTGTTTTTTTGTTGTTGTTGTTGTTGAATGTGGATGTCCTCCTTGAAACGATCCGGATGTGTTCATATGCAATGTGGAAATAAATTGAACTTGACTCACCATTTTTATACTCTTCTGGTCGGTTTTTTTTTTTTTAGGGAAAAAAAGCATATATTTTTTTCGCGCATTCACAAGGATGAACACACTATACTATACCCTAACTATTTCAATTTTTTATTATTATTATTATTAAGATATAAGAATTTTTTCTCTACTCTACATTACCACACAACATAGATGATGATGATGATGATGAAGATAGTAACTACAGTGTAATGCGCAGTTCCAGAAATTTTTTCAGATTTTTTTTTGTTTGTTCGTTATTCGTTATTCGTGTGATATTGGATAATTTAACTGAAACCATTGAATGGATATTATGTTTTATGTTATATTACAGAATTTTCATTCCGGTTTATTTCATTTCAATTGAAATATCATATACAAAACCATTCATTCATTCATTTATTCATTCATTTAGATCAGCCATTAACCAATGACATTCACATAGTCATCATGTCAATGAATAAAAATGGACCAAGAAAATAAAATTTATAAGATACACACACACACACACACACACACTATACATAAGAGACACTATAATATAAATGAATATTTAATCTATACAACTATTTCAATCATGTAATGTTTAATCATTTAGTTAGCCGATTCAGTAATTTAATGACAATTTCAATTGATTAATGAATTTTTTTTTTTTTTTTTGGTAAAGTTCATTATCAGAAAAAAAATCAAGAAAAGAAAAAAAACTAATTTACATTCAATCGGATTTCTGGCATTGCCACATGGATTTTTCACTGTTGTTGTTGTTGTTGTTGTTGTCTGATATACATTTGATTATTATCATTATTATTGTTGTTTACATACAAAATGTACAAATCTTAAACAGACACAATGTTCCAGTATGGTCATGATACATCCATCACCAATAATTGATTTTGATTCTATCTTATTCATTCATTCATTCATTCATTGTGTGTTTAGTTATCTGTTTTCTTTGTGAATCAACCAAAAAAAAAAAGAAAAAGAAAGATCTAATTTTCTCTAATTGAAACATAAACATTTCAATAACAATGGATAGATGACTTTACACATAAACATTAGTTTTTTTTTGTAAGATAATAATAAATAAAAAATTTAGATTCACGAATTGAAATACAAACAGACACGCACATCATACACACACACACACACAAATACAAACATGCATTCATCACGTATGATGAAAAAATATGATATTTATTCAGTAAAAGTATGAATCAAATTTTTTTTAAAAACAAGAAAATTTAAAAGATTGTATTGTATAAAAGAATATTCTCGACTTATATATACAGAAATCATAAAAAAAACAAAACAAAAAAAAAACAATTCCATCACGGCCAACTAGACAAGATTTAATGTCATGGTTGAACTCTTTATGTTTGGTTGGAATTTAATTCAATTTTCAATGATTTCTGATGCTTTCCAAAATCATCAGTTTGATCCATATATATATGATATGTTAGTACCGTCGAGTCAAAGATGAAAAAAAAATAATGAAAAGAGGCTCCAACAACATTTTGTTCATACACTTAAATGATGTTTTAAAAAATTTATGAAAAATTTTCACTAACCATACGAATGTGCAAAATTGGTGAAAATTGCTTTATTTATTATCATCTTTCAATTTCATCTCAAAACAAATGAAAAATTAATTTCAGGTCAAAAAAAAAATTTATTTGGTCTAGAATCTAGAGTCAAGATCTGAATTGGATTGAAAATTAGCTACATCTCTATGTTATGTTGTAGACAAATACAAAATTTCTAACAAGTTAATTATGGCCGGAAATAGATGACCAATTGATTGAAGTTAATTTTGACGAGTCCAGTCTTGGTATATATCTGCATGGTTTTTTTTTTTGTTAACAATTTTCATCATCAACATCCTCTTCATTATATTCTTACTATTTTTATTTTTAACCTTCTGACAATTTTGATAATCTAATTATGTCGAATGTGTGTGTGTGTGTGTGTGTGTGCGTTACTGGTCATAATGTACACCACCACCACCATCGATGATAAGTTCATAAGATGTCCAGAAAGCTAAGCTAGCAAAAAATAAAAATAAAAATAAAAATAGAAAAAATTTCTGCTATAAAATACCAGAACATCGAATTCAAGAAAAATGAACAAAATATCAAAAATTCAAATGAAATTATCATAACAATAATCATCAACATAGAGATACGAAAAAAAAAATTTCATGTCTTTACTATCGGTATCTGGATTCCTAGCGACGATTAATTCCGGAACATTTGCAGACATTTTTTGAGAGAGAGAACAAAAAATGAATAAAAACAAAGATAAATTGAATAGACAGATGAATTCAAAAATTTTTCCAAATATATAATTTTCATCGCCATTGTGTTGAAAATCATTCATGTAATAAGCTAAATTTTGCCCATTTTTATGCAGAAAATTGAAAGTGTACCGTCTATAATCATTAAGACGATCGAATATCAGCATCCACAAATCACTTTGTTTTTTTTTTTTGCTAATTTTATGCTATAGATGATAGGTTTGGTTCGGTGTTTGTCAAATGAATATTTATACAGCCATATACACATATAATATATATAGGTTTATTGTTCACAATTCGATGGTCAATATATTAATATATTGACATGACAATAACAGAAATGAAATAGAATTTGAAAAAAACCAAACTATAAAAAAAACAACATAACATCATAAATGCTCAAGATATCATTAGTGGATTAGTATTCTCTGAGTGGATTTGATTTAAAATAAATTATTAACAGAATACACAGAGATATCCATATAATGGTTGATTGAAAAAAAAAATCAAATGTTTACATTTTAATTAAAAAATTTGTTTTGTTTCCCTTGAACAAAATCAATTACCAAATGTTAGTGTGTGGAAACAAAAAATATTTTATGATTCATTAATTAAATTTATTAATAAACCAAACAATATATATTCAATGTATGTCTGCATAAATTTCATTCATTCATATACCAATGATGTAATGAGAGTGATGATGGTAAACATCCATTTGGAGTCATTTTTTTTTTATTAGAATAAATATGAAATTCCATACATTATATAATGATAATAACAGATTATATGATCATAATGATAATAATAATAATAATTAATATAATGATGAAAGCTTTCCATAGATGAAAAAAGAGCTTGATTATTATTACAAATTATATAAAAAATCTGTATGCCATAATTCACAACAATGTAGCATCATGGCATCATCATCATCATTATTCATGAGGCAATAACATCAACAATTTGTATTTGGTTTACAAAAAGAAAATATTGATATTGGTATTGGTATTGATATTGATCATCATCATAATAATAATAAAATGCATCATCAAGCACAACGGTAGTTATGGACAAATTATGGATATGATAATAATAATTCGGCATAATGTATTAAGGTGATATGGCTTCAACGCCATTATCATCTTGATGATAATGGAATTATGAATTATACATTTGTGAAAGTGAAAAATATTGAATGTGAAGGCAATTCTTTGGATAAATTCTACAAAAAAAAACAAAACAGAAAAGCTAATGCCATCTATGTTGGTGATAATGGAAAATTTACATTATTTTGAATTGAAGGCAATTCTTTGGATAAATTCTATATCAATTTTACGCGCGCTTGTTTATATCAATTTTACGCGCGCTTTTGTCAATGATTTTGTTTTTGTTTTTTTTTGAATTGTGTGTACTGAATGTGTGTGTGTGGATGTATTCACAAACAAATTGTTTTCTATTACATGGAACTCAATTTGAAAAATGCAAATACTTTTGTTTGTTCGACAATATCGGGCAAATCATCAACATTAACATCTTCATTGTCATTATTATTATCATAACCGATTGTATCAGAAACCATGGATTAACATGTTCATTGTCATTATTAAATTATTATAACCGATTATTCATCATTGATGATGATGATTGATGGTGTAAATAAAATGAAAAAGAGAAAAATACAAATAATTAATTATATATTAATCACATTATTATCGATGAAATTTTGAAATGAAATCAACATGTGACAGGAATTTTTACACAAAATACAAAGGTGCATTTGTATTGAAATGAAATAAACATAATGAAACTAATTTAACGTTTACAATTACAATCTAAACATTGTATGACTTCATTATTTATTGTGAATAATTTTCAATGTCAAGGTCGATTCTTTTCGAAATAAATCGATCGTCATCATCATCATTATCATTTAGTTTATGATAGATAATCAGATAAAATATGATGAGAATATAGGGAAAAAAATTAAAAATAATTCATTTTTCGCATTCATCATCCGGATAGGAATTTTATTCATCGGGAAAGTTATTAACAAAATGAAAAAAAAATCATTCTGTTGTTCATTTCCTCTTGTTCTGCACAAAAAAATGAAATTGTTTCTATTCATTATCTCTATCATGATTACAGCGAACAGCCACGATAATCAACTAAAGTTTTTTTTTGGTGATCAAATCTCTAATTTCATGAGAATCAGAATTTATATTAACTATTTTTTTCTCTTTTGTAAGTAATTTTCCTTCAAACTTATTATAATTTTGTTTTTTTTTTTCATACCAATGAATCTTGTATAACTATTATTAATGAGTATTACCAAAAGACGATATATAACGACGATATGGCAAGATTAAATGAAACCCGTAGGACAATTTTCTCGAATTTTCCTAAATGTGTTTGTTCCATGCACTCAATCACACACTCACACACACACACATTCATAATAGTGTGAATTGTATTTAATCTACGATTCGATTTATTTTTTTTTTTTTTGTCGATGATGATGAATGAATAAATGAAAACAAACTGATTATGATTGTTTTTATTATTTTATATTATTAGAATTAAATCGAGAATGTGGCAAAAAAAGAGAAAGAGAGAGAGAGAAAATTTATTCAATATTCATTTTGAACGTAATATGCGATATGATTAATTTCCGTTTTGATTTGTTTTGTTTTGTTTTTCTATCCATTTCTCATCATATATCAAAATCCACTTATACACATGATCATGAATGAAACAAATTGTGGATATTTATGGAATAAAAAAGGAATCATAATAATGGATAATAATAAAATAAAATGAGAAAAAAAAACGTATAAGCATCACTTACTCTCATTTTGTTTAGAAATTCAGCATTCCGTTTATCAAATCGGACAATAACTTTGTTATTGTTACTACTTTTACTTGTATTATTATTACTACTAGTCGTATGATTAGAATCATTAGTCATTTTGATGATTTTTGTGTTGATGAATTCATACGTGTTGAATCATTGGAATCAATATGACTGCAACCAACACCGCCACCACCACCACCACCACCACTTAGACCGTTTGAATTGGATAATTTAATCTTGACAGTTTTTCGGGTGGATTTATTTCGAATAAAACTTGTTTTTGTCGTTGTATTATTATTATTATTATTGATATTAATATTGCCATCAACATTATTATTGTGTGAAGAACTACTACTATGTGTTCTTGATGCTGAATGTTGACTAAATGGTACCGTCTGTCGATATGAGCACCAATATTTTTGTGTACGCATCAAACGTCGTCCAATAGCACCATATGATATTGTCAAGAATATTATCGGCAAAACAAATGTCAATACGAATGATAATGTTACATATATTTGCATATCTCTTTCGGCAACGTCCACCCAATTGGCGCAATCATAATATGTTTTACTATCATATTTGAAGGCCACTACTCTAGTATTCTGTATACTAAATGATGCTAATGTTGCTCCAAATATCCAACCTAATTGTAGTACTAGATTACCATGTGATCGTAGCCATGTATTTGCCGATGATAATGGATGTAATGTGGCAAAATATCTATCATATGAAATAAAATGAAATGAAAAACAGAAATCAAAATGAAAAAAATGAAAAATGAAATCATCATACAAAATAAATATGAAAAAATATATGACAATAAAATATGTTGTCGACAAAAAAAAAATTCTCAGTTTTCAACATTTCTGAAATTCTAGTTAATTATCATAGTTGAAATAAGACCAGTCCATTTTTTTCGATATAATTTGAATAAAAGCAATTTCAAAAAACATTCAAGAGGGAGACATAACAGCAACACAAGAATGTCAACATCTTCATCATAATCGTGTTGTTATTATAAAACAACATCTCTCAACATTATTCATGTTAACAAGAATTTAACAAGAATTTAGAAATTTGATTCTTGGAATAAACAACAAGAATTTTGAAGATTGAGAAAATTTTCAACATCATTTATGATGGAGAAAAAAAAATCCATTTTTTTTTTTTAAAGAGTGACCAGCTTTTGTTGTTGTTGTTGTTCATACCTTTCGATGCCAATGAATGTTAACGTATACGTTGTCACGAATACAGACATCAATTGAACAAACTGTGTGACCGGACAAAGAAGCGGATGAAATACCCAACGACCCTTTTTGTGATTGGATAAAAAAAAAAAGAAAAAATTGATTAAATTATTCAAGATTTATTATTTCAATATTCATCTGGTCAAATACGATTTTTTTTCATATTCCAAATAGAAAGAAAAAACATACCAACATAATATCCGTATAAATAAATGGTGTGACCAATACACCCAACAATAGATCTGAGATGGCAAGATTGATTAGAAATTTTTGAAGATTTCTTGCTGAACGACGTCCATATATTTCAACAAGAATAACCAATGTATTGCCCGTTAATGCAAAAAATGTTGTAAGCGAATACAATACGACTAGAAATGTTTGTCCAAACACACCAAATGCTTCTAACTGTTCAATTTCAATTGTTCCGGTGGATGTTTTCAATCGCACAGATGTAATATTATTCTTATCCAACCATGATGGATCGGCCATTATTTTTTTCAAGTATATATAGAATGATTATTCTACTTCTATATAGATTCGACATATGATTTAAAAAACAAACAAACAATAACAAATAATTAATACGTTGATTGATTGATTTATAATTTTTGTTTAAATGATAACGATGATGATGATGATGATGATGGAAAGGCTTGTTATAAATAAAAAAAAAGCTTTCAAAAATTCATAAAAATATCATATGTTCATTGAACTATATGAATGAATAATGAAATATTAATCCATTATTAAACAATGTAAATTTCTCTTATTATTGATATATCTGATGATCATATCATATGTTTCATATATGCGCAATCATTGCCCCCTCCATTATTTTACGTCATTTTCTTTATCATTATCCTATCATCATCATCATCATCATCATCAGTTCGATCGAAATTCTTCTAAGCTAGAATTATTTTTATTTTTCTTCATGTTTCCATATGTAAACATATCGAACGAATGAAGATGATAAGACAATAAATTCATTCAAATGAATAGATTCATCTTAATTAAATTAATTTTGATGATGATGATGATGATACCATAGCTATATTTAAACTCAATTTAACTATCAAAAATGTCATTCAAATTGAAATATGAATTACCCACAATCATCATCTGTTTTATTTTTTTGATTTTTTTGATCCAAAATTTTATTCTATCAAATTCATCAATTCAGAATGGTTACAATAACAGATTTTTTTCCATTGGTCAATAATAAATGGTTGTTTTGGATAAAATTATTTTTCGGTAAAAATATGAAAACAGCAGAAAAAAAATTTTGTAACTTGAGGCTATTGGATTTTTTTTCTATTTTTTTTCCATAAAATAATTTGTAAAAATATTCTGTGCAAATTTTTTCATGTTTAATATTGTCTGAAGGCATAAAATATTAGCATGAAAAATTTTGTATTCATTATTTGAACAATCATAATAATCAAATCTAAACTTGTTGACCACCAAAAAATATACTTTTTTTTCATTGCTACAAAACTAATAACATTGTAAATTCACCCGAAAAAAATGATTTGATGTCCGTTGTTATTTTTTTTCGATATCAAATCACAAATTAATCATCTTACTATTGGAATGATAAAAATTCGAAAATCACTCAAACGAAACTGATTCCAAATACGATGGAAAAGTTTTTTTTTTTGTTCTGAAACTATCATTCTAACTTGAATCAGTGTATTGGCACACAAATAAGCCGATTATTGATATGATGGGTATCATTGTTTAACTTTTCTATTTTTTCTATATATTGGTTATATTTTGTTTCCGAATTCAACATATGCCAGTAACCTTAAAAATGCAAAAGAACAAGATATTTTTGTTCGACTTTTTGGAAATTGGGTCGAATTTGAAGAAGAGAAAAAAAAATACTTCAAGTTCATATGTTCATTAGTGTGTAAATGGTGTGTAAAATATAAATATTTTTTTTTTGAAAACATTTTCCATAACACATTGGACAATTCATACAAAATTCTTTTCCATTCATAATTTTCGTTGGAATTTATTATAATGAGAAAATTCATACATACACATTATTCTAATAATATGCATAAGAAACGAAAAATAAACTTCTTAATCATCATCATCATCATCAAACTATATTTTTCTTAGTAAATCGAATTACAAATCTTTTATTTTCTATGTACTAGTGATGATAATTTTGATGCTTAAATAATGATAATATAAGTTTGAGAATATTACAAACAAAATTCTGAACATAATAACATCAATTCATTATTATTCACTGACAAGATAAAGATTCATGGCCAAAAATTCATAGCCAATATGATATAATAAACAAATATGACAAGATTGAATGATAATAAAGAGATTTAAAATGCAACTGATTTTAACTATTCATGTAATGAGGTCCACATTAACTTTTCATTTCAACATTTTTTGTAACAAATAAATTTTCATTAAATATTCAATCGAAATGTTTTAATCTGTTTATCTATGTTTTTGTAATGTTTCGTATTATGTACCAAATACTATTCTGTTTCATTTCGTTTTGTTTCCAGTGCTTTCACTGTTATTCTCCGGAACAAATACATGCATACATACAAACAAACAAACAAACAAACAGAAACGAAAGAATTATATGAATACAAATTGAATTAAGCAAAGAAATAATTTATTTTTAAAATTCCACAGAATCATTGCATGAATCAAAGGAGATTTTTGTACAAAAAAAAAAGAATTTCTTACTTTGTGTTCAAATAAATCAGAAAAGATGTTGGTTGTTTGTTTGTTTGTTGATTTTAGATGAATTTATTGTTGTTGAATCTTTTCAACACGAAAAGTTTGAAGTGTGTGTGTGTGTGTTAGCAAATGCTTAAACCAATTCACTAAAAGAAAAACAATACAAACAAAAATGATGGAAATCAAGAATCAACGCCCACAGATAAATGTCAAACAATGTATAGAAGAATATGGTATCAAAATGTTTAGCAAAAAAAAAAAAAAAAACAAATCAATGACAATGATAAACAGGAATAAAATCTGGAATTATTTTGCTGTTTTGAAAATTTAAATTTAATTTGATCATCATCGAAATATTATTGATGGAATTTTGATATTTTATCATTTGCATGATGATCATGGTTATTTGTTGGTAGCAAAATGACAATTCTATTGTCGACATTTTGAACAAGGATTGTTCTTGTTGTTGTTGTGTTTGTTGTCAAACAATCATCATTTTGTATTATGATGAAATTGGCAATTTATTCATCATGAAACACGCGAATCGAGAATCGAAATTTAAAATGAAATGTATAATGAAAACGTTTTTAACTGAAACAAGTATTGATTTGATGTGTGTGTGTATGTGTGTGTGTGTCATACATTTTATATTCGAATTCGGAACGATTTTGTATTCTTGGGCTGATGATGGGCTCCAACATATATTCGTCAAGAATAAACGATAAACGCGCATTGTAACAATCATGCGCTGGTCGTTCTCCCATTATGATTGGTTTTTATTCGCTTGAATATACAACAACAACAACAACAACAAAAAAACGATCATCACGAATTAATTTTGGCATAGTATTACTGAAAACACTTTACAAAAAAGAAAAAAAAGTATATGGCTCAAATTTAACAATGTTAGCACAAGATCGTTGTACATATTACACAATGTGATTGATCATTAGATCTCTAGGTTTTGGTCATACATTTTTTTCTTCTTTCTAAAATTCTTCATACATTTTGCATAAGATTTCATTCTTTTCGTTGACATTTAAGCTCTTTTGTACACCTTATTTTTGTTTTGTTTTTTGATTTTTCAACGAAAAATTATTTTTTACCATCTTCAAATCTAGTGTTTCAAATCTTTTATCTATATCTTGGTAGTTTTTATCATGAAAATATATCTATATTTGTATGATGAAAAAAAGATACATTCTTCAATAACAGATCGATGTTTACTTTTCTATGATATTCCACATGAACAATGAACAAATCCCACACAAAGGTGTCATCATCATTGGTGGACTAAATTTTTTACTGGTTGTCCTTATCTGATCCAATATTTCACAAATTTAGACTCCATTAATTTAATTGTATATGAGATGAATATTCGTCAAAAAAAGCGGTTAAAATGTCGAAATAGCTGTCGATGTGTATACATGTGTTTTTTTTCTTTTGTCAATATTCTTCATATCAATCTTCTTCTTACGTTGTGGTCAATTACATTCTTTAGTTCCATTTATATCTGTTTAATTCTGTGGGTGTTCCTGAACATTTTAGTATCCTAAAAGCTATTGTTCCATAATATCAACTTCTTTAAGAAGTCTTTATTGAAAAGCTTTGTTTACGCTTTTGCTCACAGGGTGTGAGTATAAGCATGTCCAAGAAAAGGAAGAATAATAATACCAACAAAACTGTAGCTTCGGATTCTGAATCTGATAGCCGTCCAGTCAAAATAATCAAAAGTACCGATGAGATCATGGACCAGATCATCGATGATCCAGATAAAATTTACGATCTCAATTTTGTGGAAAGTTTTGATATCATTCATAAATGTTGTAATCTTCAAGACAAAAGATCTCTTGCAAAATATTCCGATGTTATTGAAACAGCTGCTGAAAACATGAAGTTATTGTACAATGAATTATTATCTAAAGTTGAAAACTACGATGTTGAAACTAAAAATATTTTGATTGAAATAAAAAACAAATTGAATTCTCCTACTCCATACAACGTAGTTGCTGCCAAACAATCAATGCATTCATCTATAAATGTAAAAACTAAATCAAGTGAATTGGCCTTATTTATCAAAGCTAAACCGGGGGTCGCCAATTGTGATATAAATTCCAAAGTTAATCAAACATTGTCTGATGTGAGAAAAAAACAAGCCTCATTTAAAGATTAATAAAATCATTCGCAATGCGAAGGGCAACATAATCAAAATCCCCAACACGAATGATTTGGACACATTAATTGATTACTTTAAAAAACAAGATCAAATCAATCAAATTGCCGATGTTTATGTTCCAAAACCTCTTGATCCAACTATTGTTTTGAAAAAAGTTAGCAAATTTACAAGACAAGAAGATATTCCCAATGTTTTGGCAAATGTCAATGAACAACTTAAAGATATGCAATCGGAAATAAAAGTTTTATTCGAATACAGATCTAATTTGCATTTCCGTGATATTGTCCTTAGAGTTTCACCAAAAGTTTTTGATTCAATCTCTAATCTTGATTATCTCTACACAGATCTCGAAGCAATTCATTTCCAACATCGAGTGTTTGTTCGTCAATGTAAATATTGTTTCCAATTTAATTCCCACAAATCAACTGATTGTCCACGTAAGAATATCCCAATCTGTGCAGATTGTGGCATGGAAGGAGCACACCAATGTTCAAAGGTTAATAAATGTGCTAATTGTGTCAACTTTTTCAAGAACAATGCACAACAATCATTGCTGTGTCACAGACCTAATCATGAGGCTTGTCCCCTATACAAAAAACAAATTGAACGTGTCATACAAATAACTGCTTTCAAACCAGTAAATGTGCCTGCTAGTCATTCATTGACCACCATGATCGAAGTTGCAACCAATCAACCTTCCTCTTCCGTTAATAATGTTCTACAAAATTAAAGTTCTTCAACAAAACCTTCGAAAAAGTCCTACCGCACATAATGAATTAAGACAGTCAATCATGCAGAATATACCTGATATTCTAGCTCTTCAGGAGCCATATGTATTCAAAAATCGAGTTCCTTTCCCATTATCATCCAGAATGTTTCATAGTAACATGCTAGATAATGTAATTTATTGTTCCATCATAATTCTTAATAAATCGCTAATTGTCAAGAAATTGGACAACTTCACTAATTCATTCGCCACTGCGATTTTAATTCAAACCAAACTTAGTAGTTTGGTTTTTGTAAATATTTATCTTCATTCCAATATCTTCTGTGATATTCACCAAAACTATTTCACATCTATCTTATCAACTTATTCCAATCTGCCATTTATTTTCTGTGGCGATTTTAATGCGAGGAATCCGTATTGGAATGATTCAACAACGAATCGAAATGGTTACAAATTTAAAGAAGTTATTACTTCTCATAACCTTATCGTTTTAAATGATAAAAGTAAAACGTGTCGAAATGCCAGTATAATTGATTTGACAATTACAAATTCTAAAGCTTATAGCTACATCACAAATTGGAATGTCACTCGATTAACAGAAATTTCTGATCATGAGACAATCAATTTTAATATCTCTTCACCTAATGATGAATTTGGAAGGCATTACATTAAATCAACATGGAAATTTGTAGAAAATAATATGCAAAATTTTGTCGACAATATCAATCCTGATAAAATACAAGAATTGAACCTTTTAATCAACAATTGTCATGATTCGTTTGATATTGATTTAGTAATCTCCAAGCTTTCGAAAATATACATTGAAGCCGCATATCTATCTCTTCCTGTTCGGAAATCATCATCTTTTCCCAAAAAGTTTTCTTGGTGGACACCTAATCTAGAAGCACAAAAAAGACATTTTCATTATATTAAAAATCTTTATTATCGTCGTGACCCTAGAGTCAGTGAAGATGAATATAAAATTATCAGGAATAATTACACAAGAAGTATTCGCCTAGCCAAACGGGAAAGTTTTCGCTCATTTCTTGAAGATGCTGAATCTAATACTCATTATGGCAATACTTTCAAGTTGATCAAATCTTTACTAAACAAAGTAAATAATCAAATTCCAATGATTGATCAAGTCTCAACATCTAGCAAACCAGTTGTTATGAATCAAATGTTGAATGCTTTGTTTCCTGATGATGTGACCTCAAATGACAATATGGTAGCAAGGAATATAAGAAATCATCATTTCAATTTCAATAATCTGATTTCAACAACGTTCTCATTTGATGATCTCATATTATGCATAAATAATTTAAATTCTAAGAAAGCACCTGGATTGGATCATATCACCAATAACATGATTAAATCATCAGCTGAACTTTTAGCTCCTTCAATTCTATTGATCTTCAATAAATGTCTACAGGTGAATTATTTTCCTAATTCTTGGAAAACAGCTACGGTTAGAATTTTAGCAAAACCCAATAAGTCCAACTATCATGATGTCAAAAGTTATCGGCCAATTAGTCTTCTATCGAATTTTGCAAAAATTTTTGAAAGATTATTAAATAAAAAATTGTATTCACATTTTGAAAATTTTATACATCCGGAGCAACACGGCTTTGTAAAAAACAAATCAACTATCACAGCATTAGAATCAATAATCAATACGTCATTATCAAGGAAATCATCGTATAAAACAGCCATTATTGCCATTGATATAGCTTCGGCTTTTGATAAAGCTTGGTGGCCTGCTATTCTTTACGAATTGGATAAACATGATGTTCCATCAGATCTGATCAAATTAATGAGTTCTTACCTCACAAATAGGTCAGCCAATTTCAACTATGGAGATTTTTCAATATGGAAAACTTTGACGAATGGATGTCCACAAGGAGGGGCTTTATCCCCTTTGCTTTGGATAATTCTGCTCAACAATCTTCTGGTTTCTTACAATATACCCAACTCTAAAATTGTTGCGTTTGCTGATGATATTACGATTATATGTTGGGCCAGTTCAATAATTGAATTAACCGGTAAAATTAAAACTTGTATTGAATATGTTGAAAACTGGTGTGATAATCGGAAGCTTTCGATCAACCACAGTAAAACCAACATTTTATACCTTTTTAATAATTCTAAACCGATAATCAATCTAAATAATGGTACTTCAATTCATCCGTGTGACACTATGAAAATCTTAGGACTCACGTTTGGTAATCACAGGCATCGTAATAAATTGAATTTTACGCCACATATTCTTAATACAACGAATAAGATACAAAGAATTAGTAATATTTTGTTCGCTTTGATTGGCAATACATGGGGAATTAGCCATAAGAAAAGAGTTAATCTCTACAAAGGGATGATTCGTCCTGCTATCATGTACGGTTATCAAATTTGGGGTGATAAACTTATTGTCAAAACAAAAAATAAGCTCAACTCAATTCAACATCATATATTGCTAAAATCAATTTATGCATATCAAACGGTTTCATGCAACATTGTTTGTATTCTTAACAATGTCGAAAAATTAACTGATTACATTGATTCTTCTTTAATTACCTACAAGATTCAAGACAAGGCTGTTAGAAAAATTGTTATGGCCCTTCGGAAGAAACATTCAATTAATAATTACTTTAACCATGTGAATGATAATTTTAAAAGTTTTTTCCCTACATCACATATCCCGTATTTCTTCAAACCCAATTTTTTCAATGTTCAATTTATTACTGGCCATGGCTTATTCATGAGCTATCTCCACCGTATCAATGTCAAACCATCGCCCGCATGTGAATGCGGCCATAGTTATCAAGATCCTAGCCACATTTTATTCAACTGCTCACTTCACCGACAGTTTCAGCATAATATTTCCAGTCCATCAGAATTTATGTTAAACAAATGTAATCTTTCATTATTTAACAATTTTTGTAAGGGATATATTATATCCCATTATTAATCTTATTTTAATTTTTACTATTGTATTCTTCTGTTGTTCTTTATGATACAAGTGCCGTATTGGCAGTGTATCTTTTATTAATAATAATAATAATAATAATATTCGTCAAAAAAAAAAATGTTAAATTATTCAATTGAAATAATGGAGAAAACATTACGTAACATTATTGGAAAAACAAATCATAAAAAAAAATTTTTTTCCCAGATGAAATTCATTTTTTTTTTGTCAAATTCTCTTCATCATTCATTGATTGATAATAACAAAAAAAAATAGAGAGATAGAAAAAATAATTACCGGAATCAACATGAATAAGTAGAAAGAATATTCGTTCATAGTACATTCATATATATATATCGATTAAATAAGAAACACAAAGAGTTCCATTACACAAATGTGAATGAAGAATGATTAATTTAATCGAATATTTTTCATCTGTTGGATACACTGTAATGTCATGCAATCGTCTTGAATCGACATTTTTTTCCTTATGTGTGGTTACGAAATAATTCTCTAGTGAATAATGATGAACGTCATCATCTAGAAATCCAGAAAAGGTCGATATGATAAATTTTTTTCATTTTCATGCTATTTCATTTTCTCCTTTATTTTCATCATTCTTGATTGTGTGAGATTTTCTTTTTTGGTAAAATACAGGAACGTTGTTTCGATCGAATCGTTGTAACGGTGTGTAAGATTTGTTTTCTTCCAGTCAAGTGTATGTGTGTAATCATATGGCTTCGAGAACAAAGTGGGGGCGAGAGAGAGAGAATGAAGAAAATATTTACCTTAGTTTGTAATTATGTGTGTGTGTGCGTGGAAAAAGTAAAACTACCGTTTTAGAATACAAAAAAAAATTTGTTGAAAAAAATAAATTAAACACAATTACCATATCCATTATTTCTGAATTTGAATTCTAATTTTTACTTTCATCAACATTATTCTTGATGATGATGAATGTAAATAAAAATAACATAACACCATCATTCGCTTGTTTTCATCATCATCATCATAATTGCATAATAATCTTGTTTTGTTATGCAAAAAAAAAAAAAAATGTCCTGAGATTTCATTTGAAATCTCAACATGATGAAAATATTGTTGAGATGATACGAAACAATGAAGAATTACAAATGAATCATAAGGCATCATCATTGAAATGAATTCATAATGACAACAATAACAAAATTATGACAAACCTAATATTTACATACACACAGAATATATATATGATTACAACATATCCATGTGATGATCACGATGATGTTGATGATGGCCAATATATTGGTTTATTTATATTTAATGATGATGATAATAATGATTATTATTATGATTATATTTTCATTAAGAAAACAATGAAAAATAAAAAATGATTGATGAGTGAAATGAGTTCAATCTTTCGTTCTGGTGATGTTATTTATACAAATATTATAACAGTATTGAAACAAAACAAAATATGATGATGATGATCCATCCATCCAGATCCAGATATGATGGATCATTATAACCGGAGAGGAAAGAGAGAGAGAGAGGGAAAAAAATGCCCAATAAATGACTATCTGTTACTAGGGAATTGTATTTTATATATTTTTTTTTTTTTCATTTCCGTAAAGGAAAAAAATTTTTTTTCCAGTGTTGGTTAAGCCATTTTATCGTAGCCACATTTGTATTGGAAATGTGAGAATGAAAAAAAAAACAATTTCATGGATTTTCATTCCGATTCATTGTTATTATCATTATAGCTATTGATATAATGCACTCGATGTTCGATGTTTAGTTTAGTTTAGCTATTTTTTTTTTTTTTTTTTTTGCTTTTCCGTTCCAAGGTTTTAGCATCACACATAGTGAGAGAGTAAAAAAAAAATACACCGAATAACATTAACTATAGATTTCAACATCAATAATAGAGAATTTGATCGATAATTAAATGAAAAGTGATTCTAATAAAAAAATTCTGTTTAGCTGTTTCTGCCCGTTACGAATTAGAATTTTAAACGAGAAAATTTCGAAAAAAATATTGAGTCTATAAAACTTTTGTCAAACTTTAACTACTTTTTTTTAAAACGGTTTTGATTTGTAAATTTTTTTTTGTCAATAATAGACGTTTATCAAACAATTCCGATTCTCGATAACATACATACATACATGTTATACGAATATTATTCTGGTTGAATGGTCATACAACATTATAAATCCTTGTTATTTTTTTTTTTGCACTGCTAATAGCTATAGGATGAATTCATTATTTGGACCTTGAACCAATTCTTGACGAATTTAATTCCTGATGTTTGTCCAATAGAAATGGAAATAATAATGTTTCCCGGGTAGACGAAATTTATCAAACACACAAATATGGTGAACATTGATCACATGAATTAACGATTCTTCAATTTAGAATTCTTATAAATGTTGTTGTTGTTGTTTTTTTTACCGAACAATTTTTGTTTTCAATCTACTCAGTACAGAATTTCACGGTAGTTGTTGTTGAAAAATTTAATTATCTCAACAAGATTATCATATCGAATTGAATAAAAAAAATTCAATTCAATTCAAGGTTTTCATCAATTGTGATAATGTACCTTTTTTCCATCAATTTTTCTTGCTGTTGTTGAGATTTGTCACCCAAATAATGATGATAATGATAATGATGTTTATCTTGTTTCAGAAATAATTAATAATTTATTCCAACTATATAACATTTGTATAACATGTGTTGAGATCAAAATAAAAAAAAAATGAAAATAATCGAAGATTATGATGATGCTTTTATTTTTTAAAGCATTCTATATATAAATATTAAGATCGATTGATGATTATTTTTTTTTTTACTCTTTAAGATACAAAATTAAAAATTCATTTGTTTACTATGATGATGATGACGATGATGATGTTTCAACATTTGTACTTTTTTTTCTGAATAATAAATTGTGATTAAAATAATCTTTCACAAAGTACCTTGAACCTTTCGATAGTTGTTTGAAATTTCCAATATTGGATTCCAATTTTATTACCCTATTATCCAGCTTATCATCATACATCTTACATGTTTTATTTTTCTCTCTTGTTTATAGAGGAGAATTTGTGAAATAAAAAATAATTATTACAAATTTTTTTTATTTTCAAAGTTTTCATGAAACACACACACACACACATAATAATAGATTAGAAATGAGAATTTTATCGTCAACAATTTGTCAATACATTTAGTCTATAATTTATTTGACAATGGCCCACAAATGAATCGATTCTGTTGTTTCTGAAAAAAAAAAAAAAATAAAAAACAAATTATCAGCACCAACGCTATTATTATTACTTTTCACATACTATATTTCGTGAGAAAAAATAAAATGAAATGAAAAAAAACGTAATTCCAATGAATTCTATAGAAAAAAAAAGATTTAATGATCTAGAAGATTCTTTTATATATGTATTTTTTTCCACCTATGAAAAAAAAGGTACACTAACAGAATCAGAATATATAGATAAGACCCAATTAAATTATATAATTTGAAGCGTTAACAATTCATTGGTTTTTTTTTGACAATTCTTCATTCTCTCCCTCTCTCCATATGGATCAATATGTTTTGGTCGATCAATGTACACGCTATATATATATTTATTATTTAACCTAAAATGTGATATTTTTTTCATGGTGATATAAATTATATTTGGTGTAAATAAATTTTTTTTTTTAGCCAATTTCAGGTTCCAGATCATATAATCGTTATCGTGTCTTCGTACAAACAAATCAAAAAAAAAATACAAAATGTGTGTTTTTTTTCGTTAAAAGATGGCGCTATAATTTTTTAGTATGAAAAAAAAATACTCTGTATTGACATCTATTGATCAACATGCATCAACATATGTTAACCACGTGCAATTCATTTCATTTCATTCCAATTTTATATTTGTCAACAACAACAACAACAAAATAATTAAAACCAAAAATTGCCCTTTGATTTTTCTTTCATTTCTTTCAAACAATTTCAATTTTGGAAATTCATCATTTTTATCATTGAATGATCAAATGAAATTGGGTAAGTTTTTTTTCATTTCTAATAAATAATCATTCGTCAAGTTCATGATGATGATGATGATTGGATAGATAGACAGATTAGATCCAAAAAAAAATCTCGTTAATCAATTTTGCACTTATTTTATCACTTGTAAATATATTTCAATAGAAAAAAAAATAATTCAAAGTATCAAGAGACATATAGAATATAGATAGATAGAACGAGAAAATTATTGAAAGAAACAAAAAAAAAAATGTACATAGTTAGAATTGAATTTCTACATCAAAATTATCATCGTCTTTGCATTCACACAACATTCACCAGCCACATGTTGAAAAACAAGGTTATTAGATAAATAAAATTTAAAACAAAAATGGATAATAAAAATGAGACCTGATATGAAAAATAACCTTCGATCGTAATGTTTATCCAAATCTTTTTTTTCTGAATGTTTATATGAAAATCATTTGGTGTAATGATGATGATGATGATGATGATGATGTTCTTGATGTTTGATAGTTTAAAGACAAGTGAATTCACTTTCATTGCCACCGGTAGTTACTGACGTTATATCAATGCCAACTTGTACAAAAACTAAAACAAACATAGCAATACCGAAAAAAATGATAAATACGCCATAGAAATAGGAAAAATTCCATATGTAGCGCCAGGTTCGGGTGCCTTCAAGATTTTGTAATAAACGACGGTCATTATTCATTTTAGCATAATAGCCATTTAGATGTCGACGTGCCAATGAAACCATACAAATACCCGGAAATACGAATACATTACAGGCTGCCAATGAACCTAAAATTTTTTTTTTAAATAAAAATAACAAAAATAGAAAAAAAAATTTAAAAATAAATGTCATTCACAATGTTGTAATGATATTTAGCATCTGTCAATCATTTTTTTTTCTATATGACTACTGTGTGTGTGCATGTAGAGACACGAGCCATAATCAGTTCAATCGCGAACTGTCAATCAATCAATCAATCAATCAATATAAAAATATTTGAATCACATACCCAATGTTTCTATAGCGATTGTAATATTCGGTGTTACAATAGCCAATATCAATACGAATATATTCCATAATGTTGTTATAGTTATACGACGTACACGTTCGCCTTTAATATATTGTTCGGTTGATAATTTAAACCATTCAGCGTATAGGCCATCCAATGCACCACTTATTTTTATCATTATTATTTATTTGTTTGTTTATATAATAGTTGAGTAGAAAAGGAAAAATAAAAAAAAATTTTTGAATCAACAATGAAAAAAAAGGTCATAGGTTATTGTGGTTTGGTATGTGCTACATTATTATTATTAGACTTATTCCATTGAAAATGATGATGATGATGACACAGCTACATTTATCAAATGAATGGTCAACTATGCATATGTGTATGTTATGTTGCACCCATCTATCGATATCTGATAATGTGATAAGTATATAATTAACCTATCCTAATGCTTAAACACACACATATATACAAATATAATCAAAAAATCGCTGCAAAGCCTTAAGGTTTGTGTGTGTTTGGGAAAAAAAAACATCCCGATCTATCATTAAAATGATTCCGAAGAATCATTCATGTCATCACCACAATCATGAGTCAAAATAAATGTTGAATGATGATGTGTGAGTTTCGAAAAAAAAAATTATGAATGCACTTACCGACCACAGAACATAATCGGAACATATGTGCTAACCATTTTGATGATCAATGCAATGATACCTATTGAATTCGAAAAAAAATTCAAAATGGAAAATGTTGAATTTTGTTTTGCCATACCTGATGCTACGACCGGATCTTTTGCGTCGTACATTTGAATAATATCGGCTTTAACTTTATCACCAAATGTTATATAACCATATGATCCACCCAGATTGTAGATGACCAATAACAATATTAATGAGAATATAGTTGATTTAATGAAATTTGTTGCACGTGGTTTAGCCAAACTTGAATATACGGGCAATACAATTTCATGTGTTTGATATGCAAAACAAATAACCGGTAATGATGCAAATGCTGCTATTATACTTGTAGGACTGTAAAATATATGAAAAATTTTCATATTAAAAATCATATATATTCATATATTACTTGATACAATAGAACTTACCTAGTTTTAATCTGACCAGGAACAACGTCCAATGCATAATATTCATAGACATTCAGAAAAACGACATAGATCATAGCAAAAATGCCTAACATGCTGTAAATGTAAATGAATTTAGTATTCAAAAATCAATTGATTATTACAGGATTATATATATTTACCATAAATAACGAAGAAAATCCAATCGTTTAAAATAGCAAATTGGCCAAATTAATATCACTGCCGTTACAATTATGGTGAATGTTCTGGACAGCCAAAATGTTTCACAAAAATTGTGTCCAATAAACGTATAAAATACTATATATAATTTACACAATCAATTATTATTAGCCAATCAATTGTGGGAATTTTTATTTGTTTGTTTGAAAAACTCACATCTATCAAATTGATCACCGATAATGATCAAAAATGTAACATCCACACCGAAACAAGTGCTCATAATTGATGTTGCCGCTAATTGTTGTGCTCGTTTACCACCCATCGATCTAAGAACATCATGGTAGGTGGTGTCCTGATGAAGATCAGCACTCCAAATTAATGCTAACATTGTTGTAGCCAATAGTATTACGATGCCCTAGATTCCAAAGTTCAACATCATCATCATTGGATTTGATTCAAAAATTTTTGTTATTGTTTCAATGATGGGTTCATGAATGAGAAACATGATACATACAAATTGTAACAGTGTAGATATGACAATACCACCAAGACGATCATATGCTGCAGGATAATTGAGTATACCAGCTCCAAGCGCCGTATTTACCAATAAAAACACGCCAACTTTCCAGCTGCTGTCTGTATATATCAGGAAAAAAAATTAATTTCAAATTATTTGTCTATTATTTCAGTTTGAATTTTTTTTTTTTCGTTCAGAAAAAAAACTATGATCACGCCATTATTTCGAGTCGAACAAGACCATGATAATCTATACGTGATTGTCAGGGTGACTAATCTACGAATATTGTCCGAAAATGTGGAAATTTTTCATCAAGACAATGAATTCATTTTCTATGGTGAGCCATATTATCTTCGCTTAGAATTACCTGGTGAAGTATTATCAAGTGATACAATTATTATAACGAACGGCAACAATGACGAAGACTTGGATGAATTGAATAGAAAAAAATTAACATTCAATTATGATAGCGAAACAAATGAGCTTAAAATTCCTGTAGCGAAAAAAAATCCAGGCGAACATTTTGAAAATCTTGAATTGATTGGACAATTGTTGGCCAAGCCAAAAACAAAACCTGGTAAAAGATTAATCGAAGTTCTCCAAAGCAGCTGTCAAAATTCAAATGGTGATGATGATGATGACAATGGCGAGGAAGATGAAGAATTTGATTGGACAATAGAACAAACGATTCCAGACACAGACAATATTCGATTAAGCCAACATCCATATGGATTTGCCAATAGTCTTACGAATATTATTATGAACAATGATTCAGAAATAAATGAATTATTCGATATAAAAAATCCAGGTGAAAAAACCTTTGCTCAAAGACGTATTGAACGTCTTAGACAAGAATCAAATGATTTCAATGAAGAACACTATTTAGCAAATCTATATGAAGATGAATCAATTATTGATTCAATAATTGAATTATCGGCACCTTGGAATGAATGGCATCCATCAACAATATTGAACGATCAAGATAGAGAACGTATCAATGATCATATACCGAAACGTGAATTTATTAAATATGATTCTGCTACCAAAAAAGCATTGATACTTGGACTATTTGATATACTATATGGCTATTGTTATGATTTACGTACAAATGATTTTGAACACACTGTAGAATCATCATGGACCATAATAAAATTATCATCTACCTTAAGTTGTTTTGAATATTGGACACCATTAAATGATCAACAAATGTCAGGCGATCGATTGCATTCATTATTGTACAATAAATATGATATGGCAAAGTATATGTTGATCAATTGCATACGTCGATCATTGATATATCCACTGTATAGACATTGGAGATTGTCGATTAAAGTGGCTAATGATGTCATCAAAATCATGTCTATTGGTTCGAATGCTATATTAAAATGTTTACTCGGTAAGTTTTTCGAAATGAAATTCGATTCTCAATTTTGTTTTATTTTTGTTTTTCTTTCTACATTTTGATACTGACAAACGTTTTGATCCCTATTTAGATATGCATCAAATTATGGCCATTAGTGGTGAGAATCGACAACTTATCAATGATCTATATTTGACCAATTATTGTTGTTGGATTCAACAAATCAAACAGGATTGGTTCAAATCATTGGCTTATTATCTATCAAATGTATGCGCCAAATATATCGATAAACAAATGATAGGTTTAGATTTGCCTTTGGTGGAAAAAGCTGCAATAATGGCAATCGAAGAAAAAGATGATGATTGCAATGAAGATCAGTTATCGAAGGGAATTAAATTGTTACTTAATATTTCAAATCATCTTGATTCCGACGACGACGACGACGATAAATAATGAATGATGAATGAAATGGATTGACGAATAAACAAAATTGACTTACCGTTTGGTTTCGTTGTTTCATTGCAATTAATATCTGCATAACGAATCGATTCTTCCTTATCCATTGATTGGTCCATTAATGGCGTCTTTTCATTATGTTCATCGATCGATGTCCATTCGACAATGTTGCTATGTAAATCATTTCAATTTTTTTTTTATTACTTGATTGATTTATGATTATTATCGGTTATAATAATACCTTTTGTTGATTCGAATGGAACCTTGTCTATAATGAAATTGATAATTTAAAAAAAAATAAAATTAATTTTTACAAAATGAAAAAATCTTACCGTAATTTTAACGATACATCGGTAGACAATGTTTGCCATTGCATATAGGCCGGCATATCAACACTACGACGAAGACTGTCAACCAAAAAACTATTTGCTAAACCACCGGCACTTCCACGTCCAGGACTACCATAAGATAATCGTGGTTCGCCATTTGATGATGTTGAATTATGTCGTGGATAGCCTTCCTGTTCCTGTAGACGATGTAATGAATCCATTGTGGCCACAAAAAAAATTCAATATGACGATATATATGTAAATTAATATATTCTTTTTCTTTCAATAAAATTGTTAAAAAAATTCGATAATAAAAACAATAAAACAGAAATCGATCGATGTCCAAATCTATTTTTTTGAAAAAAACAAGAAAAAATACATCGACCCTATCGTTGAGCTACTACTGAATCAACTAGTTAACTAAGTGTTGTTGAAGAAAAAGAAACAAGTGATGAATAAAGAAAAAAAAATAAAAAAGAAAATTAAAACCAAGTCATCAACATCGACATCATTCAATCAAATCAAAACTAACTAAATTAAATTGAATGTACCGAAAAAACTACTATAATAAAAATTCATAATTCATATTTGATGATGAATGATGATGAATGATGAACTACTACTACAACTACTATACTGTCTGATGATGACTATGTGTTTGTATGTAAAAATGTAGGCCCGAGTTCAATCAACACCAATCAAGTTTATGATGATTGGATAGTTGTCGATTTTGGTAGCATCCACCAATCCGATGGTTAGATTTGAATTTTTTTTTTTTTTTTTTGTTACTACTATTTTTACTTATTGGTTTCGTTCATTTAACTTGTGACTTGATTGATTAACTATAGTAAAAAAAAAGAAGATAGATAGAGACAATTGATTATTAATCAAGCAACGCATCAAATCAAATATTTCTGGAACAAATAGAAAAAAAATAACATTGTGCTAACGGGTATTATTATTGATGATGATGATCATCATCAAGATATATTATTGATAAACTTGATTTTATTGAAAAAAAACACATTAAGATTTATATCATTCATTTCTTAGGAAAAATATTTGACAAAAACAACCAAACAAACACACACGGTAGAATGAAGATAAGATGAATATGAAAATCTCAATGCACACTTCAGAAATTTTACCAATTTTATTTGACATTGTGTATGATTGTATTATTGTTGTTGTGTTGTCCAGTGTTATGTTTTTTATTGATAAAAAAAAATTATTGAATGAATGAATGAATGAATGAATTGATTGATAGCCTTAAACAATCAAAATAGATATATCATGGTTTATGTTTAGCGATGATGATTTAAACCACTGGACTGTAATTTGAATCCTTTTTTGATTAATAATAAAATCTTTGAAAATATAATCGAATCCTGATTGTATCGCTTCTGAAACGCTACAGAAACAAAACAAATTATATCATTGAAAGAATGTACAAACAAACGTAGAAAAAAAAGTAGAAAAATTTTTCATTGATTATATACGACGAAAATAAAATCTGCTTCGGATTTTAGAATGAAGTTTCAATACCAATAATTTTACATAAGATGAATGAATCATATGCTTCTCGAAATTTTATGAAATTGTCGAAAAATCTCAATGCACTGAACTTCACCCGTAGTCGATGGAAATGTTTTACCGGCCATTGTAGTTTTTATTGTGATTGATTGTTGTTGTGGCATTGTTGTTGTATGCCATTGCTGCCATTGTTGTTGCGGCCATTGTTGTTGCCATTTGTTGCGGCCATTGTTGTTGCGGCCATTGTTGTTGTGGTGGTTGTTGTTGTGAATCGTTTGTGGTGGTGGTTGTTGCTGTGGAATCGTTTGTGGTGGTTGTTGTGGTGGTGGGGATCGGTGTTTTGTACCGATTGATGATGACCACGTAAGTGACCTGAATTTCTACCGAGTCATTTTGATTTACTCGAAATTACGTGAGAATCGGCAAAGTCATGAATTGTTCCTTCTTGAAATCTTGCTTCTCCTAAATCCTGAGTTTTGCCACCAAATTGAATGAAGATTTTGATTCCAAGTATCAATATCTTGGGCTGCCTTTATGATATCTTTTGATAAGATTTTGCTTAAACTGGAATCATTTGTCTGCTAAATAGATATATCACTCGAATTGGCATTTTTTATGTTTAGCAACGAGAGAAAGATTTATGTGTAAAATCGAAACTCTACTCACGTTTTGATGATTTAAATCCTGATTTTCTTCTTTATGGACCAAGTCAAACTTGTGATAATTCGGCTGAATCCTTTGAAGATTTTGATGAATGGAACTTGCTTAATAATTTTCTTGGGGAAAATCTTGGTTGTCGATAGAAAATATAAACACACGATACCAACTTAGAATATAAAAATGTTTATTGAAATGAATGAAAATAATTAAATCAAAATAAAGCGTGATATTGTGACGGTAATGGTGATGATTGCGATAACCAGCAAAGTGATCAGTGTGATCAAAATCGTGAAAATAATGAAACGTCCTGACAATTTATATGATTTGTTGGTCAACACTGCCAAATGGTCAAACACGCCTTTTGGTAAAACGAAATGCTTTTATATGAACTTGTTTGAATTGAAAGAATGTACTGGATTTCTCTCTGCGGTTGAAACCAAACGATGTTCTTAGACATCACATAGATAAAATGTTTATGATTTAAACCACTGGACTGTAATTTGAATCCTTTTTGATTTTTCTTTGAAAATATAATCGAATCCTGATTGTATCGCTTCTGAAACGCTACAGAAACAAAACAAATTATATCATTGAAAGAATGTACAAACAAACGTAAAACAAAAAATAGAAAAATTTTTCATTGATTATACGAAGTATAAAATCATTGAGTCACATTTGTTATTTGGTGTCGAATGAGGTCATTTTATTTTGTTTTTATTAAAATATTTGATTTGATTTTTTTGTTTTCTAACCATTTATCGATTCAAAATATTATTATATCGTTACCCATTGATTCCGTATCATAAATGTTTTTGATTTGATTTAGTTATCATGTACAACATTTGTGGAAAAATATTTCATTCCTTCATTGATGATGATGATGATGATTGGTGACCTTGGTCACCAAGCATATGGCAGACGGGAATGTATTAAAAAAAAATGACCTATCATAATTTTCTTGGTGGGGGATCATCTTTTGCTATGATGATCATAATGATGAACACCTGTATAATCGAAAAAACTGGATGGTCAATATCTAGATAGTAAATAATTCAATGGACAACTTGTTCTTGGTCAAAGAAAAAAGACAAAAAAAAAATACGATTCATTCTCTTTCAGAGGTGAAACTGTCAATTTTCTATTTCGACCCTAAACACGAAAAATGTTCAAAACTTATAATTCGATTATTATAAGTGAGAGTAGGTCAAATGGTTTTTTTCTCACATTTTTTTTCCTTTGAAAAATACGTCGATGGATTTGCTTGAATAAAGACGATCACCGCCAACGCTGTCGATTTTTTTGTTGTTGTTGTTTCTATAATAATGACAAATTGGACGTTTTGTGTGAACGAAAATTCATCCACATCAATCAATCAATCACCATTATAAAAGACAAATGAACAATGAAAAAAAAAGAATGATTTAAAGATAATTTAATAGCTAATTTCAATAATCTTGGAAATGAAATTTAAAAATTTTCTTTGTAATATCTCTTAGATGAATCAACAGAGGGCAGTCGAAGCATCCGAAATAAACATTGCCGGAAGTTTTAAATTTTTTTTTTATCCTAAGTTGAACAATATCTATTGATAATTGATCTTTGTATATATGTGTGGATGATGATGATGATGACATTGGTAAACAACAACATTTTGCTTGCTCGAGCCTCGAGGTTTATACAACAACAATGTTCATTTGATTTGTGTCCAGACATTTTTGTTTTTTCAATTTATTCTTCGTAGCCATTACAAAATGCGGTTTGTCCACTTGTCCATGTCGATGTCAATGTATAAATGAAATTGAGCCAACAAAAAAAAATATATATTCACTGCAGGGTGACAAAATATATACATCTGAAAATGTGAAAAAGAGAGAAAGAAAAATCAACGACAATCCCCCCTCCCCATTGCCGGGTCGCGTTGCATCTATTCGCGCTATAGCACATCTCATTTTTTTTCTAGCAAAAAAAAAAAAAAAGATAAAACATTGTAGCCATACGAATTTCGAACAAAGCATTTCCACCATCCAAAGAATACAAAAAAAAACAGGAAAAACAATTTTTCTGTTGTTGTTGTATTCTGCTATTGCACATTTGTTGTTTATGAACAAAACTACAGAAGAAGAGAGAGAGCCAAACGATAATCGAAACGTGTATGGAATATAAGTGAAACTCAGAAATGCCGAATTTTTTTTTATAATATTTTTGCAATGGTAAGATTCGTTATTTTTTTCGAACAATATAAATTCAATTCATTTGTTCATCAATGGATCAAGAATCGATTCTGTGTCTGTGTGTGTGTGTCTATTTGAATTCAAATATTCATGCGCAAAAATTGGGTGTATAGGAATTCTTATTATATAACACAATGTAAAATATATACCCTTCTTGAATAACCAATACACATCATATACATTAAAAACGGATAAATGGCCGCTGCCAAAATTTAAAGTGTAACCGTCATTTTTAGTCGGTCGTCTGTTTATTTTTTTCATAACAAGTGCAATATCCTACATAATACTACTACTACTACTACTACTACTACTACTATTGCTGCCACTATTTTTCTTTTTTTTTTATCAAATTACGAATTCACTTTGGGACATTGAATTCTGCGCAAAATCTCTTGCAAATTCTCTTTCTATTTTGTTCAAAACAAAAAAATCTCAATCTTCAAATTCAAAGCACATTCATCATCATCATCATCATCATCATGATGGCAACGAACCGAAATTTGAAATTTCAAAAATCAATACATCCCCATTTGTAGTAGTGGTATTGGAATTCATCTGATTCCAGTGAGCGTGTTGGAACACGTCGAAATGACCGGTACTTCGTCGGTTTTTTTTCTCTCATGATAGTAGCTCTTCCCAATATTCGATTCTCGTTTTGTGTATTGTGGACAAACAAACAAAACGAGCGATAAAAACTTGTTTCACACATGTTCCAAGACCACTGCCAAAAACGACATTGCATTGCATTTCGATACTATCCCATCCATATATACATTTGTATATTGAGCTAAGAGATCTGAATATTCGGATCCGAAAAAATTCGTTTACTTTGAGTTTTCTATTTCTTTCTCTCTCTCTCTCTCTCGTTGAACTCT